GTAGAATTCTTGATCAATTTGATGCGTTAAGGAAGTTATTTATTGATTTTGCTCGTAGTTATCTTAATAATAGTTTCCTTCGTAAAGTTTTTCACATCTCCTGTAAAATTTGTTTAATTGCTGGATAGTCAACGATACGTGGTGTCCTCCAAAATCCTCTAAAAATACATAATTATTATTTCTCTATGGAAAGTATTACTGTAGCTGTAGTAACAGAGCATGGAGTGATCAGGTAGCCGAACAAATAATAATATGTTTGACGGCAGGTGTATATGACATATCAAAAGCCAATATGAGTATCTCACTTAAACGAGGGTTTGGGGAGGGTGAAAAACTAAAGTTAGTTTATTATAAATGGAAAATCAATATTTCATTATCATGTGTAATTATAATAGTAAGTTTTTTTTAAGATTCTGAGCGGAGTGAGGACTTTATTATTATCACTATGATGTATGCAAGTTTTATTTTTTTTTTTTTGTGTCTGAGAAGAAATCTTCTATACAAAATTTCAATTAAATTAAAAAAATGAAAACGATTTTTTTTCTGAAAATTTAATTTTTTGATTTTTTAAATGGTTTTTTTAATAATCGGTTATCAAAAACGGTTTCAATGATTTGGATTTTCTTTTTTTTTAGTTAAAAACAATCGCAGAAACCTAAAATATTCACTAATTACGACATGATGAGTATTTTAGTGTTATAGAACTACATAGGAATTTTACATGTTCGTATCTTTTTATTTTTTAATTTGTTTTATGTATATAAACTTGTTTTATCCAAGAGAAACGTTTAAAACTTAAATACGAGCTTTATCATAATTTATATTTAATGAAAAAAAAGTCAAGTATAAACTTCACTTAGAATCGTACTTCTTAATCAATAATTTACAGCTACGTAAATATATAAATTAAATTACATTATGTATTTTACATTACCCACTTCCCACCTATAACAATGGCACGCCTATCTGCAGTATCAGCTCTTTTATTTTTGTTTACTTACTGGAAACTTGCACTATAATTTCTGTACAATATATAATTTCTTTATTTTTTAATTTTCAAGCAATTTGTTTTCATAAACCAAGATATCCATTTAAGAGAGTTAATTTTTACAAAATATTGCTGCTGAAAATGTTAACTAGTAGAGAGTCGTTAATTTTCTAAAATTTTTTTGAAATTTACAACTAAAGTTTAGAATTCTAAATTAAAAAATTTTTAAGGACATAATTGTGATATTATTTATTAGTGACAATGCAAGCATTTAAATTATTTTAAACTTCAAAAAATTGTAGAAAATTAAAAATTCACTGATAGTTAACATTTGAAACATGCATTATTATGTCAAAAAAATATTTAAACACTTTATTCTTAGTTAAGAAAAAATAAAATATAAGAATTTTAACACTCTAGTAATAATTACAAAAGAGAAAAATTTAGAATTTATCTCGTACAAATAAAATGTTTATAGTTAAATTTGTATAAACAACTAGATATGCAGTTGAGTTAATTAGTTAAAGATGAATGATTTTTTATGAAATTCAAAATTTAATTTTTAATTGGCTGTTCAGTGTATTCCGATTTATGTATTTTTATTTACTGATAGTTTGATTTAATTTATTGTTGTATAAATGTTATCTATTATGAATTAAATTCAATAAATATTTAAAATGGTCATATTTTATAGAAAAAAATAAAAGAAACAAATAAATTAAGTTTAATTCGATTAACGAATTGTTTTCTTTGAATTATAGGTAACTGAAAGCTTTTTTATCTTATTCGCTTTTAGATTTATTTAGAATTCATTTTTTTAATGCGAATTATATTAATGATATTTATTGAAACCAAAAATAAGAGGTTTTGAAATATAATGATGTTAGAATTTTGTCATATTTATTTCGAATAAATTATTTACCGCAGTATTTGAATATAACACAAATCAATATAATATTATTGAGATCACAATTGAATGCATTATATAACAATTATAAATTAGTTGAAATATTTAAATGTGCTAAACAGTAAAATATATGATAAATTTGCATTCAACAAAAATGACTTATAATAAAGATGTATGAAGATATACTCACTATGATATCTCCAGAGGTAGTAGAGCTAATAAAATTCAGTTTTTTTGTTTTGCATTTAACTCACAGAACTGAACATATTCACATTTCAATTAAATTTATATGTTTTGGTTAAGTGTAAAAAAATAACTTTTTTTTATTATTTTAAAAAAATGTTAAGAAACCCTTATGTAGAATTTATTCTTCTGAAAATGTTGAAGTTTCAACTATTTATTTTCATGAACCTCACGATTTGTTAGAAATAGTTACTTTATTTTGTCGAGAGGACCAATACTGAACCACGTTGTTATTTAAAAAAAAAAAAAGACATTGAGAACACTGAAACCTATAATTGGGTGTCTCGGTGTCTTTGATTTAAGATTTGAATTGCAATTCTTAATAACGTGTCCCGTTCAACTGTATGTTTTCATCGGATTCAAATACTAGCGTTTCCACTTCACTTTGGTATTGTAGTAGTAATTGAATAAATTGTTTATTTACATTTTTTGCTTTCCATTTTTTTTTTTTTAAATTATACACAAATATTCTAAAAAAAGTATTATCATTATTATTGTTGTGACGTCATCTTCATGATAGTTGTACTATTGCTACTTTTTTTTGTCGAGATTATAAAGAACATGTTTACATTTAATTGCCGACGAAGAAATCAATATTATTTATGGTACACATTAGTTCATAAGTGATATAAGACATATAAAACACACGATATTATATGACATACATTAGACATATTTCTTTAATTTCTCGAATACTGCATTATATTACTGTAAATTACTTTTTTTAAGTACCACTCAGATAAAATTTCCTTTCAGTAAAAGGTTAGGTTAGGTTAGGTACAATACTTGATAAACGAAGTAAGTTTTCTGGTAGAAAAAGTATTCACATAAAAAAAAAAAAAAATAAAAAAATAAATACCAATTGTAAAAACCAATACATTCCTCGTCCCATTCAAAATCTAAAAGATAAGTTTGAAGATAGAGATAAAGAAAATGCATTTTTAAACATTTAAGGGCAACAACGATTCACTGCAATAATAGTGACTGAGATTGAAACAGGAAATCTAAGTGCAAATCTTTTTTATTACACATTTATTTGGTACGGTCAATATCGGGCGATATAGCTAGTGAATTATACTTATTTGTGTATATCGTTTAATAATCGTTTCATTGTGTGATTATTTTTATAGTTATTATTTATTCAATTTGTTTGTGTGGGTACAGTTTTCTATTTGAATGATTATGTTTTTCGTGATTGATAACATAATAAAAACGTGATAATAATATTCCCTATCGATGGAATCAACTTTTTGTACTTTTATTCGTCTCGGATTAGATAATACTAATATATTGCTTGTTTTATTATTTCATAACATTGGATTTCACAATACTCAGATCTTAAGAATAAATTCAAAATAGTTAAAAATAATGTTCGGTTTTAAAAAATTACATATTATATTATAGTTTAAAAATCCTATCAAATTCACTCCGTTGAATGTTTAAATTCGAGTTTATTACCTTTAAACTACAGATCCAAATTTTATATGCGAGTTGAGATTGGAAATTCCTGGCAATTTAACATAATAAAGAAATAACCATGGAAAAAGTAGTTTTAAAGTGATCCCATATGTAGTGTAAGGTTGTTGATAGAAACATTAAAAATATTACACTTCAAAAAGCAAATGACATTTTTTAAATATTACATACTATTCATAATATTTAAGACGGTACTGTGGTGAAAAGTTTTTCAATACACCTAGGCGTCAAGTGTGAAATTAGGTGGGTGGGTATAGGTTGGTAAGAGGTACGTAAACAATTCACGGTAATCGCAAGGTACTTAGTATATTTTCGATATCAAAAAAAAAAAAAAAAATAGATTAACACTATTAAGTCCTGTCGTACGTCATTTTTTCATAAAAAATGTTTTTCGCGCCACTGAATTTTAAGGTAACGCACGAAAAAAGTTGAGGACATTATTTTAAAAGACGCCTCCTCTTTAAGGGGTTTAATTTATAAAATATAATTTTGAACACTTCAAAAATGATTAATTCAAGTGTTTTAATAAAATTGCAAGTGTATAAAAAAAAAATCGTGTTAATCGTTTTGTAGTATTAGATAGTCGTATTTAATGTTTAAAGCCATTACGGTAGCGGGAGGGGGGTGGTGAGAAATTTAAACCCCTCTGAATGTTCTGTCATTTTTGAATTAAAAAAAAAAATTTCCAGGGCCCCGTTGACCTTTTTCAGCGCATTTCTGTGATTATTATTAATTGTAATTGTAAAACACTTATGGTCTTACGAACGAAGGTGGACAGTAACAAAATGAAAAACTAAACCGAATAATCAAAGTCGTATCACGACGGCACGCAAACGGTATGCGTGCACCGTCGCGTAAACAATCGAACGGGAACGCGATTATCGAAACGCCGCGCCGCGCACTATCGATAAACCGCCATCGCCGTTATTATTATTATTATTATTATTATTATTATTATAGTGGCACGAACGGTGATAAGAAAAGGGGCGCACGGCGAACTCACGGCGGCGCGGCTTGGTTTTCGTGGGCCGGGACGGGCGAACAGAAGCGAGCGCGCGAGGAGGCGGCGCGGCAGCAGTAAGGTGGTTGGCGAAACATCGATAATATTCCAGAGGCGCGCGCTGGACAAACTCCCGTGCGGGACGACGACGCCGCCAGTGGCATCGTATCCGCCGCTTGACGTGGACCACCGCCGGCCGTGTCGTCGTCGTCGACTCACGCGCGCGCTCTCCGTCCGGACACTTTGCCGCACACCGAAAACCCCGTACGGTGCACGTGTACCTCACGAGTCGCGCGTACGCCCGGTCGGTTTTTCGTCTCGTATTCGTATTTTTTTTTTTATTTATTTATTGTTTTCATTTTTTCGGTTTTTTTTCTGTCCGTTCGTCTTCACCGCGTCGTCCCGTCTCCTCGTCACGCGTTATCACCGCGAGTCCGCGAACCGGAGGGGGGAAAAACAAAATAATAATAACCCGAAACGCACACCGCACCCCCCCGGCCCGCCATCACGAGGACCGCCGCGAGAACGGTCTCGCCGAAAACGACCGCGTTACGCTATTTGATTAGGTTTATTTTCACCCGGTGTACGGTAACATTAAAAAAAAAAAAATAATAATAATAAAATTAAAAAAAAAACCGACAGTAATATTGTTAATATTATAAATTAATACGCCCTCGTCGAAAAACGGGGAAAAAAAAAAAAAAAAAAACAACAACAAACGTTTCGATCGGTTTCGGCGCCACCAGTGACCGCTCCTGTGCTCGCACACATCATTTATACCGCGTACACCTGACCGATACACTACCCCGGGTTCGGGTTTGTTTTCTTTCCGTCTTCTCCGGGTTTTCCGCTCTATGAACGAGACATGAGACGGCTGACCGCTGACACGAACAGTGAGTACACTATATGCACATAAATATCGTTTTCCGTATACATATATATATATTATTTTTGTCCATGCCTTACGCCTTTCGTGGTGCTCTCAAAACACCTACGCTTTTACCTGTTGCCGTTGAAGGCTTTTACTGTTTTTTATTTATTTTTTTATCACCGGTTGATAGATCGACAGTACGACAGTACTTGTGAAACGTCGGAAAATACCCATTCGAACACGCCCATCTATCCAATTATACACCGGACAGTTTTAATTGACGCGAATAGATAGACGCACCGGTTTTCCGTTATTAAATACATTTTTTCGCATCAAATCAGAATCAAATTGAAAATTTTTTTTTTTACAAATGAATTTGCGGTTTAGTACCCGTATCTAGTGAAAACAAAAAATAAACTATTTAAAACAAGACGTATACTTGTCGACATACAACACTGATTTTGTTGCAGTATTTAATAAAAGTACATTTTTCCATTGATGAATTGTTGTTTTTTTTTTTTTTATCATTAAAAATAAGTTTAGGTTTTAATTAAATGTTTTTCATCCGATTTATATACATATATTTATATTATTTATATTTCATTGCTCGGTCGATTGCGGGTTACAATAAATTTTAATCGAAGACTTGAAAACAATAATAATTGTTATCATATCAAAAATCATATTATTATTACAGTTTTATGTGTCGTTGAAAAAAAACCTCTTCACAAGTTGGTCGGTGGTACTATAGAGTTTTCACTTTTCATACATAACGCACTTTGTGATTTATATTCGAATAGACCGCTTAATCTCGTGTTGCCACGAGAAAATAGATGGGCACATTTACTATTATACGTACAAAAACTACTTGTTAAAATATACAATATATCCTAGTTGTTATAGATATCTGTTAGAATTTCGGTTTGTCTTTCTTTACCAATTGTAAACCAACGCAACGAAAGGTAACGAAAAACTATGAAAATTCTGATATGTTTCGGATTCTTCTGAGTGTTATCTAAATGAAAATATTGATATTTATCTGAACATAAATAATTTAAATATTTAGTGTTTTCATGTGAAAATAGATAATATCGAAAATATTATACTACATCTTTAGATAAATTTTACATATATACGTATCAATGCTGTTTATAATACAATTATTAATAATCTTTACAGTAATATTTGTTTAATTTCAAAAAAAAAATGATCTTAAAATGTATCTACTTTTTTTTTTTTTTTTTAAATTTTAGTTATTTTTTTTTTTTCATAAATATCTGTGGATCAAAAAACAAAACCGTCAATCATTTATCAACGGTATCGTTTTAAACACAATTTATAATACTCTGCATTCTGCACTGCATTGAGATTTTTTTTATTATTATTCTGAGTAAAGCGAGTAATGTAATTTTTAATTGTAATGTTTTACTATGATATTTAATTCTTTTTGAGAGTGCAATTTTTCTACCAGAAATCTCACTCTAATCAAAAACATTATGAGAACTTTATTGTGGAATTAATTATTTAGTTGATGTGTTTGGATGGTTGGTTTTTTGTTTCCCAATAATTTTCTTCATAAATAAGTAAAACTGGCAATTTAATCATATTTGTTATTCATTTCTGGGTTATTTTGGCAACAAGAGAACAATACGACTAACTTTGCTGTACTCAGAATCGTTTTTTATTAGCAAAAATTAGTAATTAAAATTAATCGATACAAATTGCATTACTCTCAATACTTTTCCTGCCGATTTTTCTCTTAGAACATTGGCACATCATTCAATGATATTAACCTTTTTAGTTTTACTACGAATTTTTTCTTTTTGTATTTGTGAACAACTTTTCTACAAGAAATCTCACTCCCATGTGTCGAGTGTAGCATATTTTCTGCTAAGAAATTTCATTTAGTTAGTGCATTGAGGAGTTCATTTTATGATTTTCCAATGGGTTTTAATAATAATTGAGAGAAGAAGAAACATAAAAACGGATAAATTTATAGTTTTACGGTTTAATTATTTTAAATTTGTACACATATTTCCTACCAAAAATATTGCTTCGATAGAAAAATATCAAAATACTTTTTTTGTTTCATTTTTCATTCAGTTGGTGAGTAAAAGTGTTTTGTTGATTTACTTTGTATTTTTTTTAATAATAAAGGGAAACCGAAAATAACGTCGAAAGAAGGAAAAATTACGAAAATAATGCTTTGGTTATTTTCAATTGTATTTATTTTGTTGTAATTTAGTGAAAAATATGCTTGTAGGCTTAACATTCTGAAATCAAACTTATACTTGATAGCCATTTTAATTTTGCAAGTTTTTTACATCAATTTTTATTCAGTAGTTATTCTGTAGACAAAGTGTTAGATTAAATAAAAATGATCGATAATTTTACAGTTGGTTCAATATAAGTCGTATTTCGTGGTAAAAAAAATCGTTCGTTCGAATTCGAATCATTTTTCGTTAGCAATTTTTTATAGTTGCTTACATATATAAATTAAATAACTTTATGTATCGTACCTTTCCATACTCCCAACTATAACAGTGGTATACCCGTTTCCTGCAATCAGCTTTTTTTTTTCTTTTTTTTTCGTGTGTTATTGTTAATATTAAGGTAGAAATAAATACACAATTTAAATTAAAACAGATACTATTATTTTCTTCAAGGAGAATACATGGAACAAAGAAGAACTTTCAATTATACATTATAATAGTGGATAAATAATTAATAATATAATTTCTTTTCGAATAAAATAGAGTCCAATTAAAGAAATTAGCGAATCGTGGACCTATAACGAAACACAACCGGGACGAAAAAATGAATGAACATTTTTTTCCTAATATACTATATTTATAATTAATTTTTTAAACCGTGTTACTTTTCGTTGTTAACGTTGAAAAAGTTCGTCGGAACAAATTAAGGATAATGTTTTAATGAAACCCGTTCGTTTCTGTCATCAGGGTAGAGAGAACGTATTTTTTTTTGACAGAAAGAGAAATACATTTTTATCATTTTCGCAGTAAATTTGGACGGAGAAAAATCCATGTCAGATTTTGTTTAAAACCTCGCAGACTTATATAAGCGTAATTATTACATTAATGTTATAAGATTATTAATAAACAAAAAAAAAAAAAAAATACGATATAAAAACTACACGGTAAACGATTTTAAAATGATACATTTTTGTATAGGTAATTATTATATAAATTTGCGATGTTTAAGTATTATTACAATTTATTTCCATTCTCAATAGAAACAAATCGTTGTTATTAAAATATTTATTCGTCTAATATCAATTACTCATGGTCTGTGATTATTTAATGGGTTTGAAAAAATACAAAGATTATTGTAAAATTGTATAATGTATAATAAGGGATCGGATTGAAGCTGGATGGAAATGTTAAAAAACTATTGAAAAATATACTAAAAATAGCAAAAGTTGCTATTAAAAAAATGACTATTGTCGCAATAATACCATCAAAAAAAAAAAATCCCCTAAACATTTGTTTTATACAAAATAAATACAAACACGAGGTAATTCCAACTGATCAATAAATAATTTGTTATCTATTGGAGTTTAGGAAATATATCACCAACCGTTATAGGCGAAGAAAAGCATTAAAGCGAATATCGTGGAGATTAAATTGCTTGCGATGATATTTTGAATTAGGCATCTAAATATAAACTATTAATCTGTAACGTACTATTACAAACATACAGTCTAAAAATAATTTCAATTATTGGACAATTCTAAACTAATTCTCGAAAAATTGGAAAGAGTTAAAACTTAATTCCCCTCTTGAAGTATCTGTTACATGAATTGAGTTATACACTTAGAAAGCTTTATCTCACTTTTTATTCATATCCAAATCCTAGTAATAAGACTAGACCAATACGTCATATACTTTTTTAGTTTGTCGGTTTTCAGATTCTTCGTTTCAACGCTAAAACATTATTAAAATTAAAAATTAAAATAATTTTAAAATAGATTATTAAACGAGTATCTAAATTAAGAAAATAATATGTATTTTTCCTTTTTTTTTTTATTTTTTCAATGTCAAAATTTATTAACACGTTAGGATGTCTGACGTTTAAATGAATTAATTAAGCAGTGGATAAGAATATTAACTTGATTACTTGAATTTGGGAAAGAAGTCTCTATTATCTTTTTTTAATCATCTATTCCGGTATAATACAAATAAAATATTGCTTATTAATCGCCGAAACGGGATGACTAGGTTTAAGCTGCAGTAATCGTTAATGGGTATCTGGGCCATGAGGAAGAATGTGTGATATTAAAAGATAACTTCGGAAACCGTTTGAAGGACGCTTTTAATGTAAAATATTATAACACCCAAATGACGAAATTAAGCAATTTACTGTTTGCCATATACTCGTATATAGTGGAACACAAATAGAAATATCAAATTTAATATAATGAAATTTGGAACTGACATAGCACTAACCGAAAAATGTTTTTTTTTTTCGTTTTTTAGTAGATATTGATTTTACAATACTTTTTATTTATAATATAAATTGACATTGACCCGATGTGCTAAATAATAAAACGTAGTTAATAAAACTATTTAATTTTGTTAGCACCTATTCTTCCTTAAAATTAAAACAATGTGTTTAAATATTTCCGGCTATCTTGATTATAATATTAAATAATAATAAAAAAAGTGTACGTTATGTTTAGTCCAGTTTCGTTTAGATGAAAATAAGTCATATTTGCTAGAATATAACAACTTAGATGAATTTAATTTACACCTAAAAATAAAACAGATACATACAAATTTACTTAATTATCTATAGGTTAAGATAAAATTTCAGCAACTTTTTACCTAAATTAATAACAATGGACCATTCTATTAAAAATTTAAAAAAAAAAAGTAATAAAACTGTACCAGATCTGGTATATATCTAGATTTATAAAGGTTTTGTGTGATTGATGTAAGTTAATTAATTAAACGATATTTCTTCAGCTACCCATAAAAAAATTCTTAAATCGGATTTTTTCATTAGTTGCTTTTTATATAACATTAATATCAGAAACCTCCTTTCAAAATAAAAGATGAAAATATAATTATTTAGATAAATTTTCTAGATTAAACACAACAACGATTACATCTGATATTTGTATATAGCAGGTTTTATACGCACGTGACTCAATATACTATTCATACGGAATACCGTTAGTATCGTTGTCTACAAAAATATTATATTTTTACAATAACTAAACTATATGAGTATAGTAAGTATAGTAAATACATGGTTTTTTCGGCTCATCTATCACATTTATCATTTTTTTTAATTTCGTTCTACGAAAACACATCGCCAGCTTAAAAGTACACTATAAACCTAAACCGAACGCGAAAAAATCTTAAAATCCTTTTGGACATACACATAAAAACCATTTGTTTCAACCCATTCCATTTAATAAATGGTTCCCTTGTTAGTAGTGCGACCCGACGAATATCCGTGGTGTACGTGATGCTGGACAATCCCGGCTGAGTATATTTATTGTTAAAGTCGTTCGTGATATAATTCGTTATAGTGAATTTTATTTTCCCCTCGTTATCGACGCACCGTTGCTGCCAATAAAACAATCGAACCACATTCAAATCATACTTGTTTAAATAATATTTGTTTTGTTTTTTTTTAAAAAAAACTTACTGGCTTCAACATCTAAAGTAGTTGGCCTACATTTTTTCAAGTATTTCATATTAAAATTATTAATATTTACAATATTGATTGAGCTAGAGTTTGTTAGTTAGATTGCATTTTCAGAAGAACTTTTTGATTTTTAAAGTTTGCAAGTCTTCATTGATAATTTCTTTGGTGTTGCTCAAGAGACTAAACATTGTGCATGTTAGTTTGTATGTAGGACATTCCTCGAATATGTGTTTAATTGTGATGTATATTAGACATATTGTGTTGCATAGTGGTGGATGATTTTTGCCTTTTAGAAAGAAATGTATGGCAAAAATGTACCAGATTCTTATTTTAGTGATCTTAACATCAAATTAGGTCCAGTAAATAACTCATTTTATTACATAATTTGGTGTAAATGTTTTGTAATGATGTTTTTTAATGACATTTCGGTTGATATTTGAGGTATTGTGGTGAGATATTTTGTTAATAATATTATTATATTTATTTCAACAGTTGTATTATATTATTTTATTCTAAGTTATACAGCAGAAAAAATTAGTTTTCGAAAGATGTATTTGATTCTTACGATATACATTTTCCATTTGACGGTACCTTATTTAAAGAATTTTCCAAAGCAGTTCCAAATACTTTTTCGATAAATTTAATACTCCGTTCAGAATGCACTTTGCTGTAAGCAGTTACGGTCAAAATCATGTTAACGGACACAAAAAACAAAAACAAAAAAACCCACGTCATCATAAAACTAATAGGAAAAAAAAACCACATGCAATGTCAAAACATTAATTAGGTCAGCGCGCACGCCATATATCGGTTAAAATTGTATAATTACAATAAATTTAGGTGGAGTTTTGTTCATGAGCTGTGGATCTAAAAACATAAATGAATGTATGTAAATGATAATATTATTATGATACTAAGTTATAGAATAAACAATGCAAAATGCACGTGTGCGCGTACACACGGAATGTGTTGTCGAACAATAGTGCCACCAATCAACGAGGGCGTCTGTTCATGTCTATTCTTTTTTTTTTTTTTTTTATTCTTAAAATATTGCAGTACAAACCGAAGAAGGATACCTGCGTGTATGTACCTGCAGTGCAGGGTATTATAAAAATAATATGTGGGCCGAGTTGTTATAGTAGATAGAACAGGTAGGTTCATATTATGACAGTCATGCATAATGCAATATTATTATTGTGCCCGTCACGCGGTTTTCTCCACTGAAACATTATTATTATATTTTATATATTTTAACAAAACTCCGCGTTTTTTTATTTTTTTTTTTTTTTTATCGTTTTCGCCGCGTATTTATTAAATTATATCCCTTGTATTGATTCGGAGTAGTTTTACTATTATTTAGTTTGACACGATAATAATATTAGCAAAGTCGGCGAGTATGTAGCACGATTAAATCATTATAGATCAAATTGTCGCGTGACGAGTACCAGTGATGAAGTAATAAAACATAGATAACAAACAATAATATAGACATTTCATAGTTTTCGATCTCGAAATATGGCAAGTTTATAGGGCTCAGAGGTTCGTAACCAGTGGTCCATAGACCCTTATTAGAGGATCCGTATACAGTTACACGAAGAACCAAGAAGTTTTTACGAGAATTTTTCTTCAAATAACCTAAAAATATAGTCTGAATTTTGTTTATAAGTTACAATCAAAAAATATTCACAAAACTAAATGGATATTAAAGATAATAATATGCATATTGTTCTATCCAATATTACTATATCGAATTTCAAATCCATAATATTGTAATAAAAACAACAGCAAATATCACGCTAAAACTTACATAAAGTAAAATGCACTCGTATGTAACTTAAAACGTTTTTGTTCACAAAAATATATCGAACGTTTTTTAAGTTTTGATATTATCATTCAAACAGAATATTATGTTTTTTATGGGAGTCTTTTTTTTTTTTGATAGATCATGTAAACCTATTGCAAAGTGATGTTTTACCGATACAGTTAATTAAATGATAATATCTAAAAATATTAATTAAACAATATTACATAGATGCTTTTAAAAAGTGATTTGCAGTAAACGGTGATATTCCGAAGAGGAAATGGTTATAAACCGTTATTTACTTCCCTGTAGGCTACACCACTGATTATGCAATACATTTATAAATAACTCTAAACTGTCCATGAAAATCGAATAAACTGCCATGATAATACATAAATACGAATAATATTGAGAATATTAAAACAATACATAAATAAATTATTTGTGCTCCAGATAAATCAAATAAATTTTAAAATACTCTGTATATGTATAGACCAATAAAGCGTACCAGTATTTTATTTGAATATAATATTATTGGAGCTTAAAATTTTACCGCTTTAACAAAAATTCCATCGACATGATACAAAATGACGATGTAGTTATTTGTTTTTAGTTTTATGATGATAGTACAATGAATCCGAACAAACGGCGTTTCAAACAATGCATTTAAACTTATGGAAAAATAATTACGCTGAACACAAATAAAATCTACAAACATATTTTATCTTAGAACACGAAATTATGTACCTATGGAAAAAGTATGATTATAGATTATTCTCGGTAATGTTCGAACGTAATTGTATATTATAAGGAGAATAAAGTGCAAAAATTCGAAATCCACAAACATAGATTATGTTCGGTTGTTTCATGGCATTTTCCGGGGGAATATTTTAGTTTCTTTTCAAACCATTGGACATTTTTAGAGATAATCCGCTTCAAACAATAAATGGTCGGTTTTGATTATAAAGAAAAACAAAATCATTTAACATTAACATATCATTATAGCATCGAGTGTTATATATATATATTTTTTTTTTATTAAATTTTATTTCGTAAACGGTTTCTAATAATATCAAACACTTTCTATGGCTTAAGTAGTATAAATAATGAAAAAACTCTCAGATTTTAATAACATATAAAATAATATAATAAGGTATATAAGATAATTATAAACATATAACATTACATTAACACGGCTTATTGTATAGGCAATTGTAGTACAACAGTGAGTAGGAGTAGACAATAAATGTCGTATGAATGGCGTGTAGGCGAGTACATATTAATACAATTTTATTATTATAATATTGTTTAAATTGTAATTCAAAATATTATTAACCGTGCAATTTCGATTTGTCTAAACTGACGAACAAACTAAGACTGACAATATGATATAACAGTCTCAGCCTCTATTCAATTTGTCCAAAACGTAACAAATTTTGTTTTTATTATTATTATTTATCGATATTATTTTTATTATTAATCGACATTATATTACCTATAACGACTGGTGGAGTTTTTATCAGTATTGTTTTTTTTTTTAAATATTATTATAAAGTTGAGATATAATATTATACAAAAGTACAGATGCCGTCTGCATAATATTATAATAAGCAAGTGCTGGAATCTTTATAGAAGTGATCACCAAAATCCGAGCGGAACTTTGTTTCCAAAGCCATTTATCACTTTACGCATATATCTACCTATAATATACAAGAGGTTAAATAATATTGGCGGTAAGCCATCTCCTCGTCTTAATCTCAATCTTAAACTCATCTGTAACACTGTATAACACTGTATATACGTACAACATTCATCTTAGACGTACACAATATGATGTACGAGTATTCGATCGTACCGAAATCGCCGACAAAATAACATCTACAACAATCAACTTGTATTATTATTATTTATTTTTTTCATTAAGCTTAACATATTATTAAATAACATACTAGCTGTAGATTTTATTTAATGTATACATGTATTACACATATTATTATTTCTTTAAATACAATTAAAATTAAAATTAAATATTTGGTGTTTAATGTAATAATAATAATTATAAAACATATGACGGATAGTCGAAAATTATCGAAACTGATTATGTTAGCTATAAACTGAGCATTAAAGAACAGTACAATTGGTATTATTTGACGATTCTGTAATGAACTCGGAAGTTTATAGAGAGTCTACAAAAACGGGTGTGTTCCGAAGAAGTCAATAGAAAATCATTATGAGCAAAATTTGTCTAGCCTTGAAATATAAAATGTTTAAAACTTATGTCTACAACTTTTTTTTTAAAAATAATTAACTTATATTTTGATTTCTCTGGATACATCGTATATCCGTCAGGTTTTGTTATACGATGAATAAAACTTCGTCACATAATATTGTACCATGTGTGAATTAGTGAATTTATGTAATTATTTATTATAATCTATTAAGTCGGTTTTCTTATTTTTCGCCGTTTAATAATCGAAACGCGTTAATATATGGACACACATTGTATTATGATTCTTTTTTTTTTTTTTGTTTGTTTCTTTATTATTCACCATGCATCGCGTGCCATAAATTATACTTGTACCACTATCAAATTTTTTTTTACCAGTTGATAAGTGATCCATCCTTTAGTATCATGGAAGAAAAAAAAGCTGTCCTAGGATAATGGGAACACGTGTAGCCACTGATATAGGTAGGAAGTTAGAAAGGTAGGATATAGAAGAGAATTTAATGTATATCTGTAGAGAAAGATAATCTATTGTTAATAAAAAAAACGATTCTGAGCGGAATTCAGTTTATAGTGATGATTTGTAACAATATGTATATCATATCATGGTAAAATATTTGAATATTCATTAAATATTTATTTCAATAAAATTTGTTTAGTATTATACCGATTTCCAGGTTCCTTATGTTTTCTCGATTTTCTCGTGTTTTTTTTTCCTGTTTTTTACATTTAATAAAAAACTATCGGAAAAATCGATAAATCGAAAAAATTTCCTTTCAGAAAATATTCTAGATCGTATATATCAGAGTGGAAAAAGCGTTGAAGTGGAAATGTGAAAGTGAAAAGAATAAAAATTAAACATCATTGTAAAACCAATACATTCTTCACTATACTCAAAATCTAAATATAAAGAGGTGGTTTTGATAAACATTCCCATTTTTATGGTTCTTTAAATCAACTAATTATTAGTTTTGGTGTAAGAGTAATTTTTTCTACCATATACGTACCTGCTTATATGCGTTACATACATTTTTGTATTATTAAATATTGTTTAGTACTCTGTAAACAAGACTCGTTACAAGAACAGATCTTTTTTAAAAAAAAGAAACTATTTGACCTATTGAATATAATATTATTAAAAATCCATTGACCGAAATTTAATTTGAATCGACTATTCTGCAGAACAAATCAAATCGTGTATTTGCAGGTTATGCGTATAGAAGTCTACAAAAACAAAGTCTATTGATATATCAATCGGATTAGGATTACTGCGGTCCCGGATATTGGTATCCGACCTACCACAGAAAGTATACTATATAGTACGCCGCGTGCCGTAAGCTCATTAACCACTATAGCAGGTATCTAAAATCTAAAAAAAAAAAAACCTTTCCAATCACTCGAAAATACAATAATCTATCTATTATAGTTTTATTATAACTGAAATCTTTTCTTCTTGAAAACTATTTTAAACGACTTTTATGGAATACTAATGGTTTTCTTTTATTAATAAGTGACACGAATAAAAAAATACTTAAATTCAGCTATAAAGTGATCGATTTATTGTAAAAAATAAATTTAAAAAATATTAATATATAATTCAAAAAAAGATTATTTTTATGACATATTAAATAGGTATTATCAGACGTATTTCAAATGTATAAAACACAAAAGTATTGTAAACTTCAAAAAAAAAAAAAAAAAAGAAGTAATTATTTTATCTTAACGATATTTATCCAACGCTTTTTTTCGATATTTTAACGGAATTGGTCGTTGCATGTATGCACTTTTAAGTTATGTTTTATTTTCTTTTAGAATCTGAACGCAGCAAGGAAGTTACTAAAATGTGTTTTTTTCTTCTTACCCTACCTTCTTACCTACAACAGCGGCTTACCCATCATGTGAAGTATGTCCGTCTGTTTGTTATTTTTTTTTAAATCGAGGCGGCCGGTTTCATTGTAAAAATTCAATTATTTTGCATTCTGTAGTATGTTACTCATGGCCTTTGAAAACGTACCATATTTATTTATACGTATTTTATCTAATCTGCCACTCGTTTGAATGAAAAAAATGATTTTTTTTTTACAATTAATACGTATCTTTCGTACGCTTATTATTCCAATAATAAAACTTAGCTAAAACACTGTGAAAACCTGTTTTTTTTTTTTTTGTTGTTGTTTATCAACGGACTTACTATAATTACATTGGCTATATGCGCAATGTACTGATATGTCGGTGTCCGAATATTACATTATTATTAAATGAATCAAATTTGTATTATCTCATTTTCACATTAGGAGATATGGATTACGGCCGGTGGTATTTAATATATTTAAAAAAATTATGAGATGAAATAATGAGATACTCAACAGGAGGTTTTATCCAAAGTTAAAAAAAAATCTACAGCAAATAACGATATTTTGGTTTTATTTTTATTTTTTTATAGAGCTTTACCTTGACTTCAAAAGAAAAAAATCATAATTATTATAATAATAAAGCATTATCCAATTTATTGAGTTTCATATAGAATCGGTTTTTGATTGAAATTATCTATCGATGTTTAGTTGTATACTAATACAAACTAAATTGCGTCCTACAAACGTTAATATTGACATACCAAATTATTTATAAACGATGGCATGACAAAATACGGTTTACTTGAATATACATATTTATTGTATTGGCCAGACTGAATGGTTTTTTTTTTTTAAATCTATTTTCCATTCTTGGATTCATACCTTCTTTTAGACTCGGAGTAAAGCGAGAAATGTATTGGTTTTATAATGATGTTAATTTTTTTACCTAATGTTTTTCTGGTGAAACAACTTTTCAACCAAAAATCTTGCTCGATGTATCAAGTGCAGTATCGATTATTGGTGCTGAATTTTTGGATTTTCTAAGCAATTTTCATAATAATCCGGAAAAACTTACAAAACGTAGTAGTGTTTTCATTTTTTTTTTTTTTTTTTTTTATTTATTGTGATTCAGTTAAAAATTATCGTAAAAACCTAACATTTTGATTGAAAAAGTATTACATTTTCATTTTATAGGTTTGGTAATATTTTAAAAACATTTTAGCCGTTTTTAAGGTATTTAAAGGTTTTTAAATTTATATTCAGTAGATATTCTGTGGATAAAATTACCAAATAGGATAACTTGAAATGAAAATTTTTACAAGAAGTTCAATTTAAGTCATATTATTTAGAAAAAAAAAAAAAAATTAATTTTGACAAAAATCGTAAATATTACAACCTTTCACAACACATATAACTCCGCTCAAAATGGTTTTTTTGTTATCAATGATTAATCGTTGTGTATAGATATACATTAAAAATTCCCCTCCTTATTCTACCTGCTCACTTGCAACAGTGGCCCAGCCACCGTACGATATATGTCAGTCTTTTTTCTTTTTTTTTTTTTAAAACGTGTACGAACATTTTTAATGTTTTTAACAAACATGGGTATCTATAATAGCACTGTACGGGCAAATAAAAAATTTGCATTAGCTTCGTTTAAAAAAAAAATAAGTTAATTGGCTTAGCGTACAACTAAAAATTAGCCCTCGCTGTAAATAGTCATTTATTATACCGTTAAACATTATTATTTACTACATAAACACAAATTGTGAACGGAGTATCGCGATTAAGGTACCTACACAATAAAAACACTAAAATATTATTAAACTCGTAGCTTATAAATTTTATCGGAAAATAAAAATAAATACGCCGCAGCTAAACTGCAGTTTAAACACTACGATTTTGGAAAATAGAATATAATTATTAAGCTATTAAGGGAATAATACGAGTGCTAGCTGTATATTAGTACGATTTATGTTATCTAAACACTTGATAATATTATTATTATTATTATTGCGATTATAATATTGTACACTTTTGGAATTCAATAACAGATATTATTTACGATAGGACTTATTATAACTGTAAAATATCGATTCTTTTTTCCCCTTATTTTTAAATTGGCTATAATTATTTGTTGTTTATATAATTACAAGTAACTGAAATAATATGTTTAATTGGTAGACGATTCGTTGCAAAAACACATATTTCATGGGTTAATTGATAAAAAGTTTAACGTCTTGGTATACGTTATATTGCAACCTTAATTTAAATTTACTCTTAGAGTCGGCTGCTATTTAGATACATTTTTTGTCATTCATTAAATTTATTGGCTACCTAAGTAAGTACGATAGTAATAACATAATATACTATTTGGAAATATTTCTAAAAATCGTATTAATAATACAATCTAAAAAACAAAAAAAAACACCTATCTACATTTAGAAGACTGTAAATTATATTATTATAGGTAAGCAATGGCACGGATTTCACGAATATTATTATTGTATTACCTATGCTCGAACAAACATAGAGTGGAAAAAAAATAAAACGATTTTTTATAACTCTGAGACATAATATATATTTATACATTATGAATACATTTTATTTCGTAACAATTGTCGTACTTATATTATATTTTTTAATATACGCATATAACTCTAAAAAATATTATTCAATAATATTATTGTACCATTATAACGTCACTAAAACGATTTGTTCACGGATTAAGTGTATATTTTTAACGGTCTTTTGTGTATACCTACCCATGCAGTAGTGTTATTAAACACCAACGATTTAACGTATCTACGAAAATAATAAAAAAAAATTCGTATAAATAGTCCGATGTAGTGATATTACCTAATAAAATATCTACAACATGTTATTTTTATACGTTGTGGTTGGTTTTACGTCCGACTTGAAACTGTATGTTTTCAAGTCTTTCCCCCTGACAGTTCGTTATATTGATAACGATAATATATCAACGAAAAGCTAAATCGTTATTATTAAAATAATATAAAATATTTGTTTACTTAATAATTAATAAATATTTACCGAAAAATTCAGGTTATATAATTAGAAAATAGCTATTTTCGTTGATTTTGTTGGTCGGCTATATCACAACTATTGCGAAATCGCCGTTTTGATTTAAGACCTACATTAGTTCACTCTCCCACTAAATAAACCGAGAGGATTCTAGAAACCGATTACAGCAAATGGTTTTTCTTAAAACAGTTTAACTATAAACAGATATTTCGGCTTTTTTAAAATTTACACACTATTTCAATGGTTTTTCGTAATCGTTTTTATTAATGATTCGACCAATGAGACGGCAAGACGGCAAGACGTGAAAACAGCTAATTTTTATGAAAAAAAAAACATTTATCGTTTTTTATTCGGTCGTTTTATTGCCTTTAAACCTAACATTATGATATAATTGGCGGGCCACTATACATGTAACTTCAATCGTACCTGTTTCGTAACTTCAGTAATAATATCAAGGGAATAAATTACTTCCGAAATAATTTAACGTCTCTTACTAATATAATAGTAGTAGGTAGGAACTCGCGAGTATTGACTACCGCATATCGGGGCAACATTGACGAACTGTGAAAATACTATACCAGTCTCTACACCATAACGATTATTATTTCGCAGCGTCGCTGACGTCTAGCGTTATTGCTATTTCATCTAAATACACATTTATTTTATCGGTTTTATCGCATATCCACATTAATGAGGGGAAAAATCTTCTAAGCCGTTACATGCATAGATCAATAATTAAATCACATAGATTAATATTTTTAAAACAAAATTATAATTTTATATTACTCATCCGAAAACAGATATTAGGTCAAATATTTAGTCTTTATGAATATGGATAATATGGTGTAATTTAGTTGCATCGATTTGGGGTCAAATGCAAATAAATTTGTCTATAATTGTCAGACTCGAACCCTTCATAATATCGATTATAATATTATGGACACCGCATTAATTCACTGAGATCCCATCATAACAGAATAATTATTGTTGGTATGTATGATAAGGTAACCATTTAAAACGATATTAACTAAGCTAAAGGATTCTATTTTGTATCTGTGGCTCATTTCATGTAGGGAATGATAATATGCGTGCTTTATCTGGTACTACAATTTGAGTCCTTAGTTATACTTACTATGGACAATGGAAAATATTCATATGATTTTTTTTATCTAGATTCAGATCAGTGAATATTTATCTATATAATTAAACCATCGTTATGTGTCTTTAATACGTGTATCTTGATAATTAATCTAGCAATTATTTCTTCTCTTTTTAATCAAGTATTTTAACATTTCTCATTATTTACAAAACTGTTCATCGAAAGATAATCGGTTTTATTGTGTTAAACTGATTTTGTCCAGTGCTCTAATACTACATAGTAATTTGCTGAAATTCTTAGTACCTAATATACTAAAAATCTGCTATAGAAAACAATCGAAATGAAAAATAACAAGCGATTGTGTTAAATAAACATAATATAAACACCGAAACATTCATGACTTCACGATGTTTTAGATTTATCTTGTTGAGATTATGATTGTGTGCGAATAATAATATTGTTTCATCGTTAATGAGAGAAAACCTTTTAATTTACGATTTTGTGATTTTTAATCCTGAATTTAAAATGGAACATAGACTAAAGTATTAAAATAAAATCTCCTCTTGTATTATCTCGTGTTCTATATTAGGTATAGAATAATGAAAAATAAAATATATTCCTCCTTACACTAAGAATTTGAAACAAAACCGTCAAAACCTCCTGCGTCTTCACTACATAAATTACTTACTTAATACGTCAAATCCTTTTACAATTGATACAAATAAAAGTTACGGACACACGTTGCACCATGAGTGGGCCATTGTTGTAGGGTTTGTTATAAAAGACCGTAATATTTTCCGTAAATTTTCCTATTTATTATGAAAACTTTTGGGAAAATCAAAAAATGGCTTACCTAAGCAGATTTTCTTTTAGAAAAATTGCTACACTTGAAAATCAGAACAAAGTTTCTGGTAAAAAAGTTGTTTAGAGAAAATAAAAAAATAAATATCATTTAGAATATGCAAAAACTTCCTACGTGACAAAATTATTTCAAAAATATACTGAGCTATATACATAATAAATAATGATTTTATCATTTTTCAAAATACTTATCAACACGTTCTGTGTTGATAAATATGAATTATATTTTAACTAATTGAAGACTCACTGTGCTATACAATATTCATAGTGGGCTTGTAATAGAGCCAATCACGATAGTTTATATATTAAATTGAAATTTTTAATCGTTTTACACGTACGTCAGAATAAAATTTGTATCTAGGATATGAGGATGTACGTGCATTTTGATTAACTAACACTGTGGTCTGTATATATATAAACCAGGTTTATTTAATATTTAAAGCATTTAAAAAAAAAGTAAGTTCAGCAGGACAAAATTATTTGTATCTTCCTGTACGACAATATAGTTTTAAAATAATAACAAACGATAGACATCCACGTGATAATAATATACCATATCAGAATGATACGTAATAGTGTCACATGACAAGAATTATTAAGTTTACGACAAAAATGTTGTTGTCGAAATTTTAAAATTTTGACGACGTGGACTGGACCTATAGTTGCTCAATCTGAAAGTTTCTAAAAGTCGGGACTTCACTGAATTGTTTTCACCTAAGTCTTAACAGGACCTAGGATTTTCGAGTCGACTATTTTCTAGAACAGTGAGTTGAATACTTGCCTACGGTTGAATTGTAAATTTGTTTATTTTTTCTTCTGAAAAGTCAGATTTTTGTGCACAATGGAAAATTATTTTCTTCACAAACGGCGATATTATGTTTTAGGATATAGTTTTCCAAATTATTATTCGGTAAAGACCCATTGCAGTGGAAATTAGTTAACGCGTTTCGCTCCGAGTGGTAATATACTACAACAAAATACCGCGTGGCACAGTGCACGCGTGTCTGCGGTGTTATAGTTACACGATTTTCTTAATGACGTTTTCGGGGAGAGGAAAAGGGTTTTGCGGGTGGACAAAAGTGGTGGGGAGAGCTTGGGCGGTTTTTGCAGAGAAACCAGCGGCGGTGGCGTGTGTTCCGGTTGTCGATAAATAACTATTATCCTTTGAGTACGACTCCCCGCCTTCCCCAAATCGCTTCTCTGTCACTCCTATCCCCTTGCATTTACTCTTATATTACTCTACAGAGACGGACGGGGAAATATCTGGAGAAGGAAAGAGAGAGAGAGATTTTCGGGCCACCACCTCCTCACAGCCCCCATGACGCCGACGGATATTAGCCGCAATTTCCTGAAAGCACTCTCTAATGGATATTGCCACGCGTTTTCCTCCCGTATAAGCCTTTTCGCTCCGTAACAATTAGGATTCGGCATTTCAATCTCTTCGCGACCGCATTGTCCAGCAATTTGTTTGGTTTCTATTCGAACGCCCCTCCAACACACTCCCATTGACTAGCCTTTCCACTGCTACCACCCAAAACGCTTCTAAACTTTTCACGACGCGTGTTTAGGCTCATGGTAACTTGTTATTGTATTTCCGCACTATTTAAGATCTTCAATTTACTCCGTATAATAAATAACATAATAATTATTGTCTTCATACATGTACAATTAATAATATTGTAACTAAGAGGGGAAAACAAATCGAAGACGATATATTACTATAGACGTAGTCTATTCGGCTTCCGTTTTACAAAAACTGAATTCCCACACGGCTCCGGTTTTTTACAACTTAATATCACAAATACACATTATATGTGCTATATCCGTATCTGGTTTAATTGTGTAAAAAAAATTGATGAAATTCCATTAACTAGATGAAATTTGTTTAACAACACCTATATATGCATGTAGTGTTTGAAACGTAAAATCCAAACTACAATAATTTCTATAAATTCGATAGAACTCGTTATCGTTAAAAGTAAGATATTACACGAATGTTTTCTACATCAAATCTGTATTTATTTTGTTGCGAGAAATGTACGCATTGTACCGATAACCGGAGCCGTTTGCGAATTACCTCGTGCAACCTTTTTCGACGGAAGCCGTTTGTGAAAAAACAAACAATAGATGGGAGCCGTTAGGGAGTCGACTATTATTATATAATTATAATTGCAAACCAATGAACCCGGATGTGCTGAACTCCTGATCCTGCATGTCGATCGGAAATCCAAATAACGATGCCCAATTTTAGTAGAATAAAAATGACACAGAGATGATCTAAAAACGTTTTTGTTTAACCAATACTGTAATTCATATTGTCAAAATCGGTACTAATAATTCGGGGCTTACGAAACCGTCATTCTCGCATGGTTTTCGATTAATTCGGTAACGATATTAACATAAAATAAAAAGTCAACTATCAGCCCTACTCCAAGAATATTTCTGCACATTTCAGCTTATAATATAGGATCAGCTATGATATAATTATTGATTGATATATATATACATATAACTATTTGGATTCAGCTATCTTTATTCTACACTTTCACTTGAATCGATTCCTCACATCGTCCACGCATATACCTGCCATCCTGATATTCCAATCATATCTTTTCTGGTCTCCTCTTCTTCTCCTTTGTCCTACGTCTGTTCTCATTACAATTCCTACTACTTCTGATTTCTCTCTTCTCATGATATACTCAAACCATCTCTGTCTATTTTATTATACTTTGTCTACTATCGAAGACAAACCTAGGCTACGTCTAATGTACTTATTCATTATTCTATCTTCTCATCTCATCCCAGTCATCCATTTAAGCATTCTCATTTTTGCGTGTTGCAACGACATTCAAATACAATACAAGTAGAATTATTCCATAAAATAAAGTTTGTAACATTTAATTTATTATTTTTATCCAAATTTAAATTAAATTTGTATTATTTTTGTTTTTATTACGTAAAAATGATTCAGCACAATTATTGGTGTATATTTTTTTTAGACCGGTGCACTAAACGTTTATAATACAACAGTGTTTTATTATAGTTATAATGACTAGAGCTATGTACTATGATTCTTTTATTTAATGCTTGTAAATTTAAAAAATAATACAAATTTACATTGTTCACAAAATCTAAGACGGCCGATATCAATTTATTTTTATTAAAATAATAGTTTTACAAATTTCGACTAATGATAAGCCGTTAGATTTTTAAAATTGTTCATAGTTAACAAAAATCATTTACAAAATTCTCTCATGGAAAATTATCTGAAAATATACTGTCATTAGTGGTAATAAGTAATAATAACAACTAGGTATTTAAATCGTTATAAAATTTACAAATTTTTGGAAATTTAATGAATTATTAGTCAACTTTTGTACACACAAACTTGTTTCGAAATAAATTTATAACAGTATGGAAATCTTCAAATTAGTAAAAAAAATTACAAAAATCCAAAAAGTCATTTGCAAGGTTTTTCATTATTATGGAAAACAAATGGACATTATATGTTTATTTTACGTTAATAGTCGACGAATGAAAATTAAATTTTGATCGATATATATATTTGTATGTATACTATTTATTTAAATTATTTTTACGAATCAACACTCGACTTTTTCAAAAGCTTAAAAAACTATTTTCATTATAATCCCCGGTATAGTGATAATTCAAGATTAGAAACACATTTTTTTATAATTATTATTATTTAATTGACTACATATCGAAAAAGTTCTGAAAAATAAATTCTTCAAAAATTATGTCTTCGATTATAACTGTGGCTAATAATATTTATTTATTTATGTTTTGTACTTTTATGATTTTATTCAAAGTCTTACAACTTTAAAAAAAAGTAAATATTTGAATGAATTTCCTACGCAATATGTCATATATTACTGTATTTACTTTTGATGACAGATAAATCTTGATTTTAGTATTCACAGTTTGGATACAATTATGAGAAATATATAATAAAAACCGAAAAATCATTTACGCTTACATTCTTGGAATTCTCAAAACCCCATAAAATAATTATACTTCAAAATGTTATACAAAACTTTAAAACGAAATTCTGATTTCAGAATTCAGAATCTGGATTTACAATGAATTTCGGATTCACGAAATGCGACACTTCCGAAATATATTCATTATTTCAATTTGTATATGTCATTGGAAATTATTTGTTAAATATTCCTAATTGCAAGTATTAAATAAAAATAACTTTAAAAAATGTATAACATATGGCATCGAAACAGTGTAACATGAAGTTTAAATTTATTAAAACAAAAAATAATAAATAACATGAATAGATTGTGCACGTAAAGTTTTTTAAGATTAATATTATTCATTGATAATTTGGGAAACGGTATAGGTACATTAGTTATTTAGTTTCCGTTTAAAATTATATTTTCGAAAGAACACAGTCGAATAAAATTGTATACATTTATAAATCCGTTTACCCGGAAAATTGGTTGATTGAATAAAAAGTTGATAAAATAATTTATATAAATCCGTAATATATGAATGTTAATCAAATAACGGCAACGATAATATAATTTTCGAAGTGCATTTTTTTCCCCTACACTAAATTTATCGTGTTAATTTAATAATAATTAACGATTAATAGTTTGTTATTAATAAATATGTTAACATTTTATCATAATACAATGATGACGATTGAAGTTAATAATTCCAAAATTGTTCGACATTTTTAAAAGTTTTTCGAACCCATATGTTAGGCCCATTGCACATTTTTTTTTGAAAATATTGAAAAATAAACCTTTTCCCCTCTCTCTCCTTCGAAAATGTCTTTTGAAAACCACCGATCACCGTATGGCTGTGTAACGTGAGTCAAACGCAACCGAATATTATCATCTATTATTGCATAGATTTATTTTCGCAAATATTAATTTATTTCAATTTATCACTCGTATATATATAAAAAGCTAACAACAATTATAGATATATTACTATTTATTTATCATATGTATTGTATTCTGCGGAGCGAGTTTGCAAATTTGTCCTCGAGATTATTTTGTTTGTCGAACAGTATTTTTTAAACATAAATCTTGTTCGATGAAAATTATTTATACATTTATTTTAAATTTAATCTAATTAGTGGGAGTTCGATGCCAACCTTTCACATGTTTTGGAGTGGTTAATTGTATTGTATTATTGAAGTTTATTAGTTTCTCAAGCTCTCCGCGGAATCGCGGTCATCGTTATACTGCAAACTGTAATAATAATATCATATTAATTTGTTGGCGAAAATAACTATAATAGTATAATCGTAATTGTTTTTCGGAACAGGAAAATAAAAACGATTTAACAATAATTAAAAAAAAAACCTTATTATCAATTATTGGTCAAATATATCGAGTAGTTGCATAAATTAAATCCTAATACAAATATATTTCAACGAATTGCAATTGATTAAAATTGAAAAAATATATAATTACACTGAACTAAATAAATAAATAAAATTGCTATATTCGATTGGTTCGTTAAAAAAAAAAAAAACCTGAATTAATTAAATACCATCTCGAACACTATTTGTAATGTTATGCAATATCTTTTGACATCATTGATGGATATGCTCACCCAAGTCCGATTAAGGTGGGAGGGGTGCATGACCCCAGGGGTTCACTGAGTCATCATTCATGCATATGTAATTTCCGTTAAAAATTGTTTAGTATAGAAATGTACTTACCATGTTTAGAAAGAAGGCCTATTTTTTAGGTTCACCGGACACTTAGTCATTTAATCCAGCCATGTGCTTACCTAGTGGGTATATTAGATCATCGTATAATATTCCATTTTAAATATTCTGATTGGTTGCTATTCAATTTTAAAACTAAGTGCGTTTTTTTGTTATTATTGTGCGCTCAAAAAACGCTATACGTAGATCCGTAAACATTTGACAACTTTAAAATATTATGAAATCGAACGTGAACTGTCGGTATAACTGAAACGTCCAAAGGTTTTTTTTCTAAAGCCAGTAGTGCATTTATATTTTTATTATTTACCCAACCATACTACTATAAGTGGTGTATTTTTATTTAAAATTGAAATTTCACGAAATCGGAATTGTTCAAATACAATATCTTAATTTTGGAGCTTTTTTTAAACTGAAAATTGAACACCTAGAAAATATTTAAAACAAATCCATACACACTTTAATAAGTTAAACAATCTATTTTACAAATGTGTCATAGTCTCTTAAAGTATTATCATCGTATATTAAAATAAACACGTAGATACGAATTGAAAAATACCCAAATAATCAACTCCCTAATATTAAAAAGTATATTGATCTATTAATAGTGTTATTACAACTACACGTTATAATTAATGCGGAGTAGGTCTATGTCAATCTCATCTTCATATAAATTACTGGTTTTCGTTTTACTTATTTTTATAAATTATATTCAATATCCATGTGCAAAGTATTTTAGATGACCGCCCATTCAATGCCAGTTCCATTTGCACTATTTGGTAAGATACATGGGTGCCACTGTATCATATAGGCATTTTGGAGAGGACTTTTTCTTCTAATTGTCCGGTTTTTAATGCACGGATATACTAATAAACGGTTTTTTTTTCTTAATTAGGGTAATTATTAAAAAAAACCTACCATAAACTATTTTTTTTTTTCAAACTATTATCGAATTACACTGGACATTTTACCTTTTTCAACTCGTTTTATACCTTTTAAGCTTTTATGTTGTATGATAAACTTACGGGTCTATCTTCTTTTTTTTTTGTGGTCTCACAGTCGAAATAATGTTATATCGATTTTTTTATCAATACAAATTTAAATATATTTCAATCTACGCTCGACATGCGTTATATTATATACGTATAATACCACCAATATAATATATAAAGATATTGAATTTTATTTTCATAATGCTTTTTGTTTTACATATATTTTTCTTACAAAATATACGTCATGTCACATTTATTTATTTCAATTTCCCAAATAATTTATCTACCTTTGCATTACAATATCATCTTTTCAATGTTATTATACACATGTGTATGTGTTATATCTACCATGTCGTCATTGACGGTTTTCAATGTACATAGGAGAGCGGGGGAGGTGCAATTTAATACAACTCGCAAAATACGTTCGATCCAAAAATTATTATCTTGTTCTCCCATATTATAATAATATAATATATTATTTGTAGAATATTGTTACGTGTGTGCGATCGAATACATAATACCTGCCGTACGACATACTCGAAAATCGTAAAATATCGTGATTTGTGACCTAACTCAATATTGTATGATTCGTGTGTAATAAGTATCGTACCCGCGACATATTATTATTATTTTTTATTTACCACGAACGAAAATAAATTCGAAAAAAAAAAACACGTCAATGTATAATACAACAGATATAAAATAAACTCAATACGTATCCCTCGAATATCATGAAGTATAGCTATTTAACCGGTAGAGTTTTTATTTTTATATAGTTCATAAATATGATATTTACCTCTTGCGTAAGATTTTTTACTGAAATATACAAATAATATTATATAAAAACGGATTCGGATGTACAGTATACGATATACATATATTTTTTATAGTGTCAATTTTTTTTTTTAATAGCGTTTTTACGCAAACGTTTTTGTTGCTATGTATACATAGGTGATTCAATAATATGACGCCAAGAGAATTCCAAACGGTTAGGTTAGATATTTATAACCAGCTGAAATGAATTATAACGATATTTTTTTTCTAAATAATTGGATACATCTAATATTATGCAGAGGTTAAGCGATTGAATGCAAACAATTAACTCGATTAAGTTAAATCAACGAATAGGCCTTCTTCTGATAACAGCCCAACCAAACCTTAATTGAACTGATAAATAAATTTAAGGTTAAAATATAAAACAATTTCACTTCATTAAGTTAAATATCAGAGTTAGTTGATTTTATTTTTTTCGAAAATGCCAACATCCAACATAAAGTAATATAATTACTTATAAAAAAAAATTAATAAATATAATATAATATATGTAAAAATATAAACTAAATATAACTGTACAATAAATTTTAATACGTAATTGCTATACGTAAATCAAAATACTGAAAACATTTAAAATTGAACTTCAATTTTGAAAAAAAACCATCCATCTTTAGCTCGTTAACTTGACTGGATTTTTATGAAAATTAACTTTGACAAATTGAATGTATAAAATGAACACTTAAACTGCTTACCTAATTAAGTTAAATAATTGAAGTAAAAAATAATTAACAAGACAAATTAAAAGATTTGAAAATAAATTACAATTTTAACTAGTTATAATTGTCCATCAATGATATTACGCACTCGAATGACCGTTGTTTGTTTTCTATAACACGTCATAATATCTGCAGTCGGTTGTACGCAGGTTGACGAGAAAAATATTACGTTTAAGAAAAATAACAATATTATGTTTCAACTCCTCGATGTGTTATTTTGATGGAAAAACAAACGAAAAAAAAAATTGGCAAGATAACAAGTTTGATGAGCAACGTTTCGGCCGGCCGAGAATAAAAGGCGAAAATAATAATGTGTTGTTGCAGAAATTGATGGTGAAAGTTTTCCAGTTACCGTCGTCACTGGCCGACGACTTTTTTTCTTCTTATTTTCAGAATGCCTGTATATAACCGCACACCGAACACCGACTTTATATTATTATTATACAGAAACACCGTATAAATGATCTTTCGGTATATTGTTTCAGTTCTTTTTTTTTTATCATTATTTTCTAATAACACAATATACAAGACGCACAGAAACTTCCCCGTGCCTGTTCACCAATAATGCGTCTTCGAATTCGCAAAACTACCATTCGACTATATCTTCGTATCAGGTCCCACCCACATTTCTCTCTGCAGTTAGCTCACCTACACTACGCCAGAAAAATCCGTATTCTCGGACCTATCGTTGTAATACGTCCACTCGGATCCGGCCGTTTTGGGATCAGATGTTTAACGAACAGCGAGTGAGTGAATGAGAGAGAGAAAGAGAGTGAGAAAGAGAAAGAGAGAGATAGAGAGAGAGAGAGAGAGAGAGAGATAAATGCTCATCGAATTGGAAATCCGACTAACCACTGCAGCTCACTGACGACGGTGAAGGGCAAAGAAATATTATTTTGTCGAAAGACTATCCTCTCACGACCCTGCAGAACCAACGCATTTAATATTGTAATGTATATTTTATATATATATAACGCCTCTAGCGTAAAAGGAAATAGTTCTGGTGAATGTTTGTCATTCCTTTTTTCTTTTTTTTTTTTTCACGAACCCATAAAACGAGGTATAAATAATCGCGTCGAGTAAAAAAAAAAAAAAACCCCATCCGGCAGTGGAAAATATACTTGCGGAAATTGAAAAAAAAAATATTGTTCGATGGAAGCGTTTATATTCTTGTAATCGGTATTATTAATTAAAAATAATCGTACGTATACGAGGTGAAATAAAATCAAACCAATAAACGATAATACGAACGAAATTCTATTCAAAACATAATTTCCACCCCGTCGCGCACCGAAGGCGACAATTTGTTCACCATTATTATTATTATTATTATTATTAAATATTTTTTTTTATTATTAAAATGCACTTTCGTGCGTGTATGTTCACTTAAGCGAAATATACCGTAGTTTTATTTATTTTGTTGCGACACGAGGATTTTAAAGTATGGTCTTTTATTTTCTACGATTTTTTGAAGTTTTTGCAAATGTGAATATCACAGTGTTTAATGAAATATTACCCAGATAGCATATCCGTAATGATAATAGTATGTTAACATCAATTTTTCATCAAAAAAATGATATTATTAAACAAATATTGATAGTACATTAAATAAATATTTTGTAAAACAATAATGTGAACATATTATTAATATAATATCATGAATGAAATATTTATAGAATATTCTGAATATATTATTATTATACTATTATAAACGAATTTTCGAAATTATATTTCGAATACATTAATAATATGGCATCGATGATGAAATAATAAAATACAATTTTGAATATATGATCGTAATATTGTTAAAATCTAAATAATTATATTAGAATTTAAAAATTATTCTATATTTCTATGTGATATTCTACCATAGACATGATAAAAATAATAATATATAATAATATAAATATATATTGTCTACGTTGGAACCTAGCGATTTATTATCAGGTTCGTTCCAATATATGCCCACAGCTGTATATAAAATCTACATAATAATAGCAATATTAGCGTTTTCCGAGTATAGGCTCAAACGTTACTAACGACCGATTGATTGTGCGTCTCAGAAATCGCCAAATTGGAACAATTTGTTAATATAAACAAATATTACGATTAAGGCGGTCCAAATGACTGGCGTACTAGGTCAGTGTAGGTCAATATTGGCACTTGGCAAATATTGGGCAGGTCGTTGGTCATATCTACCACATAACTGGTATAGTTTTATTGAATGATATAAGATTTTTCTAAATTTTAATCACTACAAAATGGACAGTGCCGATGAAAATTTTGTATTATCTGCAGAATGTGTCGCTAGATTTGAGCATATTTAAAATAATAAAAAAAACCAAAGAGAGGATGGTGAATGGTTTATTTAAATAAAAGTCGCCGTGGGTAAGTTTCAATGTGTATACATTTAATAAATACGTAGTTCATAAAAAATATGGATGTTAAATTTAAATATATGACTATTGATTATTGTTAATGTTTATTAAAATCCAAAAATGTACATATATTTATGAACAAAACATAATCCTTATCAAATCTTCGATTAACCCTTTTTTTAAATATTTAAAATATTCTTTATTAAATTAGCAAAATTTTAAAGCCTAGTAGTCTACCAGACACTTGCCAAGTCGTGTGTGAACTGTTGACAATGTACATCATTGACTTGTGCACCATTTACCGACAATCGATGGAAAACGGCCAGCAATCAAAATTTGTACCAACTCAACTTCCCACACGACAAGTTACTGGGTCACCAAGTACGCTAGTCGTGTGAGACCGCCTTTAAATGTACGCTAAGACCACTACGGTTTGACCGAGATTTACTCATCATCTCCATCCTCGATACATCAAATAACATTAACCAAAAACGTATAACTTGTAATCTAGTTGGCAGTTGAATTAAATTTGCATTATTATTATATTTGATGATTACATTATATTATACAGTATAATAATCAATTCTTTTATTTGGGCGGAGGGGCACTTATCATTTTTATACAAGTTATGACCATATTTTGTTGAACGATAAAATACACCAAAATAACCAACAAACAAAAAATGGGGGCACGTCTCCCACCACTCCCTCTATCTTCCCCCTGGCCAGGTGTGCACTATTCAAAGGAGGTTAAAGTCTCTGTTCCCAAAGAGTTCATCATTTCGAGATGTCACTATATAAATACCTGTATTATAATATTTTAAAATTTACTTACATATAATTATAAAATCAACTTCTTAATAATTAGGTAGATGCAATACCCGACTGGTAGCAAGTTACAAAATTCCGTTTTTGCATTTTTTCTTATTAACTAAAGACTTTTAGAAAAATATTAATTTTAATAAAATATATTTTTGCTATCTGGGTAGTCAGGGCACAAGACAACGATTTTCTTAACAATGAATTAATATAATGCAATCATAATATCATATTATAAGTATTCGGTAGTATCAATCAATGAATCATGGTAATATATGTCGATAAACAATAATGTTATGATTGAAAAAAAATTATTTGAATTTTCAGAAAATCGTAGAAAATAAGAAACTAAATTTTAACAAAAGTTTCAACCGTCAACAATTTTCTAAACGTCTATTTTACGAAATGGCTGTTTTGAATTTTTTTTAAAAAAAATCATAGTAAAATTTAAAATTTGTTATTTATTTTGATTCTCTCTCCCACTAAAAAAAAAAAAAATGTTCGTATGTATATAACTATGGCGCAGAGGCATACTTATTATTTAAAAAAAATATATATATATCAACAATATTGAATAGAACATAAGTTATTGCATTTGTCGAATTCTCGTAGGACGCCCTGTATGTAAAACTATTGTTAAAACTACTATCACTGCATCATGCAAGCAAATTACATTTTATAGGTATTTCGCGAGAATAATGATTTTCCTGTCATTTTGCACTTTTACAAAAGTTTCTATATTGGAATTCATTTTACTGATGGCATACCTGGGTATTATCATTGGGAAATAATGTAATAAGCACGGGTAAATCGTATAGAATCGTCTTGGCTGTTATAGGTGTGTAACCCAAAAATTATAATTTAAAAACCGAATCCAAAAGAGCAAATCAATAAATCGTGCTTTTACACTGGTAACCCGGCTGAAATATATTATATTGTAATTTCAAAACAAAATTACACAAAAAATACTTATTTATGTTTTTTCCGTCAATCTAACAAGTGTGGGAAGTAAAACCCATATCCACTCTTCCCAAAGCTCTTTTCCACTGCACTTTGCTATCGTGTCATTTACCGGCATCGCTCTATTGTGTCTTGGTGTGGTCCAGGCTTGAAATCATATTACAACGTTATTGTTGAAAAAAAAATATATATATGTGTTCATTATATTAAATCGGTTTTCTCTGGTCACTTTGTAATGTAATTATATTACAACCAATTGAACCGTTCCGTACGGTAGTCGCCAGACACGTATATACTATTAATTACTAATTGGCTCATATTGAAATAATTACAAGACAAACTACGCTACGGGCTGCAGGAAAATACGGTATAATAGTGTTCTATAACGTGTATCGATTTATTTACTAACCGGCTGCAGCAGAGTGTTCGTACGTTTATATTTTACCGCCGATGAAACTTTATAGCTGCGTTCCTCGATTTTTTTTTTTTCAACTCTCGCCCAACAGCAAAAAACCGACTCAACGCGGTAAAAAAAAAAAAAGAAAAAAAAAACACTACCACGCCGCGTACTATTCAACCTCTGAACAATATCATTTGAGAGATAAATGACATTTTCTCGTATACGGGTGCAGCAAATTGCAGCAATGGCCGTGCACACGGGGAATATATCACTAAACAAATCATCGAGAGCTCGATATATAATAATATATATATATATATATGTATATATACTATACAGCGTGGACAAGTTCTATCCGAAGTCATTTATTCTGCGGGTGAAGAATGTCTCGCGACACGATGACGCAACGCCGCCAGTCTGTAACGCTATTTCTCGGGGGAACGGGGGGGGGAGGGGGTTATGCGAAGATATCTGTCAGAGGATTGATGAGAGAGAGAGAAATTGTAATTCGTGCTCTCTTATCTTGTGGAAACGTTTACTGTTGTTTTTTTTTTTTTTTTTATTTCCTTATCCATCTCACTTCTTCTCCGCATACAATAATAATTCTATTAGTACCGTGTATCCATAAAATGGGTAAGTATATTATATTTTTATTCGCATATCGATGGTGTTTTTGATCATATACTTATTCGATCGGATGGCTCTAGATTTGAATTTCGTTTTCGGAAGGTGATGGGGGTACTAAAATACCCACTTACGGATGAATTTCAAATGTTTAACCATTAACTACGGTGCGCGCGTGCCCAATTAAAATAAGAATTTTTTTTTAAAACAACACCTATTTTAACAGGATTTCTACCTTGTGTTATTCGTGATTTTCGAGTTGCTTCAAACGGGTTCTGTTTTTAATCCATTTCAACGAAATATACGCCCATGTACCGCCAGGGAGTTGGTCCTCGGAGACAAGGAAGAAAACCCTTTTATGGAGTAAAGGAAATGCCTTTAAAGCCCATTTAAAATATATGGGGTAATGCAAAAGAAATCTTCACGAATATATATAGTTATACGTACGGGCGTTGATAAGGTGAACGTATACATTTTGAAATCGACTTTTCTAAATACTAATGAAATAATAATTATAATGCAGCCGGTACCTGCCGAAAAAAGGTTTTAAATCCGTTTGTGCATTCCGCGGGTTATTATACATCAAAAACTTTATTCCGTTGTAACCTTTATAGTTGTTACATTGTTTTTTCTCCCTTTCCGCCTTTTCGTAATTTAGGACAGATATTACGTTATGTTGTTATCTTTTATAATTAATTTTCCTATACAAAAATTTAAGAAAACTTCTACTTTCTAAGAAGATATTATTATAATATTATATTAGCGAAGAAAATATGCCCGGGAAATTATTTACTGCAGGATACGTTCGTCGAGCACAACACGGAATTTATATCCAAATATAAATAATGAAATACAATTCGTAGCAATATAATAAATTCCTCGGCAATTATTTATGTTATAAATGCTAAAAAATAAGCGTAGGTAATCAAATATTAAAATTTGTTCGTTTTAGTTTTAAGCTCTATAGCGAAACCGACAAAACTATCATCGCACTTGCGTTATGCGTATAAAAAAAAAAAAAAAAGCGCTGAAAGACTTCACAGTATAGTATCATAATACTCATTAAAGCTATACCGAACAATTTTCATAACAACATAATATTATTAGTATTTCCATAATGAATGAATCTTTCGTAAGACATATGCACTAATTTACGGTTTACACATATAATACGTGTAAAATTTGCATACAACATGAATTTGCGCTACTCCGGTACTCTGATTTATATAGGTTTATTTTCTCACGATTTTAGGATTATTTCCTCGAAAACTCTTCTAATTATATGGAGTGTCCTATAGTGTTATCTTTATGCTAATAATTCTGTCTATATCATTTTTTTTTTTTTTTTTTTTTAGTGATTAAGAGGTGAAAATAAAAATTGAATCAGGTAAAAAAAAAATTAATATGGACAGAATTATTAACATAATGATAACACTGTAAAACATTCTGTACATTATCATACCTATTATGATCGTTTTCATGTATTTTTCACCGTCCGAAGACACAATTCACGTTACTTTCGAAACACTACGTTGCGAAAAAGTCTTTAATGACAAAACTGCAGTAAACTACAATTGTAATATATTGACAATATTATTTAACTCGAAACTCGTGCTAGCCGTGCCCAGAATATATAATAAAATAAAATAGGAAAATAACTTATCAAGAATCTTTTTATATTGAATAATATTTGTAAATAGTTCAGAAATTGTATCACACATCTAGGAAAATAGTTGGTGGTTTGTAGACGCGTATTATGATTTTCTCCGGAAAAAGTATGTCATTTGTTTGCTCAAACAATTCTTTCAAAAAAATGATTTTATCAACGAATAAACACTATGAACCGCTGCTATGGACAATACGATAATATTTTGGATTTAAACTTTTAGGGTTTTTACGCGTAAAACATATAATATTTTACCTCTAGTGTAATTCATGTTGAAACGCACGCCAACTGACGTTATTATCTGCACGTTTTATTACCGTGTGCGTTTTCATTTTTTTTTTTTTTTATGGCCAGCGAATATAATATTCGTATTATCACTATGTACACTGCAGTTTTAGATGCCAGAAAAGAGGTCTCAGGAAATTACGCAGGCATCGAGCACTCCAACCCGTTCGATATAGCAAACTCTATAACAATTATAATATGGTACTGTCTACATAGATTGATAATATTATCCACGATATTTCAATTTGTTTTTCCTCAACCCATAATCATTCGGTTTAGTATTAATTTTAAACGTGTTTTTGTACCGTTTCTCGACAATATTTAAATTTTGATTTTTTGAGTTCCTTCATCAGTAATATAATTCACTAGTAATAATACAGTATTTAGGTACACAATAATATTGTTTCCAATTTTATTTACAATCGCATTTAACATTTGAAGTCCGGATCTAACCGTTTATAATAGGTTTCAGTAGGTACACGGTAATAATAAAAAGTTAAAAGTTTAAATTATAGCGTTCGGAAATTCGATCGAAACTAGATTGCTAGCTTAACCTAACCTATCTAGAGGTCTCCATTAAAATCGTAAATAAAAAATGTGTACTCTCATATATTTAATACACATGAATTCACTACACGTGTTTAAGAGTTTTAGAATTGTGCTTGTGTACACGTAGAGAAAATAAGTGAAAAATAACATGAAATACGTGAATATAATATGTGTAAACTGTATACAAATTTTTCTTAAAAACGGTTATACAGATTTATACAAGGTCTGACCAATAAGTAATGAGACTGTTTTTTTTGCCACGCTTGTAGTAATACTGCGAATTTGAAACTTCGTTCGGTTAATCTCTCATCCCTCTTCTATCGATACATGTGCTCGCGATTATCGTACAATAATTAGTTTTCCAGTTGTGTTATGTTTTCGACAACGTGTTTGTAAAGCGTGTCACAAATATGGAACAACGTAATATAAATTTTGCGTTAAACTCGGCGATTCCGTTATGGAAACGTACGATAAATTGGTGAAAGTGTTCGGTGATGAAGTCCTGAGTCGTGCTCAGGTGTTTCGATGGCATACAAATTTTAAAAATGGTCGTGAAAGCGTCGGGGATGAACCGCGAAGTGGGAGACCGGTTGAAGCTCGAACTGACAACAATGTTCAGCGTGTGCGCACTCTCGTGCATCAAGATCGGCGTTTAACCGTTCGAATGTTGGCTGATGAACTTAATTTGAAACGAGAAACCGTCAGAAAAATTTTAACTGATGATTTGTCCATGAAAAAGCTGTGTGCAAAGATGGTACCTTCATCATGACAATGCTCCATGCCATCGTGCCTTCAGTGTGTCTTGATTTTTGACCTCTAAGAACATTGCAGTGTTGCCACAAGCGCCCTATTCGCCGGATATGTCACCCTGCGACTTCTTTTTGTTCCCTCAAATAAAATTGGCCGTGAAAGGAACGCATTTTGAGTCCATAACTGACATCCAGAACGCCGTGACGAGGGTACTTCAGGACATTCCGGTCGAAGCCTTCCTGAAATGTTATGAGAGCTGGAAAAAACGTTGGAACCAGTGTATAGGGGTGAGAGAGGAGTACTTTGAAGGGGATCACATCGATGTATCTTAATATTTAAATATACGTATTTTATTGAATTAGTCTCATTACTTATTGGTTAGACCTCGTATGTTAATTTCACGTGAATACGGAATATCGTGTACATATGAAATGATGAAACTCTTCTCGAATTCACGTAAAATCTATAATATCTATTTTTAAAACCATGGATCATTTTAAATCAACATTTTCAGAATAATTATTTTCTAGGCAATGGAAAATTATACGGTTTTGGTTGAACGTAAACAATAACGTGTATTCATAACGCAACACTGAGTAACAAAATTGAAACATAATAATGATCACGTGGTGTACGCGAAAACAAACAAATATAGATAAGGTAAAAAAAATCCATACATTTTCACGCATATCAAAATGATTAAAACAAATTCCGAATTGTTATACGTTAGATTAGTTAATTATATTATAAGACGAGCTTTATGATCCGGTATACATTTTGTATTTTAGATTCTGAGTGGAACGACTAATATATTAATTTTACAATTTTTTTTTTTTATTTTTTATTATTTTTTTTTTTAACTGAACATTTTTTATATCAGAAATCATACTCAGATTATCAAGTATAGCAAATTTTCTGAAGGGATATATTCTCTTGGTGGTACTTTAAAGAGGTATTAAGAGAGTTTCAAAATTCTCCCAATAACATTCGAGATAATGAGGAAAATCTCGGTCTTTAGGTTAAAAAAGATTGAAAGATTAAAAATAAAGTTGTCAATGGCAGCCGTTTTTATTTATTTTTGTTATTGTTTTAATCTTTTTAAACAATCATTGTTGTCATGGAAACGCACATTGTTTTAATCATTTTATCATAATATGATATAATATATATATATATATATATATATATATATATGTTGTTGAAAAAGCAATACTATAGTCTGAACTCAGCTCAGAATCATTTTTTTCGTTAGCAATGTTTTATCGTTGCTTATAAATAAATATTAAATTCCCGTCTTTATACCACTTTCCTAACTTCTCCCCTACAAAAATGGATACATCTATGTGCGAAATATGTCCGTACTTTTTTTTTTTTTAATAATGACTAAAAGTGTGACGAGTTTTTACCGAAAAAGAATGTTGAAAATAACTGCATATAATATATTATTTCGATCGAATTAAATGTGTAAGAAGTTTTCTGAAGCCTGATAATAATTTACCAATCGATTTCGTTGTTATCAATGTCATTTTATCAATCAGCGGACCGGTTTTCGGCGTGTAGATTAACTTATTGCATCCTTAACCGAAGCTGAACAAATCCGTACGGATTATAACGAGATAATAACAGCGGCGCAGACACCAACGATTACCGCGATTGCTCGTAAAACACGCGTTATCACTGGTTTCCGTATTAGGTACCTATACAAAATAATATGATTACCGCGTGCACACGACCATAAAATATTACACTGCGTATCGGAGACGGCCAAACATTTTTCGGCCGAGTAGGTTATTTTTTCTTCATAAACGTATTTATATAGTATATAACCTGCGGCATATAGCCGGGCACATATTTTAAGTACCGTGGGGCTTACCGATAGCGACAAAATAAAACTGTAAAAACGGTATGACGTAATAAAATACAATAATTTTGTATTGTGGAACTGCTGCAGTGTGTATTACATTACAAGTTTTTTACGTCGTAAGTTCTCTAATAGATCATCACTTAAAATAATCATTGAATGAAAGTATAGGAAGTCAAAAGTAGGAAGTGATCAGGAATTGAAGTGGGAAATTATATTTTACAAAAATTGAGGGAATCTACCTGAGAATTTAAACTTAAACCAATCAAATTTTCAGTAAACCCAACGTGAAAATAATTCTTCCAAAATGTTATTGTTCTACACACATTTGTTCGTAAAAAAATTACACAAATAACGTTTTAAAATATAATTCACCCTCTTCCTCTCCGAAAAATATATTATCCTGCACATACATATGTTCAGAAAAATAAAGTAAAATGGAGTCTGATTATATTTATTCCAATAGGTGTTAAAGAATTTATTTTAAATAAAATTAATAATTCGAGTTTTCAATATTTCGTTAAAACTACCAATGTGACAACATCTAAAGCATCCCCCCGGATGTCCGGACGTCAAAAACTAAAACTGAAAAACATGAATAATTTTACCCTCAAACAAGAAAGGGGATTTTTTCTCCACATCTCCCGTACTATAGCCGCTGGAAATGAAGCGAATCAACTCAGCCGTCCTATTTATTCTTGCCACCCGTCGTCCTCCTAGACATAAATTTCCCGAATTGTTAATAATTCTTAACACTTTATTGTTTTAATTATGTCAAATGTTATCAAATATTTTTTAATTTAATAAAAAAAAACACGGGAAATTCAAAATAGTATTTAGATATTGCACATTATCATATACCATTATTGTGTGCCACTTGAACTCTCCAAACAATACACTTACTTTGCAAAATAATATGGATTTACGTCTATGAAAATTATAGAGATGTGTATTTTAATATACTGCAGTTAACGTTTAGAAATAAGATATATTCTCGACAGAATAATAGACAGAAAAAAAATGTATATAACTATTACCTAGTATAAAAGACGTTTAATGCGTTACAGAATCTCTTTCCCCGGGTGTTCATTCTGTTGTATATTATATACTTTTTTTTTTTTTTATGATACCTCCATATTTAACTTCATACGCCGAAGATAAATATTTGCCTGTAAACGCAGTCGATCTATCGAACAAATAATTTATTATTTATGAGCTTTTAAAGTTTAGATAAGGCGCGAGTTGGAGAGGCTGGCAAATAATAATTTTATAATATCGGTGAAATTCTACTTCGCTACTCAAAACTTAATATAAAATGTTTATAAATAATGAGGAACTGTATTCGACTTAACGTTTAAATATTTATGAGGAATGTAAGATTTTTTTCTTTTTTTTTTGGGGGGGGGAGCAGTAAGAAATAGTTATAATATAACTAGGTACTCGTTTAAAATAATTGCATAATTAAACATAAAATTCTTGTGAGTCTTTATAAGACCAAAAAAAATTGTAACCTAAAACCAATATATATATGTTTATTAATACAGTGCAGGTTAAAGTAGGGGGGCCCTTTTTTTATTTATGATCAAATTAACCATCGTCTTTAGAGTTAAATTCTTTGATTTCATTTATTATTGTTTTGTAATTTTTGTTTTTATTTGTTGTAATCATTGTCGTCACTATGGTATTTTTAAAGACTCGAATTGGTTTTATTAAGATTCTAATTCTAATTATATTATATTGAATTATTTAATATCGGGTTACATAATCAGACTCCATTTTATTATTTTTTTTTATGAGTATAGACATTTATATAGGATAATATTTTATTTTTATTATTCTTTTTTTTTTGAGAGGAAGAGCGACGCAGTTTCTTTTTAAATCTAACTAGCGTAACATTTGTGTGAACAATTGTTATGTGTGAGAGAAAAACATGTTAAAAGTCTTGTATCCTTGATTGATTTCCTAAATGTCTAGTTGGCTTTAATTAGTTCTTGGGGAACTCACCTCGATTTCTGGTAAAATTATGTTTTAAATATTTTCAACTTTAACCGGTCAAGTATTTAAATTTAAAATGTTATCTAATATCCGATTATGTAGCGATATAATATTATCACAAAATATATACGAGTGTTTTCGAATCGTGATTAGTAAAGCTGTGTTTTTTTTTTTTTAATTTTTTATTTGTTAACGCACGTTTACATTCTAACATTATATCAATTAAACCATCGTTGTCGAAATGCGGACATTTTGAAGAAAAACATAACGGTTGGCCAGAGTCGCTTCTTGCGGTAACTTATATTATTATTACTATTACTGCGCTTGTTCGTGATTAATCCGTGTACGCACCCCGACATTGCTGACTGACCAAAGAACGCTTTTTGGGCGTTCCCGTTTGGCTAGGACAATAATAATAATAATACACGCATTACGATTGTCAACGGTTTGTGTCGTGTCGTATAAATGCACTACAATAAACGCATAAAATAACTTATGAGCCACTTAAATAGAAAAACGCGACGGCGTCATACCACTGCGGCTGGGCAGAGAAAACAAAATACCCGTTTAAACAGTTTTAGTACGTATATGGTATACAGTTACTTTCAATTAGTTACTATTAGTTACAATTAGTTACAGTTACTTACAATTTAAGTCGATCGATAAATCAAATTTCCGAAACGTTTAAATTCGTAAAGAAAAATATTTTAGTATATAGATACGTATGTTGAGATTTTTGTTTTTGTGACATCTTGAAAATCCAATAACAATGAATCAACAAACGGATTTATAATAGTTGTTACCAGAGCAGGGTCACGTATACGAACTAAAAACTTTTCAATATGTACATGCAGATATATGTACTCAAAATAACAAAATTCGCTTTGTGGAAAAAAAAGTTTTGAAAATATCACGTTAATAAATTATAAAATCCCTAATAATCTATTTTAGTAAAACAATAATATTTTACTTATCGCATAATGCATAACCTATGTTATCAGCCTGCCAATATTTTTGAAAACCTTGAATAATTGTTTTGTGGCTTTTCTTTAATTTAAAAATATACGAAATCATAAAATGTTTCCAATAGTTTAGAAATCCTTAACTGTTCCCTAAAAATCTAAAACTTCATAATATGCAAAATACATTTTTACATAGAATCGTTATAGGTTAAGAACTTATGAAACACATTTTGGTACGTAAACTACCTATATTTTTACTAGGTAACTAATAAGTATAATAATTAATATTTATAAGTGCGTTAATGTATATAGTTACTGCATACACAGATATACATTAGTTTTTCTTATGGACCTATACAAATATCGAAAATATTATGTTTTTACGATTCCTTTGTTTTTATGTAGGCATTATTTTAAATTTTAATTTTTGATAGCAATCCTAATAATTATGGCATTTCGCGTGCTATTTTTTTATTTTTGAATTGTATAATAATGTTCAAAATTGTGACCCGGAAAAACACGTTATGATTTATTTTGTACGGTTACATATTGATACAATTTTCAATTTAAGTTTATAAAAACGTGATCATCTGAACATAGCTCAGAAAAGTTTTTTTTTTATAACAGTGGACTAGTCATGAGCTGCAATATCCTGTACGAGGACGAAAACGGTATACTATACACCTGCAATCACGTGATTTTTGTTTTATACTTTCTGGTGTTTTATTCGTAATAATATATTTGTTTTCGATATTGTATACAATTTTTTGAATTTTTCAATATAACCATTCTTGTAATTTACCGAGTCAATAACCAAAAATCAATCGATCAAAATCCATAGTTTTGTTACGGGCGTCGCCTCACTCCTTGATAATATATCATATTATATGGTATAAAGTATGGGATTCACAGCAGTACAACAATAGGTAATTTACCGCGCTGCAATGCGAACAGCTATGGTAAGAATTGTAGATTTGAATTTTCGGAATATTAATATAACACGGACATCAATAGCCGATTAAACACCTATGCGCGTGTTTAACAAGACCCGGATATTAGGGGCCAAATGCGTGAGGTTATCGTCCGATTATTCAACAACATGCTATTGTCGAAAAGTGAGGACTAAGTATATTTGGCAGGGGGGTCCAGGGTGCATATATATGTGTATACCAGCCGCCAAAAACACTTTTTCAAATGAGTCTCACCACTATCATCTGCAAGCACCTTCACGCCAGATAGATTTGTAAATTTAATTTAAAAGTGTTTGAATATTTTTACAATAAATTATACTTTTACAAAATCACCGAGTTTAAAATCTCTGACTTGGTCATGAGAATACTTGAACTCGAGTTTAAAAATACGCCCGCAACAGTTTAACAGAATACTCGTATGATACGTATTAGTATCTACATGATAATGTTTTCCATCTGATTGTACTCGTATACAGTTTATCCACAATTACCTGCTATCGCCAGTGCAGTTGATAACGTTAATTGCATAATATGACGGTTTAGTGTAATATTATCAACACGAATATTAAAAAAGTGACTATCAATTTTTACAATTGATTTTGTATTGTGCATGTGAACTGTACTTTGGTTTAACAACTATTAACTTAATCATCGTTAACTTATCAAATTAACGATACATTGAGATAATACGAAAATATTGTGTTTACGATAGCCATATCACTGAGCGAATTTAGAGTACACAAGTGAAATAGTCAGATGGAAAACGATATTTTTTTTTTCATAAGATCTGTCCATTCTATGATGTACACTGAGTCAAAAGTCACGTTCTCTTCTGTGTCTTTTATATCAAGACCCATAACTCGTGAACAATAACATACACCCAGTGGAATCCTATTGGTCGTTTTATCAATACTTATTTTGGCCGTTGGACAGTTCTAAATTTTCTAATTGATAACACGTGTTTTAATTTTACCAATGTGACCAACCCTGAAAAACGAAAATATAAAATCATATTCCATCAGTTGTATAGTAGGTATTTAGTATAAACATTTATAATTTTAGTAAATCAAGTGTATCACGTCCAATAATATCCTTATTCTATGACCACATACACAATTATTAATATATATTATATAATATTATTAATCGTAGTCAAATTCATAAATTAAATTATAGTGTAGAAACACTATAAACTAGACATAATTATAAATGCAACTCAATAATATCAAATACTGTATTAATACATTCTACAATCTACACTCTACAGTATGTCAGTATTTGATTATTACAGATTTAATAAAAATTAAAAACTAACTACAATTTGCAAAAAGATAAGAACCTAACTAAAGAAAACGTTGTTGATTTTAAGATATGATATTTCTCCTGGCGCGTTTTTGATAAAATCGCTGTTGGCTACAGAGATAAAGGTTATATAGCATTTATTTCTTATCACACGTTGAAGTATTTGGAAGAAATGACCCCTATCCTTAATTATTTTATTATTAACTTAGTATCAGCCATATAAATATGTCTGCAATTTTTATTTCACATCCCGATGTATACGATTATATGGGCATAGTAATATGTTATCTGTGATGTTGCATCGGTCTGTACCATAATTATTATCATGCAAACCATGTCATATAACAATAATAATGATAACGATAATGATAATATTATTGCACTGTTACACTTTCATGCTGGACTGGAGCGATAGGATAGGCTTATATATAATATTATACACACGACAATGAGATCTTTTGTGATGCACAGCAAACGGATCGCCTGTTCGTGAAACGACTTGGTATTTGTTTTGCAGCATGTTCCTACGCCAGCTGCCTTTGACCCCGTTTTGAAAAAGGAACGTGCGTTTGACAGGGACCATCAGTTAATACGTAAAAGTCGTTCTCCCACCCACCCCTCTGCACTCGGGGCATTTCGTCCCCGTGGTCCTGAAAATAAATATCATATTTTTTTCATCCCGAACGGTCATATACTGGTAGTGAATAACATATAGGTGACAAAAGTATAAATATACATAACGACACGGCAGTTTTCCCGTATAATATATGTATCGCAGAACTATATTATCATAATAAAATGCAATAGAAAAATTAACTTGGGTTGAATGGCCTTACCTCACCCCGAAATTGGCTCAAGAAAATTAAGTCTCTCTCGATGTTTTCGTTTGTAACTGAAAACGAGGTTTTTTTTTTTGAGAAATAGTATACAAATTCGAAAAATACGGTTTCTTCTAGAAAAAGACAACGACTTATTATCTGGGAATCGATATCAATACGTGATAATATAACATGCTATACATTTCAATCAGGAAGTATAAATTGGACAAATCGGTGGTTTTTGATTTTTTATTATTCATCAAAACTATCTCAAAACTATAGATACCGTCTCGATATATGTACTGAGAACACTTTCTGGACATTGGTAAATGTGTAGGATAAAAGGGTACGCCGCATTCACAAAAGAAATGTTCAAACGACCATTCATTTTTTTTTTTTTTATTTGTCCTCTTACGTACATTATAATACATAAATGGAAAACCCAATTTTTATTCCAGTTAAAAATGTGACGGGTCGTTTCAGTGTCCAGAAAATTATGCGAATCAATAAATAGAAAAAAAACGGAAAACAATTTTCAATTTTAATCAGACATAATATTATATTTAAATATGGGTTATATTCCATTATATGTCACACAATAAGTACAAACTTTCAATAACCGAAAATTAAGCAAAATATACTATTTATAACGGGCCCAACGTAGAAGAATGATAAAGTAGAAGGAGCATGAAATAATTGTACTCAAATTTGAATATTTACTCAGTAATACTACTGTATTACAACTGTTCAGTAATAATTAATATTTCAAAAAAAAAAAAAATTCCAATTGAGTTAAAAACATGCAAATAATACAAGTCCATTTGTTAACGTTCGAAAATATTTAAAATCCAGCATTCAATTCATATTAATATTCCAAGTCTAAAATAATTAAATTAAAAAAAACATTACAAGTTCAAATATTTGATTCATAGAACAGAGTGTTACGAAGGTATTCGTTCTTGATCGTGGTGGACTCGTGCTCACGTCGTACCCCCACAAGCCATTTTCCACTGCTATCCATATTTTCTGATCCACGGAGATTTTCCGTACCCGGAATTAAATCCAGCGGTAAATCCATTGACTATCAACAATTCTATACGCATTATTATAACGAAATATTTATTCCTACCACAGTTTGTTTGTAACACAAAGACCCTTTACTGTTTTCTGTTACGACAGTTTTGTAATAAAATTAGAACGTCGACCTCTAACAATATCGGAGTGTGGCAGGGTACGAAAGTGTCCTTTGCAGCTGCAAGATATTATTATGATACAGTATTTTAGCTGGGCTACTTTATTCGGGTCCATCTATTTTGGATGTTTTGGGTCCACACGCTACAACGAGAACCATGTGAGCACATAACATATAACGTGTGAAAAAGTGTTTAAAAAAAAAAAAAAAGGTGGTATGTAGATGCCAACCATTGAAAATATAATGGTTCAATAAAACTGCCATTAATTGAAAAATGCAAATTATTTAGTATATGGAATCAAAGTTTTACTAAGTTTACAGAAAACAGCTTCACTAACGAAAAAAAAAAAAACCTTTACTAAGGATGATGTGCCACTGTTGTTTACAGGAAATTGAGAAATTTTGGTATACGTGTTTGCCGTAATGTTTACGATTTGAGTCAAAATTTGATTTTAAAACGCTTATAAAACGCACTTGGAAAATCAAAAAATGATCGCTGACCAGATTCTAATTTTATGTAAAAAGGATATCTTATAATTTTTTTATAGAAGTAAGATTTTTGGTAAAAATTTAGTTTTTTGCACACACACATTATATTAAAACAAATACATTCTTTGCTACGTTCAGAAAATAAAATTGAAACGATTTTTCATAGAACATTTACGATATTTATAAAAATGTTTTCAAACCATTAGACGGCAGATACATTGGATTTGGGCGAATTTGTTTTATTTTTACGGCACATTTGAACTTTGCGTGTGGTCACTGGTCATATTTTAATACGATTATTGTTTTTATTTCGTATCTCGATAAACCCTTATAATATAATTTATAACTGTCTAACAAATCATTTAACATGAAAACGTCTTTTATAGATATTGAATCTTACAACAACCAAGGAAAAATGATTATGTCAGTTTTTATTTTAAAACTTGAAATATCCTCAGGTCCACCAGACCATGATTTTAGTACATATCAATCAACAAAGATGGATATTCAAGGTGATAAATTAAATTGTATACGGTTATTTCGATTTTTAGAAAACCATATTGATTTCATCTAGTAAAATAATGTTTAAAAAAATTCATTAACAAGCAATCTACTACCCACGCCCGTGGACCATGAATTTTAATTTGTATTCGTAGAATTTTCATGGAGTAAAAACGTTTTACAAAAACGCGTATTGCAGAAAGTACAAAACGTTTTTAAACACGAAAAAGGTACACAGAAAAAAATGAAAACGTTTTCATGTACAATAAACAATATTTTCCTATACGTATTTGATTTTCTCTCTTATTTTTTTTTTTTTTTAAATGTACGAAACAAAGAGCTTTAAAATTTTACACGGCTATTATTTTTTTTTCACTATTATTTTCGGGGGTTAACCAACTAGTTTTCAAATAGTAACCTATAATAAAATGTTTATAAAAAAACAGATTATTAGCCTAAATACATTTTTATATAAAAAATTTTAACTTTCGTCGATTCGTTGATAATCAACTTTTAAGCAGGGGAGAGTAGCGGATCACTATTCAAACGCCGTCAGTTGTGTCACTGCCACCGCTACATAAATAATGATCCACTACTCTCCTCCCACTACACAAACTTAAAAATGAAATATACCGTCAACGGGTTGACGGAAATAAAAAATATCATAATCAAAATGGACCTATTAAATCTAATGCATTGTCTGTTCATAGAATTTTTGATTGTTGGTTTTCATTTGAACATTAAAAGTAGGTACACCCCCAAAAATAAGGGTAACAAATAATAATGGTAATATAAAATTTTAGAGGTTGTTGGTTCTTAAATTATTAAAAAAAAAAAAGACAGCGAAAGTAAATGCTTTCCAAGATATTGCTGTGATCATATTATCTCCGTAGGATATTCTATAAATACTTACCTGTTTTCTAAATAAATATTTTAACGGCCAAACATTAAATTGTAGTTAAACCGCGATGTATCAAAAGTAGTTTTGTTTTTTTTAAAACATAATAATACATACATATCAAATAAAGACACGTTTTTCGAATAGTGTGTCTAGGTAGGTGCGCACCTATTCATTCCACCATAAAAATAATATTTGTTTTATTTCAAGATTCGAATAAACGAAACGCGCGAAACTAAACACAAAAACTTGCCTGAACGAAATTAAATTAGGTAGGTACCTATCCTGTTATTTAATTAAACTTTTACGTGTATTATTACTTCTATAGTTATAACACAAAACTTTATTATTATTAAATTTTTTTTTTTTTTTGTGCGTGTGTATAAGCCCCTTGATAATATACAGTATGTTTCTTTTATCACGGAATACCGATATTCTCGGATGATTTTAAGTGAAATTAATTTCTGTTTTTATTTTTATATCGAATAATTTAAGCTTTATTTTAAGGCGATTGGTGACAGTTCCCGTGTAACAATTTGTGGACATTGATGTATATTAAATATCCAAATCATATAAAATTGTTGATATTTAAAATTCTATATTCAGAGAAAAACGTTGAAATAATCAAAAACTTATATTAAAATATGAATACCATTCAGGTATATTTGGAATATCTTGTCTTAAATATATAACAATAGATATTTTTACAATAGCCACGGTAAAACATTTGTTGGATACTTGATAGTTATCATAGTCATAATATAAGATTATTTATATTGGTAATTCAAATATTAATAATATATTTGATGAACATTGAATTTGTAGTATCTAAAACGCATTCCGATTAGTAATATTTATAAGTTTTAATAAATTAAATTTCAACTTTATATTTAGCTATAAATATAAATATATATAATTATGTGTACTATATTACAGTATATTCCAGTATGTCCAGTTCATCTGAGCGTTCGGCGACTATTTTATTCCGCCGGTATAGCGTGATTAAGACTATATAATATAAAGGTTGTAGAAATAATATTTCAGAAGAAAAGAGAAGAATAATAACGGGTTTACACTGAGATGTCTGTTTAGCAAACTTTTAATAGCGGCCTTATATATTATCTTATCTTATCACTCCTCGTATAGCGTCATGCAGCTCTTGTTTCGTTCTTGTTTCTCAGATAAGTGAAAAAAAAAAAAAAGTGAAAAATTTATTGACTCACGACCGTTAACATTTGTCTTATAATAGTTATAACACGTATTATTTTCTATTTCCGATCGAATAAAATGATAAGACAGGACGTCCTCGGCGAGTATCCGCACGTTTTCTTCGGTTAACGCTCGCAAAACGCCCGCTTTATTTAATCGTCGCGCGATACCGCTTTTATTTCGGCAGTTTACGCGTAAAAAATCTAATATTTGTCCTTTCGGAACGCGACTTATATACCCGTAAAACGTTCGATTTCTTCAACAAACGCTGCGGGTCGATAAATTGGAATAAATAGTTTCGGCGTGTAGAGAGCCCCAGGTTCGGTTCACGGCGGCGCCACCTCCGTACGCTTCGTAAGAATATCACGGCCGCCCGCGCTGTCAGGATTTTTTTTTTTTTTTGTGATTTTTTTTCGGATTATATTTATTATAACTGTTATAATTATTATATTAAATGTTTTTATATTTATTTTTTGCGTATTTTTCCCTTTTTTATTTCGCGAAAACCCTCCTTTCGCATTATTATAATAACATTTATTGCGGTTTCGGATCGCTTTTCCGAAACGAATACACGCACCTAAATGTCCAAAAATCAACTCGGCTTTCCAACGAACAGTGTCTCGATTGTGTTTACAAGCATTAAACGCCGTCGATCTACTTATTGTTTTTACGGAAAATATTCACATTTGAATAGTGTTAAAACAAAGCTTAAACAACGTCATAATATAATTATTAAATAATTGAAAAAATAAAACACAGATAAGTAACAAAAACACTTACAAACCCCTGAGAAAATCGCTGGATCATAATATATAGATCACCCTGTATAATATATATTTCGGAACTGAAGCATTTATGTGTAATGATGTGGTTAATTATTTATTCAATGAAACGAAAATAATTCACAGCGGCAGCAGTGACGCGGTGGCAGCTATATAGAATCGTATTTAATTAAGAGCTTATTAGTGTGCATTTGAAAATTACCAACTTAAAACAATGGCCTGCCATTTTCGGTGTTTCATGCGTATATAGAATCGGAGAAACCGTCATCGTCGAGGCCCCGGAAAATATAATATTTAAATTATTATTATTTTTGTTTTATTTGTTTAAGTTTTTGTTTTTGTTTTTGTTTTTTTTTTTGTACACTGTATTAATAGTAATAATAGTTATAAAATGTACACTATTATTGTTTTTCTGGTCTTTAATATAACGTTTGGACTGGGCTCGACCCTCCACTGTCAAAACTCAAATCCTTTGAGTCTCGATTTTTATTCCCATCGTGTTCATATGAATTTGCGGTAGTATTAAATAATCAATTTCAATGAATTATAATAGGCGTGATAGTAGTATGTGACCAATTATATGAACTTTGCATTTTTTTATAATTTGCTAAAGTTGTCTTTTTAGTTTTTTACGAAGTACTTCGACCAAAAACGTCTACATTTGTTATTATAGTGGTACTCCACAAAACCTCGAGTAGGTATCTTGCAGTAACACCGTATTTCATATACTTGCTGATGTATAAATAAATTAGCATTACTTAATTATTGTTAAATACTAACATTATGTAAAGTTATTTATTTTTTATATTCGATTACAGAATATAATATTATTTTGAAGAGGTTATTTGTTGAATTCTATAGACTTTGACTATGGTTATTGTGTTGTTATTTTTATATTAACGATCGTAAACAAATTTTTTTTTTTCTGAAAAAGTAAGAGGAACTAAAATAACTTGATAATGATATCTAATTAAAATGTACGTATATTTGTATATTTTATTTTTAAATTTGTAAACAATATTAAACGTCGTTCGAGATTATCAGATTGTTATTAGTATAGAATACTATACTAATATATATTTGTGTATTTATTTATTTTTTATTATTAATACAGGCAGAGCCCAGTACAGAATGAAATAATAAAAAAGATACAATTGATAAAATATTTCAATATTAATTTAATTAGGTAGCATTGATTGCGTAATGTAGAGTGATGGTTGGAAATAGAATACTATTTGACTAGACGCATTAAACGGTCAAGATGATAATTGCATCAATAATTTGTAGTACGTTTAAGTGGGGGAGCGAGTAGAGCGCTGAGGAACTCGGAAATTAATACAAGAGAGGAGGGAAGGTGCATTAAATTAAGCTTAGCCATGGAACGTAGGTTTGCATCAATATGTCTATCGGCTAGGTTAGACAAGCTTACGCCATGAGAACAGGGAAGTTGTAGTGAATGGGGTGGGGAATACTCAAAGAAAAACCAACGAAGAACAGAAAACGTCTTTGAACTCTCTCTAAAGTAGATGAGTGGGTAACAGTATATGACTCCCAAAGAACGGAACCATACTTGAGTATGGGAACGAACATTAGTGCAGTACAGTGTCTTGAGAGAAGAATAAAGTAATAATATTACTAGTAATATTATTAATATTATAAATGTGAACATTTATAATTCGTGATTCAATCACGTGTCAAAACGACTGATAAAATTTGACACAAAGATAAAATATGTTCTGGGTGATATCAAATATGATACTTACTATCCCAATATTTATATTTTCACATTTTTTTTTTTTTTCAATCAAAGTCGTGCGAGACAACTAGTATATTTTAAATTCCGAAGTAGAAAAAAAATGTATCTAAAAACATAATACATAATATGGGAAATTTAATGTACTTATTGTTATACATATAAGTGAATTGTATGTACACCTAATTCTCTATAACCGTCAGAAAATTTTAAAGTTACAAAATCGAAATCTTTGAACTTAATATATAATACAGTAATTTATAATACATTTACGATATAATCAAGTGTACCAATTAACTATTGTAGAATTTAAAAAAAAAAAAGATGGACAAACTTTGCACAATGGGTAGGCCACTGTTGTAGTGTGTAAGTTGAGAATGTAGAATATAGTGAGAAGCTCAATTAATATCTGTACACAACCATTGCTAACGAAAAACGATTCGGAGTGAAGTTCCTTTTATTCATGTATGTACATTTTCCCGTTTTGCTTACGTTTTTTCTCGGTTTTTCTAACCATTATGCAAACTGCTTAGAAAATCAAAAAATAACCTTTTTAAAAAACCACCCAGATAAAATTTTCTTTGAATAAAAAAAACCCTCCATTTGAAATCGGTGAAAAATTTCTTGTAGAAAAGTTGTTCGCAGATTAAAAAAATAATAATAAACATCATTGTAAAACTAATATTTCTCTCAACGTTCCGGACCTAAAAATAATAATTGTAGTATTTTGTTTGTTTTTTTTTTTTCCTTAATATGTATTAAGTTATATCAACAGTGTTGTGTTTTGTCTAGATCGATAATAAATATACGGGTATATTACTTTTATCATTTATCACATCCGGATAAACGGGAGAAATAAGTTTACCGAGCCAAATAATTAAATTGCCCAGATAAATTGTTTAGCTAAATAAATTTTACATACGAATCGAATCAATATATTCGTTAGAAATAACAAGTAATGAAATATTCAGTTTTAATTGATATATTATAACGGTTATTATCAACCGAACAATTTTGTTTAAAAATCCAGATGCACACCGTAATATTCGTTATGCTTTTAGCATTTTTATGACAAGTAATGAAACATTTATTTTTATTATTATTTTTTTTTATAGAAAATATGTTGCTAATTTGTTTTATATCAACTGTATCTAGATAATTAAACCATTTTTTTTGTATAACCACATCGTCATCCTATCGATATTTTAAAATATGTCTTTAAAAAACACTGTACCCATTGAATATTACAGTACTCCAATATCGATGGAACCATTAAAGTTATATGCGTTCATTATTTGTGTATTTTAAAACTGATTTCGCTGAGAACAACGAATACTATACGGTAAATTATAAGGTATTTAACGATTAAAATATTTTTATGAAATAGGCAACCGAAATGAAAGTAAAGTATAATACAACTCGACACTTTGAAATTTAATCGCACACAATGGTACATAAGGTAACTGTTCCTAAAGAACAACGACGACGCTAAACAAACACTTCAAGTATCGTTTTTAGTTGTCAAAATAAGAAGGTGTTATGTTAAGCATTGTAAAATATTTTACATTTTATATACTTTTATATAAACCCGTCTTCGAAATTCGATTTCATTTCGTGTCGTTTTGTTTTGTTTTTGTTTTATATACATAAAAGACAAAGCGAATCCACCCGTGAGCAGCTACAGAGCTCCGGATCACTAGAGTCAAATACTCTTCCATTTATTTCGTATATAGAAATTTTCTTTACCGAAATATACATAACCGAATACACTATAATAATAATACAATAATGCTACAATTAAATTGTGAAATTTAACCATACAAATAGTAGAGGCGGGTGTTGAAATTTAAATCCACCGATGACACATACTTGCCGTACATACATGAAATTCCATCCGTCTGGTTTCATTTGGATTGTCTGTAGGTGTATTATTAGTCTATTATCAATGTTAAAGTTAAGCATATTGTCTACGTTTGTATGTTGAGTTAGGTTATGTTTTTTCGATATTTTAATTTTCAGGCAAAACACCATAACTTTGAAATTGTAATATTTCCTACTACCAGGCATGGCGTTTAGGGAGGGCCACAGGGCCCATGCCTTCCCCCTAGAAATAAAATAATCTATAAGGTTATAAATAATCATTTCTTTCAGAAATCTGTATAGAGTTCAGAGTGTTAATGAATTATAATCACGACCTCTGCAAATAGTTGTGCAATCACATTAATCGGCCACATTGACTGACTGACATCTGGTCATATTTTAGTTAAAATTATTTATTTTTTGGACCAAAAGGATATTGCTCCCTCCCCCCTAGAAAACGAACCAAATCCACCACTGCACACTACTCGTGCAATACTATTTGAAAATTCAACGAAAAAATAAAGATCTTTTAAATCAGTTCTTTCGTGGTATCCACGATATTCCACAGGGGAAATATTATATTATTATTAAATAAAATGATCACCACTAAATTAATACCGAAGTGGAAATCTCCGATAGATATATTCTATAATATATACTGTTATATGAGTACACTATAATATAATCCGAAACAATTATTAACAGCTGCTCGGTTCATATTTGTCTCCGTATAAATAGTCAAGCAGCATTATTATATAATAGATAATAATAATAATTGAAACACGTATTCATCTATCTCATTATTTAATTGAATTCGTGCAAATTTTGGTGAATAATATATGACGGAAAAGCAAATATTAATACGTTTAAGTCGTAATATTTTGATTATAACATCTTAAAATTCACAATGAATCCATTCTCGTATGAGATGTATAACATGGAATACAATTTTGCGATGGTCACTGACAAAAATGTTGAGAACCCGTTTAGAAATAGGTACATACATTCATATTCATAAAGGACATAATAAAATATTTAAGGGGATTTGTAAAGGCGATTTTTACATATTTATCGAATTGAAAATAATATTTAAATTCGCTTGCATATTAATTATTTAAATATGATGCCGGGTCCTTATCATCACAAGTATTCGTTATGTAATTGTGAAATTCGAATAAAAAACTGTTCACAAAAATAAAATATTATATTACGTATCCTTCAAAGTGATTTCAGTGTGATTTTGACTCAAAATTAAAATTAAATATACTCCTATACTTCTGATGTGGACGAAGAATTTTCTCTTAAAAAAAAAAAAAAAAAATAGATAATTTGAAAAAGTGTAAAATTAAATTAAGCCGCATTTGTTTGAAGCTCGAAAGAAAAAAATGTGACAAAATTAAGATATTTTAATTGTTAAAATGTTTCAATATAGTAATTTTTATACAGATACCGATATTGTTAGTAAAACGCAGTTTTTTGAGTACACGTGGTGTTATAAATTATTATGTGCATACAATTTATACGGTATACTACGAATATTAATTGCATCGGTAAGTTCATAATTTTTTCAAATTATTTGAAAGTGTAACCATGCAGGAATAAGTACAAACATATAAATACGTAATCATATCATATATTAACGGTATTACAGTCTGTGAATACCATTTTTTCAATATGAGAGGAGCAGCTTTTAGTATTGGATGAGTTTTTAACACTGGCTGATCTATGGAAATTTGGCATATATGATACAATTATCACTATAATTGTATAAATATTATATTGAGCGTTTTATATAATATGATATTCGGTATATTTTTTGAACGTTTACCGTTACGGTTAAATCTCACTAAGTCCATCGAGGCCATCCCAATGTACTTTTATCTCGCGCGGGCATTGTACGATGAGGTCGCGTGCATTTAAATGCTGTGTATTAAAACGGTGTAATTTACGAGACGCGAAAAACGTATTGTGCATAAAATAGACATAATAACATCGTATCCTCCCCTCTTTTACAATGTCCCATCGTTTTTAATTTAACCGTATTATTATAATATAGTGTATATGGCCACTCTAAATAGACCCTTTTTTTTTCGCAGACCGGACACTTTCAGCCACCCCGAAAATCGATTACCACTTCTTCCGTTCTTCCGTATATATTCCGACGAGCAAGGATGTCAACAAATTAGTGATAATATAATAGCATATTGTTGACGAATTATATCATTGAATAACGGTTTCGATAATTATCCCACCGGTTACTATATAGCAGCTAATATTTCCTTTATTTAATCTGTTAAAACATTATAGGTGTTTTCGTCTGGTTACCTACGAAAGGAAATCTAGACGAATACTGATATCATGTGTTTTTAAATTGTCATTTCTATCGTTTATTTCACAATGACCAACTATAATGTCATGTATGAATTGTATTATAAACCTTGTACGTCTGTGGTTCCAGGAAAAAAAGACATAAATTAATTTTTAGATTTTTTTTTTTTATTATTATTATTTTGTCTTGTATAATTCGTTTTCCTTTGTTATTTTTTTTTTCAATTTTCAAAATTTAGTTTCTTTTATTGTGAACTTTACAAAAACAGACTTAAGTCCTTCTTTTCTAGGACCGAAGATGTATAGGTAAACTGTAGACGGTTTTAATTCAACAATTTGATTATGAAAAATAAAATAAATGGTAAAATAAAAACGGAAACGTTTTTCAAATGATTAGACAATTATAATAATATTAAAAATGTTTTGGGAGCCAAATAAACGTTTATATTTTATATTTATATGCCACGCAATAAACTGTTTCATCATTGTTAAAAGAAATTCGATTATACAAGAGGGGGAAGAAAGGAAACCCTTTGTAATTATCGAAAAAGATAAGAAAAAAACTGTTGCTTTGACCATCGTCTGTTTGTCCTAACACGTATTCCTCAGACTACTAACGCGCACGAACGGTTCTGAATTTCTTTTCTTCACTGGTTTTAACTGCTTTTACGCTTTAATTTCGTTACAAATAAAAAAATCTATGTATATAATACGCACCACATTTCTAGAAATTCACTTTTTTATTATTTAGACGAGACAAAGGCTAAATTAATTAAAACGGGTTTCGCTGACACAAACTAATTACTAAAAAAAAAAAAAAAATGTATAAAAATAATAATTAGAAAAATAATGCACTATTTATTTTGTATGTACAAAAATATTATATAACCTACTAAAATAAATGTTAATGTTTTATAGTCACCTGTTATACGCAAGTATATTTTTTTCTTTTTTTTTTTTTTAGTATACATCTTTGATGTGAAAACAAATTTAAATTTAATTAAATTCTTTATAGTTTATTATATTTTATTATGTATAAAAAACTAAACATCAATAGTAATTAATCCAAAGGTTGGAAATTTAGGCATTTGCATATTCGTTTGAAAAGTGCATATTGTAATTTTATACTGACTTGACATGAATTCGTTTCATAATACCAACATTTCCAATATTACAATTTTTGTCACAAAATTTTAATATATTTTACATTTTGGACAAATTCGTATAGATTTAGATTTAAAAATATAAGAATTGTTTACTTTGTTGATTTTTGTTCGTATACCTTTTTGGATTCCGAACGAAGCGAAACATATTTATATTATATTTGTATAATGATTTTTCTTGTAATTTTTTTAATAAATAGGAAAAAAATGGTAAATGTTGGATTAGTTTTGGTTGATTTGTAGATCACGCTTAATATTTTTAATATTTGTTAATCTTTGTCAATTTTCAAAAATAGATTATTTTCTGAAAAAAATTATGCCTAGTTTGTGGTTAAGAAAGTCGTTGATTGGTTTCCAGTATAGTTTTCCTAATAACTATGAAAAACCTGGACAAAACGTAGGAAATACGGCAAAGTGTACGGCATTTAGATAATTTGTTGTTATTCGGTTAAAAATTAATGTAGAGATCTGGTTCACAAATGTTTATAAATTAATTATATTGGCTTTTTGTATAAGTTGTAATATTTACAAAACATTCTATCTATTTTTACGAAAATCATAAAAATTTCACCATTTCAAAATATTACGTCTCAACAAACTTCACTCCAAATCTTTTTGTAACAAGTTTTAATCTTTTGCGTACAGATATAAATTAACTCCACGTATCCTAACTTTCCAACTTCCACCTAAAACAACAGCTGCACCCGTTGCTAGTATTTTTTTTTTAAACCTATAATATTTATAATATAGATGATAAGTATTTTGTACATCATTATTATGTGGTGAAATAATTAATATTGTGCGACGCAACAATAATATATAGTTTGATGTGAAGAAAGTCGCGAGGTCACCTGGATATACCTACATCCACGGTATATATAGGTACTGTACATTATTGATGAACAAAGTTTTACAGTTTTGTCACAAATTCGCGTGAAATTAATTAAAAATGTACACACAAGACTCAGGCTTTCCAGAAAGTATGGTGACGACCGTGCCAACAACAACAATATTAATATTATTATATAACAACTGTTAAATCAATTTAATTGGGAAATTATAACGTTTATATAATATCGTATTGACTGTCGGTTATCATATAATAGAGTAAATAAATAAATGTGGGATTATTACTAGCATCGCAAAACACGTTTCGAATTCTTGTAATAGTTAATTACGAAAATAGTATATTAACTTCCTTGAGTTAATTTAAACGCACTAAACTTAAGTTAAGTTTAACTTATTGGAATAAGTTTAAAAAATGTCACTAAGGGGATACATTAAAGAAGTCGTTATTTGATTTTCCCAAGAGTTTTCCCAGCAAACGTGAAAAACCGGGATAAAACATGGGAAAACCGGGAAAAACATAGGAAAACTGGGAAAATCGGTACAACATTAAACAAATATTATTGAATAAAATGTATAGAGTCTATTTTATTATTTTATTATAATATGGTTATATATATTGTTGACAAAGCATCACTATCAACTAAACTCCGCTCAAAATCGTTTTTTCGTAAGCAATAGTTTATCGTTACTTACATACAATATGCATTCAATTTTCTATAACAGTGGCTGCACCCGTCCCCATAGTTCTAGGACATATTTTTTTTTTTTGAAATAAAATATGTGTCATACTAAACATAAAAATTAAGTACCTATACGAAATGTAGTATATTTTCATAATAAAAATTGTATTAATGGTACTTAGTATGTTTAATTTACTCTAGATGATTGGTCTATTTATGTGTGAAAAACGAATTACTTTCAACTACCTTAACTGATCGACACGAACATTTGGAGTAAAGTGTTTTATGTACACGTCATAACCGATCGAAGACATTTGAAATCTCTCAGATAGAATAAGTTTTGTATCCGGGACAGACTACTACAACTCTCAGTGAAAATAATCTAAAAAAATTTTTTTTCTTTCTTTTAAACTCGACTCAGATTTCGGTATGACATTTTCTCGTTCTTTTCCTCCTCAAAAATCAACACCATCTTGTACCACGAGGTGTAGAACAGTAAAAATATAATACATTTAATAATATACTTCTCTTCTAGTGTAGTATGTAAGTGACAATTTTCACGGTTCACTATAATATTGTAATATACCAGTACGAAATCGGCTGTTGCTATATACAATGTACCTAACTGCGCTTCAGCTTCTCTATTCTACAGATTCCATCCCCTCCATATCCTCTTGGTGGCACGTACCGCAGATTAAATGCCCAGGAGCAATGACTATATAGATAACGCTCCAGTATCTATATTATTATTATATAGGTATCGCAACGAGATTACCGAGTATCAATAACAATTTCGGTTTTTTTTTCAATCGTCCTCCCATACGTTGACGCCCACGCATCGTAGTCATGTCTTGGGATTTACCATCGTCCAAAAATTGTATTTTCAACACGATAATAAATTTTTATGTTTTGTAGAAAAATAGAAAGAAAAAAAAATCCATAAAATACATTTTACACATTTTTGGCGGGTCACAGTTTTGTTTTAAGTTAACTTGCACGAGTAACACGAATATTGTTTTTGTTTAAAAATTAAAAGCTGTTTTGAGTGGACCTTATCGAATTTAAATAACAATTGTAACATCCATGTGGTTGTAGTGTATTAATTTTTTTTCCATTTTCAACATAATGAATGTATAATTGGTAAATTTATAAAAGGGCCTTTTCAAAGTATACTTATAAACTAACTCTTTCTATACACATTCAACGGAACTTTTTACGGATTTGGTTTACTGTCCCAAAAAGTGTTTTCCGTGATGAAAAAAAACCCCATCTATGTCAATGATTTTGTATAGAATAGGTAGACATGATAACTTAAATTCAAAGTTTACAAGATTTAACAAACCAGTACAGAGTAACACAAAAAATTATTAGATTAATAATCATATGTGTTTTTTTTTAATCTCGGAAAATAATTATTCGGTTAATAAAAATACTCTGATATTTTTATAATAGAACTTTTTTTTTATGAGCTTTTGAATTTATTGATTTTCGTTAACTTGCTATCATTCGCCGTTCAAAATTGGTATTAATTTACAATGATTCATCGTTGTATACTGCAGTGTATAAACTAAATAACCCTATATATTATATCCTATACCTTCTCGTTTGCCCACCCACAACAGTAGCTTACCAATGGTTAGGTTGTAAATACATCTACAACAGATGGTGCGTATAACGCAAAGTATCTTCAGCTGTTTTGTATTATACATAATAGTAAAAAAATAACTCAGTTATACTTATGATGAAGATAATATGTTACTCGTTTGTATACCTATCTAAACACACAAAAAATAGGTTAAATTAAATTTTGGACACCACAGTGGGTATGTAAAGAGGTTTATAAAAGTTTTCAAATTCAATCTAACCTGTATAATTTTTCTGTTATCACATGCGATATTAATTCAAATAAATAAATAATAATAATAAAAAATTAAACCATTAAAAAGATTTTCCCAGAGGGGTATTTCATCTGGTCACCAACCGTGAAACGCGGGTGCTATATAATAGGGTTTCGACTCTTTTTTATAGTTTATAATATACTTACATTTTTTTTAAACCATCCAAACACGATAGCATAGTGAAAAAACTTAAACGAACATAATAATAAAACAACGCTGCTGCGCGTTGTATTAAAAAATTGCCGTCCGCCTACTATCATTTGCATAAATTAAAACAAAACAAATGGGTTGTAAATAAATTGTCTTGATACTCTACTTGCAGGTTGTAGCTTATTTCGATTTTATATAACGAATCATACGTCATAATAATATTACGTATTGTAATTAATATAATAACTAATACTAATACTATTATAGATGAAGGTAAGACCAGGAATGTTTTAGACCATGTTTTAAAAACGCGAGAGAGAACAATGTGGTGTATCATGGTAGAAAGAAAACAAGGATTGAGTTGATTTCTAAGCACGGATTTCTATGAAAAAACTTGTTTTTAATGAATGTATGCACAACCAATAGAATAAAATATAGATTATATATTTTCTTTAATAATATTTGTTAAATGTTTTGCCGATTTCCCCAGGTTTCCTACGTTTTTCTCGGTTTTCCTATGTTTTTCCCAGTTTTTCATATTTGCTAATAAAACTCCAGAGAAAATCTAAAAACGACCTTTTTAAAGTACCTCCCCAGTGAAGTTTTCTTTCAGACCATTCTACCATTAAATGTTGGAGCAAAATTGCTGGTAGAGAAGTTGTCTACAGAAAAAAAAATCATATGATACAAATATATTGCGTATATTTTCTCGTTTTTTTTTTTCGGTCTTTTACATCTGTTGAGAAAACTCTGGGGAAATTCGGGGCAAGTCCTCTGGTAGAAAATTTGTCTGCAGAAAAAGAAATTAATAAACTTCTTTGTAAAACTATAAGCTTCTTCGTTCTACTCAGAATTTAAAATTCAGTTTATTATTATATTTTAATAATGTTATTGATTTTGTTAATTATTTTTTATTTAATTTATTTTGCATATAAGTGCACATTTTGATGTTAAGAGAATATATTGAATATTGATACAAAAATATATTTTCATCTTTTAATAATATTTTTAGAGAATATTACAAGCATATAATATTCTGCAACTTAAAAGAATATAAGCATCATATTTTGGCTATTTTTAGAGAATATAAATCCGCGCTCTACTCAAGACAAAAATGAAAATTCACATTCGAAAAACGTTTAGACGGCATAATTGTGTTACTGATTCAAAGAGTTCCGTTTAAAATGAAACAGCTATACGTTTTGATAATCTTTAATAAACCCACAAGCAGTGTTCTTACTTCGACTTCATGGTTTTAACATCATTCTTGTAGCCTAGCTAGGGTAACTACTGAATTACTGATAAATATAATAAACTCTCCATAGTTATTAACGCAAATAACATAATTATTTCGACTAAACAATTATTTTAGTAATATAGGGATATTAAATCGTTTTAGGTAAATTATTATTATTTTAAGTAAGTACCGGAATATAATAGGGTGAATCACATTAGTAATTGCCGTCGCGGTGGCGGCGAATACCGAGGTGGTTTTAATAATTTATTTAGGTTAACCGTGACGATTGCGGTACAATATAATAACGATGATATTATTTTGAAAACAGTTCTAATCGGCGTGATAAGTAAACGTCGACGTGAATTCGATCATTGTATTGTATTATTATTGTTTTACGTAGAACTATTTCGATTTCGTAAATACGAATACAAAAGTATATGGATAAAGGTAAATAATGTCAAAGATCTAAATTTTATTTGAATCGTTAATTGATTTTTTTAGAGGAACCGACACGTCTCACGTTTGCACGTGAAATTAAATTAGAATACACAGCAAGTTTAAGTAAAATAATTAAAGTAAAAAAAAAATCGTTTAAAAATAAAATGCAAAATGTTCTCTTATGATAAATAAAGTTCTTAGGAACTTTAAAATTGAGATTGGAAAAGTTTTATTAAATATAGGTTGTTACCACGGTATTTATTTAGATTTGTCTAAAAAAAAAAAATTAAATTAAATTAATAATAAATATAAATAATTAGAAACTATATCATACTATTTATGTTTCAGATCTATTCGATAATTTCTTATGATTTTTTTTGTTTCTTAATAACTCGTCCTGTAGTATACGAATATAATTTTATGTTCAATTTTTCATACCAAATAGCTAACACTAGAAACCTTTATAGGAAGTTGTAGAGTGGAGTCGTCACATATCTCTACTCAGTGGCGTCTCTAGACCCTTTTTTAGAAAGGGGCAAACTTCATACATTATATGTGTACATCAACACACTAATTACTAGAAAGTTTACCTGGTTTTACTCGGAAATGTTTTAGGGAAAAGTAGAGTTGCTTATTAATATAGTCACAGTATTTAAAATATTTGTATGCATTTAAATATAAATTAATAATATAAGTTAAATGACTATTCGCTACGTCATCAAAATTGTATACTCCAACGAAGCTATACTTTTTTTTTTGTTTTGTAAAATTAACCCATATAATTAATATATTAATATACGCCCGTATATTGTTCCAAAAACTCGTAGGGAATATGTCCGGTCTCCTGCTGGTTGATTGTCTCGGATATACAAATGCGTGGGATTTAGATCAAAGATAGTTTAAAATAACTAACTAATCGAGTAAATTTTAAACTCGGTAATCATACTGATAAACCCAGAGGGAATTATATAAACGAACCCCTAAAATATTTTTTAATGCAGTGAACTCTGCGATAAATACGTGATAATATGAAAAATATATATTTAATATAAATCGCAATTTTTTCTAGATCATCACATAGTCCATTGTATAGTTAGACTAGACAATAAGAGAGAGGCCAACTCGAAGGTTGTTTTTCTATTGGTTGACACTTTATCAGTCACCGAGCCGCCATTTTTAATGAACAATTATTAATTTTTACACACGATCAATGTGGATTTATTTATTTTATACACGTTTTAAATGAATACGTTACTTTAATATGTATTCCTGCTAATTAGTTTAGAAATTCTTTGATTGTTCAATATTATTAAGTTAACAAAACTGAACAGATGCTAAATTTTCATTTGTTTTTCATCCACCTGTCCGTTAAATTATTTTCAATTTTGAGAAAAAGTTTTGCTTGATTTAAATTCGTAAGTATAATTAAAAATAATATGTATAGTGTTTAAATATTTTGGATAGATGGGGGGTGTTAAACTATTTGTTCTGATGAAATTTAGATTATATCTTAAGACAATAAGTCCTCAGTAAAAGAAAAAAATTTTTATTATTTAAATACACCTATTGTACCTTTCCCCGAATACACTAATGGAATCCCCTATCAATATAAATAGTTTAATAATTGAACTAGTGAACTATAGATACTATGAAAGGTAAAATACAAATAATTAAGTATACAAACAAAAAGACAAATCAAATAACTATATTCCATGTAACATTAATTGTATATTATTTGGATTTAGGTGGTCATTTTTTCGCACTTAACACGACGGTTATATTCTGCTGAGATGGTCACACATGTATTTATCTATACAACCATAGTAACTATAAAAGTGACACCTTTTTTTAACTGTTATCTGAAAACTAAAAAGGAACATTGAAACGAGTCCGCGCACCAATTCAATGGTATAACTTTGTTTATCCTAGTTACAAAAACGTTTACTGCTGCGTTGACGAGGCACGCTGAATGGCGTCTGTCAGTTAACAGTTCAGTTTGGGGCCAGTTATTATCAAAATGAGAAGATTGATTGATATCAAAACTATAGTGGTTTATTAGGGCTTAAGGTCAGATTAGGAAGTACCAAACGTCCAATATGATTTCAACCTCTCATCGGACCCTACCATAATGTTAGGCAGTTATTGTTTTTCAATACATCTATATAGTTTTAATTTATACGTTAACATTTGAATATTTGATCAACTCAAATAATGTTACCTATGGTACGCATATTTTTGATAGGTATATTTTGGTAATACCATATTAAATTGACACGCGGAAAGGCAGCATTATATAGTGCGCACGGAAACGATTATAATACGGAAGATTGCTTCGGGGATCTTGTTCGAGGAGAATGAAACCGTATTATAGTCATAAATGATTTTACCATAATAATAATATATAACGATGTACTCTAACCAGGCAGACACGAACATGATTTTGCGAGGATTAGGCCGAAATCTTACTTGATAACAATATACTCGTACATTTGGTTATACAGTCAAAGTCGCTCGGCGCGTGTTTTTTAAATTTTGCTTTCATCTCGAAATTATAATATTTAGATTGGAATTATCGCTTTTTTTTTTTTAAATGCGTGCAGCATAATATTACAAAAACAAAAAAAAAAACTCGCGTTTGATTAAATTATTATTAAAAACGTCCAATGCATATAATTATTATGATCGTGAATGTACAGAGTCAGTGCCAGCCCTAAAGGGGTGAGCAAGCAATGAGCCTCACACTTGTGTGGAGCCCACCAATTTTTTTTATTTCCAATATCATTTTATAAATAAATAACCATAATAATATTGCCCCAATAGTAAGCAACTTTCGACCCTATGCCATGTGGCCATGTGGTTTTCATAAGACACGGGTTGTTATCGACGAAAATCAAAATGGTACCAATTATATATATTGCCGAGTTGCGTAAACGACCAATAACTAGTTATCCAACCGATTTGATCGGTTTGATAAAGTGTTTGGCTGTTGCAAAAACGACTTTTATCAATTCGATAAGTTATTAGAGGCCCGATTTTGGTTCGATAAGTAATAAAAACAGTACCATAACTATGTATTGAACTGATAATACGCTTACATATTTATTCCCACCACCCGGTAGTCACTACTTGCTTACTTGTTGGTTATTGACTTAATTTATCCTGTGGTTATACATTTTATTTATCTTTTTTTATTTTTTATTTATTCAATAATGTATATTTAATTCTAAATACATAATTTCAAAAGGATCATAATAAATAACGATCATTTATTGAATATACCACACTACGACGACCGGGCTAAGTTATCAAATAATTATATTTACGTTGAAAATTTTATGCAACAGTACTGTATTATATTATAGAACCGATACAGATATTTATACAATAATTTATTGACCCGATAGCAAACCTTATCGAGTTTTTTTTATCGATCGTTTATGCAACTCGGCAATAGTTGAAAAGATAGGGTATAGACGGGAAATTAATGTATATCTGTAAGCAACGATAAACCATTACGAACGAAAAAACGATTCTGAACAGAGTTCAGTTGATAGTGTCAATTTGTCAACAATATATATATATATATATATATATATATATCATATAAAAATAAAATGATTATAACAATTAGAGTTGCCATAACAACAATGTGCGTTTTCATGACAATAATGATTGTTTAAAAAAGATTAAATCAAAATAATAAAAACTTAATAATAACAAAAAATAAATAAAAACGGCTACCAATGACAACCCTATTTTTAATTTTTCAAACTTTTTTAACCTAAAAAACTAGGTATTTCTTATTATTTCGAATATTAATGAGAATTACAAAAAATGACCTCTTTAAAGTATCACTCAGAGAACATTTCCTTTTAAGAAATATGCTATACTTGATAATCGGCGTAAGCTTTCTAGTATATAAATTGTTCACATAAAAAAAAAAAAACGTCATTGTAAAACTAATACATTCCTCGCTTCGCTCAGAATCTAAAAAAGCGATTTCTGAAAAGTCAATATTTTCCGAGGTCACTAGTGTTTACGTTATATCGATCACTTTATATAGATGAATAAAAGGGTTAATGTTTTTTTTTTTTCCATCGTGTAAATAATTTAAATAAAATAGATCAATTTCGATATCCTGCCACAATAGTGGCATTGCCCTGTAATATTTTATATAATCAAAAAATAGATTAAATATAAATCATATTCGTAATTACATTGTTTTCTTGACGGTGAAATACGTACTATAGGTATTCGAATTATTTACTGTTTTTTTTATTTCAACCCGTGACATAGGTTTACTAATTTTAAAACAAAACAATTCCAACGTCTTCAATTGTATTTATAACTGAGGAAAATCGTATAAATTGAAGATGTTTTATTTTCGAAGTCAAGCCTGTCGCCGTCATCGTCAGTGGAGAATATTTAATTACTATGACAACGACAACGACGTGAAATTGGAAACAAACGAAATAACCTTATGAACTTGTTTGAGTTCGGCTGAAATAAACTCGTAACACCGCCACACCGCACTCGTCGTCGAATGAAATTAAATTACAGGGTTTTGGTTCATTTAAATGTTATTCCGGATTCTCTTTTGGAGCGGTGCTGTGGTATAATGGTGGCAGTTCTCGAGAGTTTTATAGGCGTGTCTTTGCAACGTATATAGTGATCTCGATGTGATATTAAATTGTCAGGTTTACGTCGTCTTATTATAAATAATTTATTTAAAGAATGAATTAAATAAAAAATTTAAAAAAAAACAAACAAACACGGTGAGGTAATAATATTTGAATTGGGGTGGCGTAAAATAATTCGTTTATAGAAAATAAAATAAATAGCGGTGAGCGGTAGAACTCTGTCACTAATGTCTAATTTCCACAGCCGACTTCCATTATTAGTTGTTTTATAATTAATCTGAAATAGTTATGTTTGCCAGATTTGTATTATATTTAAGTCTGTATTGGTATTTAAAATCTCGTATTTCTTGTGTAATGTAAAATGTGTGCACACAAAAGGTTTGAAAAGGTGTTTGAAAATTGAAACCACTAAAAGACACATCTTTGATGCCATATAATCAAAAAAATATAAATATCATTCCTTTGACTTTATATAGGGGGCCTATAGGTGTGAGAAAACTTAAAAATATCACACCACCCTAACAACATAATGAAATTCACACTGAAATCATACCAAAATGTTACCACTTAAATCCACACTGAATCGACTCTAGTTCCCAAGTTTGAGTGTCAAAAAGCAGGAAGAAAAAAATGTACATATATAATAGACAATGTAACATTATTTATATTTACGGAAAAAACTTCAAAAAAAAAAAAAAGGCTTTGAAATCAACGCAAGGGTCATAAAAATAAAAACTTTAGGTACGGTGAAATTATAGTATCGTGTTTACTGTTTTTAAATTAAAACATGATTTGTTATCGGTTTCATAGTTTATATGAATTATGATATATTATTTATGCCTTATTTTAGGATGTTAAGTTAGGTTAGGTTCACTAATATGAACACATATAGTGTTCAAAATAAGAAACACCCAATCATCTAACATTCTCTTAACAAAATCTTTTAGGCCATCTGTTTACTATAATAATTTCATGTATTTATAATATTTTTGTTATTTAGCCATTAAAATTTTGAATTATTTATAATATTTATTTCCTTCATTTCCATTGATATAGTGCAGTGTTTTCCAAATTGATGGGCGTCATCATGAAATAAAATTTGTATTTATTAAATTATTTTTATTCTAAAATATAAGGAAGGTTAGTAAAGGCTTTTATAAACATTTATAAACATTTATTTGCTCATTAACCCTTATACGAATAATATCTTATAGGAACCTTTTTGTTGTCGATTTTTTTTTTGCTCATCATGTTGTAAAAAGGGAGACAAGATTTTTGAAAATCTAAAAAGAGAGCGTAGAATAAATGAGATTGGGAACCACTAATATAGTGAGACTAACGGAACAGATTTATAAAACAACTGCAGAATAGCCGAATATACGAGTAAATCTTAAGTTTGAAATCCATAAGGGAGTAAAATTGTATTGATTAACCTATCAAATACTTGTTCAACTGTCTTGTATTATGCGAAAATGTATGTGACGATACGGAAACTACTTGAAATTATACGCAAATTTGTTCCTAGAACCTCATATTATTCATGGAGTAAACAAATATTTCCTGGGTTAATCGATATGGTATAATAGAACAATGTAAGTACTACTAATTTTATACTTTTTACGGTAAATCTATTATACAATCGATTATATCTAAAAATTTTAAATTTAATATCCGCAGTGTTTTCAATGTAAATTATTTATTTTCCTTGGGTATTATTGACCAAACATCCGTAATATTGTACACACAAACAAAATATAATTAATTACCTAAAAGATCTGGAACTGCTGATAGGTGTGCCACTGTTGTAGATAGGAAGTTAGGAGGCATAGAGTCATATCATTTATATATGTACACAACAATAAATCATTGTTAACGAAATCCGATTCTTAGTGAAGTTCAGTTAAACGTGTTGCGAAATGTCATGACTATTACGATCAAAATATCAAATGCGTATAAATAACTGAAAAATTACCAGAAAGTTTCAACATTTTACATCTTGAAAAGGCTGCATAAGTATTTTGTGAACATTTCGGATCTTTGCGATTATTTTTAACCAAATCCCAACACATAATAACAATAAAGAAGACAATGATATTTTTTCCCGATTTTTATGAAAACGGCCGAGTAAATCAAACAACGCCCTTAACGCAATGACTGTGCGATATTTAATAAAACCAATACAATTCTCGCCACTCTTAGAATCTATCGTTAACGGATAGCCTAAATTTCGGTACATTATAATAGTATACAAGTACAACGCCAGTTCGAATAAGTGCCACGCCAAAGATATACCGGCTTAATGTATGTATTATTGTGAGTAGTTTATCGAAACGGTAAAAAAAACGTATTAGTGGTTTATACGGTACGCGGGTGTCTATACGCAGTCTAATATAATAACACAGTAATCCGGCCACGCTGGTATGGCGGTTTTAAATAATAACAAGAGAATAGAGTCAGCGGCGCACGCGGAATATTCGTTTCGTCGGTGGAACGCGCGACTGATACACGTTATTAGCCGACGGTGCTGTTGATGCCGCCACTACGCCGTGTACTTAACGCGATCCCGGGATAATGTCGGACAGAACACATTATATACAGGTACCCACTACCTGTACGCCGAAAATACGTACGCGCGTATAATGCGCACCGGTTATACAATATATACGTAATAATGTACGTCTACCCGTTCTCCGGGGTATATAATATACATATATATATATTATTTTTTTTTTTTAATGTAAGTATATTTAAGTCGCCGTACAGGGTATTCTTTTTTTTTTGTCCCGATATCGAAAAACCCGTTCAAAACGGATTTCGGAAATCTGTAGCTGCAGCAGCAGTACCGTGCAGTGTATAGTGGAATAAGCAAAAGTTCCATTTCTCCGCAACAATGGGCTAAACGCCGGTATTTTTTTCTTCCTCCCGCGGACGAAAATATATTCGCGTTTTTATTTTTCTACGACGGCGACGACGACGACGACGACGGAAAAATATGGGTTTTTAAAATAGAAATACGACGTATCGGTATATTTTTTTTTTCTTTTGCCGCAATAAGCGGCTTACCGGTAATCGAAAGCGGTCGATTTTCACCGTTCTACTTTTTATACTGGACACTATACGAAAACCAATACTATATCGTTAAAAGCACACGTGACCGCCACCACGAAAAGGCCTACACCTATTACCGTGATTTAAATACGTAAAACCGTGTCGTAGTTTTTCGGTTGCCTGGTTTAAAATCCCTCGGTAGGTATACCGGTCAGATTTAGATAAGAGCTCGTGGAATTTCCTCTAGAAATGTCGGAGATGTTCAATTTTAAGTTCATATTATATCATATGACGCGTGCCTAGGCCAAAAAAAACGAAGATATGTTTTAAATTTTTATATTTTCGAAAGTAATTTAATATGGTATACAAACTCCTCTAAAATTGTCGTTTAAATCAAGTAACGAATGATATTCGGATATATAATAATTATTCATTGATTTATTATTTAGATATACTAAGCCAACCTCCTTCATAATAGTGGTTATTGGATATAGTTTTCGTTTAAACGAGATATTGTAATACAAATTTTCAGATATTATTTATGTATCATAAACGATATAGATTTACGTACGAATATATCGAATTTTGGACTAAAAGTAAAGACGTTTGGTTTTAAACATGTCTAGTCATTGACACTGAAAAAAGGTCAAGTGGAAGACATGGCTTCCCAATCGCTCCTTCCCTTCGTAAATACGCTACTAACCCAATGGTCATTATGGCTATGATTTTATTTCGAATCGTCTTCAACTATTTATATAAGTCTTAGGATATATTATTTACTTGAACGCGCCATCGTCGGTGGCCATTAAAAACCCCTTCTTGCAGTAGTAGCCGTTTAAACTCTAATAATAATTATTATTATTATTTCGACCCAAATGAGTTTCACTAATATTGTATATTATAAAGTACCTACATAGTCGGTTGCGCGCGGGTTTATAATGCCTGAAATTAAATCGTGTGCAACCCCTCTCCACGATACACCCACTAAATTTTGGTCAATATCTAACTACGTCGTCGACGACAAGAAACTCGGGAACAATATTTTGGTACGGGAAAATATTATTATATTGGAGGAAAACCGAGTCACCTATAAATCCTTATACCGCTCTCACCGCGCTCCCGCATTAACTGGCCAGATCACGGTGGTATGCAAAACCGTAATCGTCTCGTTTAGGTATTATTATTTTAGTTTATTATATAGTGTTTATATAAGATAAGTATCAGGTTTTAAGTACACTGTACCGATATTATATTCGTTCAATTATATAGTCCCTGTTTTACAAACAATTACGCTTTGTAGACGCCTAGAAACTCATAAAAGCTGTGCAAATATTTTACGATACAATATATTGCTGAGATTCGCTAGATAATTTTATTTTAGATTCTGTACGAATCAAGCAATTAATTGATTTTATTAGGTATTTTTTGACATTTTTTTAAGATAAATCCTGTTCCAATTAAAAACCGTATGGAAAATATTAGCCTTTTCGGTAACCTTGGCAATTACATTTTTAAAATCGTTTTTCATCAGCAAAAATCTACCGTCGCCTTTAAATATGAATAAAATTGCTCTGTACATTTTCTCCCTGACAACTTCTCTCCTAAAAAAGTAGTAAACACATCTGCCATCAGTATCGGCCATTTTTTTTTTAAATTTACATTGTAAATGTAAACCAACCCATGTTTTTTCCAGAAAACGTTGATTATTTTATATTTAGTTCTGGAGCCAAATTCATGCAGTCTAGAAACTGCGTCCTAGAAACCTACGTAACTTCACTAACATTTTTTTGTATTTATATTCGATTTTAATTTCGTTTGTTAATAATAAAGATTTAAACAAGAACAAAATAATTAATTTATGATCTTATATAAAGTGATTCATTAAGCATACTTACCTCATTTTTATGCCAATATTTTGCATACATTCAAATTCGGATTTTAGGAATTTTTAAGTATAGTTAAAGCTGATATTTTCGAATACTTAAATTTTTCACAGTATTTAAGGAGTATCCTTCGATAATCCTAATTTTGGCTTTTCTATATTAATAATCCCATTAAAATAATATGGATTATTGGTTCAAATAAATTTTGGTGTTAATATTTTTGATTTCTGTCAACCCGCTAACGAGATATTCCACTTTCAAGTTGTGACAGGGCGAGAGTAGTGGATCACAATAAAAACGCCGCTCGCTGTGCAGCCACATAAATGATTCTATTATCCTCAGTATTTTAAAGTAGAGTAATTCAAAAACTTTTCGTTCAAATTTCGATTACAATATGCCAACATTTTCAAAAAAATCATAGGATTTATAATTTCCATTAAACATTTAGGATTTCATTTGAAAAACCAAAGTTGATAACATCACAGCACACTCTTTAAATGTCGTAAAAATCTAAGTGTTTTAAAATATCGGCTTGGTTACGTAAGGCACACTTAAAAATTTCAAAAAATCAGGATTTTAATATATGCACAATTTAAAGACACAAATGGGCGAAGCATGCTTAATGAATACCCTAGTTTAGTATAATTGTATAAGTGTTCAATTTTTTAAAAATGTGTAAATAATAATGTACAAAATATTTGCAAAATGTTTATAAAATGTTTATGGAAATGCAAATAGAAAAATGTTTTAATAAAATAGCTAAAATGTTATATGTAAAAAAAATCGCTGTATAAAAAAGGATTCAAAGCCGCTTACAAAAGCTAGCCGTTATAAGAGGAGCAGATATCCAAATCCCTGTTCAATAATATAATATTTTATAATAGATAACGAGACTGCTGCGTGGAAATATTACGTATGTAATAACTTTCCGAAATATGTATTTTATATTTAAATGACCTTTACACCGTTGACAAAACCCTATAGTATAGGATTCAAGGTCGCCCAATTTCGAAAATGGAATAAAAATACATAATATATTCTGTTAGAGTTACATGATAATGTGCACCCCGCCAACACACCGTCACTACCGTAATAAAAATATGAAGTGCAATGTAGTGTTGTGAAATAAGCATGATTTATTTTTGTTTTAAAACGACGTCCATTTTTTATTATTATAACAATAAACAATGATAAATTCGTATACGAATGCGTCGTTTTATAATGTGCTATGTTTCATAAAAATCAAAGCATCTTAATAACATGTAAAGTATAGTCACAGATATACGACGACTATCATATAAGTATACAGGCCTACAACTGCTCACAACGACAATGAAATAGAAGAAATGTATGACAAACTGAATTAAGTATTAGATATGATAGATGCAGAAGAGAATATAATCTTAATGAGAGATTGGAATACACAAGTTGGTGAGGTATATGACGGAAATATAGTAGGCAGCTATAGCCTTGGAAAAAGAAATGACAGAGGAGAAAAGTTAATTGAATTTTGCTCCGAACACAAACTAGTAATAGCAAACATCATTTCCAAAATCACAAAAGAAGAAAATATACATGTAGAAACCCGAGGGACGCGGCTAGATATCAGATAGACTACATAATAGTTAAACAAAGATATAAAAATGACGCCCTAGAATAATGGAGACGGATGCAGCCACTGTTATAGATAATTTTATGTATACCTGTAAGCAACGATAAACCATTGTTAACGAAAAAACGATTCTGAGAGCAGTTCAGTTGATAGTGATGGTTTTTCAACAATATATATATATATATATGTCATATTATGGTAAAATAAATAAATGGTATTAAATATTTTCTTTAATAATATTTGTCTAATATTATACCGATTTTCCCATATTTTTTTCCGATTTTTTCCATTTATTGAAAAAACTCATGGAAAATCGAAAAAACTACCTCCCTAAAGTACCTTATCAGTCAGATTTCCTTTCAGAAAAATTACTCATTTTAAGTCGAAGTGAAATTGTTGGTAGGAACGTTGTACACAGAAAAAAAAGCTATAGTATTTTTTTACTAATACTTAAATTTTGTACATTTTCTTTTTTTTCGACATTCTATCCCGGTTTTTATTAAATACTATAAAAACCGAATTTTTAATTTTGAAGCATTTTTGTTCAAGTCCAAAAATTTCACCACAGAGTACTTACCGAATAAATATTACATAAAAAATTCACAATTAAAATGTCTTTTACATTTACAAAAACGGATTAAATTGTTTGAAAATTCCACCACGTCTAAAAAGGCAAATTTAAGTTATTTTTTTTTTTTAATTTTAAGTCTCTACGAATATTTAAACTGAGTTACAATAAACAACAAAATAGAAAAATAATTAAAGCATTATTTGCACTGAAATAGAAGAAGACTTGCAAATATTATTTGATAAAATGGAAGATATTTTAGGAAATTACGGAATGAAATTAATCAAAAATAAGACAAAAGTTATGTCATGTAGAAAAGTAGATCAAAAGCGGCTATGTAAAAATATTAACAGGTAACCTATCAAACAAGTGTAAAACTACTGCTATCTTGTTAGTAAAATAACCGAATACGGTATAAGCCAATTAGATATAATATATAGGATTGCACAAGGAAAAAGTGCATTCCAAAAAAAAACCACTTACTAACGTCGAATAGCGTGGGACTAAACACAAGAAAAAACTTTCTGAAAATGTATGTATAAAATGTACCATTATACATATGCGGGACCTACATATTTAACTCAATCGAGAAGAAAAAATTAGAATCTCTTGAAATATGGTTCTACCGGAAGATGCTCAAGATTCCACGAAGCAACAGAGTAAAAAATGAAGAGGTATTGAGTAGAATTAAAGAAAAAAAAACAATTTTGGAAAATTATTACTTGTATAAGGGATAATTGTATAGGACATATATTGTGCTATGTTAGTTTGTTGAAACTAATTATTGAAGAATATGCGGATGGTAAAATCGGAAGAGTAAGGCCAGGAATGGAATATATATCACAAATTATGAAGGATATCGGTATGGAAAATTACCGAGCTTTAAAGGAGTTGAGTTTTAACAGAGAAGCTTGGAGAGCTGTGGCCAACCAATCGAAAAATTAAAAACCGAAAAAAAATAAAACAAAACTTTACAGAAATACTCTTAAATTAGATACATAGCAGAGTCGTGTGAATAAATCCACGGTCTCACACTAAGTGGGCAAATTGTATTGTTCAACCCGTCAATTATTTATTTATTTATTTATTAACTCCATAAAATATTTTGATAATATACGTAAAGAAATTTGAAATCAATCACGAATCGTTTTCATATCACCGTCCAATGAATGGAGTAGACAAACGTATTACAGATTCATTAATCAATACAATTCCTCCCCTCTTAATATTATATGTATATGGTTTGCTGAACATAATAAAGTAATTTTTTTTTATAATTGATTTGTGATTAAGTTTTGAAAAAAATCGTAAATATTATGGCCTTACATATCCTGTATAAACGAACTTCGCTTAGAATCGTTTTTCGTTACCAATAGCTTATCGTTAGATACAGATATAAATTGAATAACTTTATGTGCCCTACCTTCACAAATTCCCAACTACCACAGTAATGCTCCCACTAGCATTGTCAGCTCTTTTTTTTCTTTTGTGCAAATAAATTATTTTTCCAATCAAAAACTTTATAGGGACTTTTTGTATACAATGTTTGATCTAGTTGATGCGCTGAGTGGGTGATTTTTTATTTGTACTTTTTTTAATAAATAAGATTAACTGGCAAATTTTTGTAAAATTATAGTTGATTTCTAAGTTACCTTGATAAGAGTATGACTACTAATAATGTATTCTAAATCATTTTTGTTGTCGATGGTTTATTGTTACGCACAGATATGCATAAATCAAATTACTTTTAATATATTTCCTTTCGACTTCCCTCCTTAAACAGCGACACGTCTATCAATAGTATCGGCCATTTTATTTGCGTTGACATGTATGTTGTATAGAATTACGTAATGTAAAAAAAAAAAATACACGCTTTATTACAATACGCCTGGAAAATCAAGGAGCGTTTAAAATATTTTGGGCATATTATCAACGAGAAATGTTGATCATTGATCAACGATCAATGAGAAATCTACAAATATGTACACACAATCGGCAGATTGAAAAACATTTTTTTTTTTTTTATTTATGTATACAACACTATTGGTTCTTTAGTGAAAGCACATACGGGCTTCTGTAATATAAAACATTTGATGTTTTGGGAACTCATTATAACAGTAAACTTCTGGTTACTCCAGCGTAAAAAAAAAAAAAACAAACAAACAATTAGATATATAATTGGCTGTGCACATGTGTCACTCAGTTTCATCCTTCGCTTAAAATGTATGGTTAAAAACACAAAAAAATATATATATATGTGTATATATTTTTAAGTCTGCCGAATACGACTTTTTCATGTTGCATTCAATTTTAATTAGTCGAAATATTTTCTCGTTCAATATTATTATATTAACATATTAAACAATATTATTATTCGCAGCATAATGATATACAAGAAAATCTATAGACCGAAAAATTTTCCTAATAGGTAACTTAATCATTTTTTAAAAGTCGTGAAAGATAAACGTATATATATATATATACCTATAGGTATAAGTATATGTATAGGTATTATATTATTATATAGCGTTTTAAGTTCACTGCAAAAACGCCCGGGACCTCCGGAAATTTGACGGTCGATTCCATTAAATATGTAAACACATTTTAATACTCGGGCTTACGACGAATAAGTAAAACCGACAGATACGACGGTCATGGCAATAGCGGTGTGGGCTGGGTGGAATTCGGCATCGCCTTACATGATAAATAAAAACTCGAGCACTAGTCGCTTTTTCGACGCGATATCAATGTCGCAGCGAACGTCCGCGATAATCTGACGGCCTAAGATCTTCAACAGTCGAGACAACTTATCTGCACATGGTATTATTACATTGAAAAGGTGTAATGGTAAGAATTCCGTTCTTGTTTAAGCCGTCCGAGAAAATTTAACGAATCAATTGAATGACTATATACATCCCGACAGTGGTAAATTTTCAGTATTTTGCTGGAAAGGAGGGAGTTCTGATATGTATTTTAAATAGATTGCTGTTTTGTACCATAGATACATTGAAATAAGATTTCTGAGATGAATCATTCACAGGCACAAAAAACACACACACATCATAATAAAACCAATAGGACTTGCACTTCGCTTTGAATTTAAAAAAAAGGTGATCCGTGAAAGGACCGTAGTAATTTTTGTTGCATGAATGCGAATAATAGTTACATTAGAAACCGGTTACTTGTATAGTCCTTTTATTATTAGAAATTAGCATTAAATCGCTCAATATAGCATAATTTTCTGATTACGTACATATTATTTGTTCTTGATTTGGTTTTAGGTCCATTTTAGTTTAGTCCAACTAGAACAGTACTACAGAAGTGCGTAAGTTAAGTAGATGACTTTGATACGTGCATATGACACAATGTATACAATTACAATAATGTAGACAAATTTGAATGCGCATCATGTCCCCGTACATTTCCGACTATTTTTAAATTAAGCACAATCACATTAAATCAAACATACATATTATTATATAAGTGAGAGTTAAAAAATTCGTCTCCGCGAACGACATTATAATATACACACGTCAAAGTTTAGTCGCAAGTAAACTTTCTTACTGACTGTTGATGACTGATGTCATGCGTGTTTCGTTTAAAATGAAAATCGTAACTAACTTTTGATTGCAGGCAGATGACAATTCGTGCGATAACACAAAATACATTTTTTTTTTTTTTTTATATATATGTAAATTATATTTAACAAAAGTTTTTCTCGAATTTATTCCGGTAAGCGGTGATCATCAATGCATATACGTATTAAAAATCAATCGTAAGTTTATTAATCTAATTGTATGATTTTCATAGATATACCTTTATTAGTATTCAAATTATAAAAAAACTTGAAATACGAAACAGCTGCGGTTTTTTGACGGTGTACTTATACAAATTTTGAAATAGTGTTAAGCCAAAACAGTTTATGTACATCTTTATTTTATAAATTCCGTGAAATATTACTTAAAATGTCTTGATTTTTAAATTTTTCATCAAAATCTTATATATATATTGAATAATATGTTAGTTTTAAATTCAAACAAATAAAATAACTATAAATAACTGAGAAGCCCAGAATTTTTGCAAATTGTATCGCGTCTTTATATTGCTATCATAAATCGACAAAATTTGCTATCAGAAACTATCCCGGAAGTTGATATATTATAATAGAACTACTACGCCAACAAATAAAACTGAAAAATCGGATATCGAATTGAGTGTGTATGTAAAATATTCAACCAATTACCAGCAACTGTTAACATACCGATCCCTTCTTATTCGGGGTAAAATTATCAGTCCCCTTTAGTTTAGTTCTCTTATGTCCATGAGGTGGAGGGCTTTAGTTATTTTTGCTGAAATATTTCGAAGCAATTTAAAAAAAAAACAAAAAAACGGGAAAAAATTGTATTAAAAATAAATTCTTTAATAACTGTAAAAATGTGGAATCTGTTTTAATTTAGTTTTAGTAAACAAACGCATGCGTAGAACACTATTTTTGAGGGGGGGTTTGCAGTTCATTTTTAAACCTCATAAATATAATATTTTCATGAACAATAATGTATGTGAGTGAAAAACATTTTGGAAGTACTGTCTCCGTGATGGGTTTCTGAAAGTTTGGTCAGATTTAGTCAGTTCTCGGGAACGCCCCTCAATTTCGGTAAATATAGTCCCTCTTCAAAGTTTTTCCTACTTTAACCACTGATTATAATAAAAGTTATTGTACAAAATGTCTTTTACCGATACGGATTAATGTATGCCTTCGAACGGATTAAAATAAAATTGCGTGTTCATGGTTTTTGGATGAGGAAACAACAAATAATAAATATATATATATATACTATACGTACATAATATATACATATTCTATGTATTTTACAATGGCGTGCCCGGGAATTTTCAATATTTTCAATAGCACGGAATGTATCGAATAAGAACCATGAATAAATCATAAAATCGTCCTCTCTCGCCAACTAGACTAAAAAAGGCCAATTTCTAATAAATACATCAAGCTTTTCCTCGTAACTTGGCTGAAATATATGCATTTCAATATTAGATTACTAATATTATTTGAAGTTTCAAGCCAATGGGGTTATGTAACCCCTAACCTCCCTTTCCCTGCGCATACTACTGGCAATTTAACGCGTAGACTTTCGTTCTCTAAAAGAGGATAAGCCCATAAATTCCACAGTGATAATAAATCGACCGATATTAAAGAAACAAAGAAGAGATAAATGACAAGAGAGAAAAAAAATCTTATAAAACACATTCTTTTTACGAATAAATAATTGTATAGAGCGAAGAAAATGAATATATTTTTTCATTCAATTTTTGTAAAGCTGAATAATAGAAATCGCATTTCTATAGAGGTACGCGAGTCTCAACTCCCCCCCCCCCCCCCCCCCCCCNCCCCCCCCCAAAAAAAAAAAAACTTCTATGTGGTATAATAATAATATGGACGATTCTGAAAACATAATAAATGCGTACCATTACATAATACGGATCTGGTAAACGAAATTAATTTTCCAATATAAGAAACGTGGAAGTTGCTAATATGGTTGGATTATATGTACTAATTTGTCAAGTACGCGTGAAACACTCTGAACAGAAATATTGTATTGTAGTTGTATTGTAATTGTAGTATTGTTTTCCACTACTATTCCGAGTTGAAGTAATTTAATAATAAAGTGTCTATGCGTTTGATCACTTAACGCGTAATCGAATCGTTAAAAAAAAAAAAAAAACACTTGCAATGCAATGTTTTAGAAATTTGTATTTTTGTGTTCTAAACGTTAAAGAGGAAAATGCGTCGATTGTAAATTGTCAATTATTCCCAATTTATTGAATTTATTTGTGCGGAATAATTTGTTTGTTCGCAAATTAAACTGGAATAATTATTCTTCTCATTTCATACAAAAACTATTATAAGACAAAATATAGTTCTCCGTTCACTAATTAATAAATAGTTACTCATTCGTTCTTTTTTTTTTTATATTTTGCTATTTCGATTTGTATTTGACGAACTTTGCATGCGGGTGGTTTTTTCAAATGTGTTCTTTCTAATATTCAGTTTATTTTCTACAATATATTTTTATATTTTCGACGTTAGGTATATCAAAATTAGGAGAAATGCCAGACGAAACATTTTAAACGATATTTAAAGGGGCCTTTAAAATGGACGACGATGGAATGAATTTTTGGTCGGACGTCATCGGTAGTTGTTCCGGTTTTGGACTTTTGACTCGGCAGTAGCGCTGTCCGGTTACACGAGACGTAGTGAAGTTTAATAAGAACCGACGGTGGAAGTTTAGAGAGTTTCGTGGTCAAGATTCATCATGTCGTCATCGTACCGCAGTCAAAGTGAATCGGGCCGAAGAAAATACTAATTTTCTGACAATGCGATGGCGCCCATTCCGAGAGCGCGGTTATTCAATGTTAATAATTTATTAGCGTGTCGAGATGCGATAGAAACTGAATCAAATAAACATCATATTATCATTACTTGTTCTCTAGTCGATGGCGATACAACTCGACAGTGAATGTTAATTTATTATACTCGTTTGCCCAAATTTCGCTTAAGTTTTCGATGTTGTATTTCATTATTATTATTATTATTATTATTATTGAACCCTCTCCTTCAACCACACAATAATTATGATAAAGAACAAATAATTTATCGAATTCTATACGTACACTAGCTATATCAATATTTTTGGAATAAATATAGCAAACGAATTTAAAAGTTCCGAAAACATGAAAAGAGATCATAAGAAAAATTATACAATAATATGAACATGTTTACAAATATATAAAAGAACGTAAGGAAAATTTAAAATATGGACAAGTTGCATACACAAAAAAAAATAATTATTAAAAACAAAAACCTCATAATAAAACAAATACAATATATTCCCAGCTTCACTCAAGTCTAAAACGTTTTCATTTGCAAATATACGTCTTTGAAATAATGATAAGATGGATTGCATAATACTTTTTGGCGGTCTTTCTTTAAGATTTTTTTTTTTGGTACTTATCTATGGGAAATATTTGAGTTCTTAAGTGTCCACGTATGAAGTGGAGATAAATGGTTTGAGTTATACACAGAAATTTTGATTATTCGCTGGTAAATATATTATAGTTACTTATTTGTGAAAATAAGAAGTCCAATAAATAATTATAATAAACAATTTTTAATTTAGGTTTTTGAAGATAACCATTGTTACAAATTTATAGTAATTTTATTAACGAGTTTTCCAATTTTTTTTTTTTTTTGGATATCTCCACTAATAAGCTCGTTGTATATTTAAAACAATAAAAACAATTTAAAACTTTCTAATAATAAAATAAAGAAAAACGAAAATATACGAACAAAGACGAATTTTTAGACTTTTATGTTGGTGACAAAAAGATTTTTTTTAAATGACAATAAATAATAATAAACTAGACTTTTTTTCAATAGTATTAACCAGGTACCCAGGCTAATTGATGATTATTAGAGCGTGAGAATCGATTTATTTTACGATTAATTAAAAACGATTAATAATCTCAGGTGATAGTGAAATGAAAATAGCGGTTTTAATCCATAAGTTAGTGCATGATCTTGTACGGGAGCTATAACCATAATATGAACGCTCAAACTGGATCCTGCTCTTATTTATGATTAAACAATGCTGAAATCTTAAGCCGATAATGCATAATCACGATTTTGTTAATGATCTTTTGCTGGATCCTAACCAAATCTTGCACAATCCAAAGCTGATTCAACACTGTCTTGCACAGAAGCGGGTGCATGGAACCACCGTCGTCCACCGTTTTATCGACAAATATTTTTCCCCGACCTCCTCTTTTCAAAATATTTTTTTTCAATATTTGTTATATGCACGGATCCTGAGCTATACCAATTACATGGTCGTCCGACCACGACCATGCACCAAATATAACCGACCACTTTTAATATATTCATTTCAAGACTCGTCGCAACTTCGGGAGACATCGGACACTCCCGCCACATAGATAAAATATTACACATATTTGTTACCATACACAATGTATTTTTTTTTTCACCAGCACCGCTATGATAAAATATCACACGATTAAACTTACCTCTCGCACACACACACACACACACACACACACATAAATCACAGAATCCTGAATTTATATACAGAGTACGGGAAATCTACTAATTACATCACCTTTACCACCCAGCTAATCACCAATGTCACCATCACCCTTTCAATTGTTCGAAAATTATTCAACGATGTCTTCAAATTATTTACCACACGTACAAGAAAAGAAAGAGTACGATGTATGCGGAATGAACGGACCACAATATATCAAATCGACAGCGTCACCGTCGGACGAAGAAGATTCGGCAGTTTCAGAAATGGGGTGGGGTTTAAAACGGAATTTTTTTTCATAATTATTGTATTTTATTTTTTTTTTCTGCTCGATAACCGTTATAATATTTGTATTTTCGCAAAATATGTTATATATACTTTAAATATCATGTGTTTAAAATTTGTTCAATTTGTCGCTGAATCTACCTACACACACACACATCATTGATAACGATAATTTCCATACACCCATATCACCAACCAGTGCATTTTAAATGCAAATAATTTAATATACATGGGTATCGATAACAATAGTTTATATCACCGTTTTTAATACTACTTACCGATACATCGTACGATACATTAGTAACATATTGTTAGAGTACCTATATATGTATAACAAAATATTATCTATACATCAAAATATCATGTTATATCGGTCGTCAATGACTCAACTAAAAAATTTTTACAATCGTATACCTATACGAAATATAATAACAGCATTCGTACGAGTCCGAACACATGTGGATACAAATGTCGATCACGATCCATATCTTTCACCAGAACGTAAATTCGTGAATATAGGCATCGACCCGATAGACATGCTCGCCATCAAAGTACAAATAATAACTCCGTCGAAGTACGTAATATAACGTCAGATATTCTTACACGTATATTTTCACTCATGGACAAAATCCTGTCAATCATACTCGACACACCGAAATACAAGTCACACGTATTTCTAGAAACCCCAATATTCAAGTTATCACGTTGTGTGTACAAAAAGAAAAATCTTCAAGATGAAAAATTCGTAGCGAGCATGTCAAAACAAGATGCAAATTATGTCACTCAAATCAAAATGTTTGCAGCTACTCAATTAGCAGAGTCCTGGATTAATAAGCAAAGCACGGGTAATCTACTAATTACATCACCTCTACCACTCAGTTAGTCAGTTTGGAAATTATAAATAAAAAATATGAAAGTCCGGTAGTGATTCCATACAAAGCGGAACTGGCAGACATTAAATTGGACAATTTTACATAAATGATATTTAAAGTATATATAAAATATTTTGCGAAAATACAAATATTATAACGGTTATCGAGCAGAAAAAAATAAAATACAATAAATATGAAAACAATTTCCGTTTTAAACCCCACCCCATTTTCCCCGAATCTTCTTCGTCCGACGATGACGACAGCGATTTGATATATTGTGGTCCGTTCATTCCGCATACATCGTACTCTTTCTTTTCTTTTAGGTGTGGTAAATATTTGGAAGACATCGTTTAATAATTTTCTAACGGTTGAGTGGGTAGTAGTGACATTGGTGAATAGCTGGGTTGAGGTGATGTAATTAGTACCTGTGCTTTGTATATAAATCCAGGATTTTGTGATTTATGTGTGTGTGCGCTTGCGTGTGAGTGTGTGTGTGTTTGTGTGTATGCGAGAGGTAAGCTTAGTCGTGTGATATTTTATCATAGCGGTGCTAGTGGAAAAAAAAAATATATTGTGTATGGTAACAAATATGTGTAATATGTTATCGATGTGGCGGGAGTGTCCGATGTCTCCCGAAATTGCGACGAGTCTTGAAATGAATATATTAAAAGTGGTCGTTTATATTTGTGCATGGTCGTGGTCGGACGACCATGTAATAGGTATAGCTCAGGATCCGTGCATATAGCAAATATTAAAAAAAAATATATATTTTTTGAAAAGAGAAGGTCGGGGAAAAATATTTGTCGATGAAACGGTGGACGACGGTGGTTCCATGTATCCGTTTCTGTGCAAGACAGTGTTGAATCAGCTTTGGATTGTGCAAGATTTGATTAGGATCCAGCAAAAGATCATTTTCACAAACTAATGGATTAGAACCGCACTTTTCATTCCACTATCATCTAAGATCTTCGATCGTAAAATAACTCGATTCTCACGCTCTAATAATCATCAATTAGCCTGTATACCTGATCAATACTATCGAAAAAAAGTCTAGTTTATTATTTTGCATTGTCATTTAAAAAAAATATTTTTGTGTTCCAAAATATCGTTCCATCGCGTGAAACTTAATATTTTTAATTTCGGTGGTATATTATAGCAATGATTAAATATTTTTGTTTGCCGTATTATTGCTCGTATTCATATGATATTATTATTAAATCGTTCTCGAGAGTCTTTGTCACAGGGAAAACGGCTCCGTCATTCATAGTTTTCATTTAATTTGATCTTTCTTTTTAATAATATATTATACTTAGATTTAAACTTATACATAGTGATTATTATCATGATTATTAGTCGCTGTAGGGTAGATTGTTTATCATCGTTGTCGCTATTCTCGTTCGCTCTATTACTTCAAAGCCGAATATAATTTTAATAAGAAAGTTAACATTATACCACATGAACCATCCGCCCACGTGTACGATATATATATATATATTATTATACACTGCAAACAAATAAACTGTGTACGTAATTGCGCGCACATGCTGCTAAAAACAACTACAGAGTGATACATTATCGCGAATCAGAGATTTTCTATATAATAAATTTCCGTTTTTATTTTTTTTTTTCTCAATCATTATACGAAATTACGATATCATTAAGGCCCTATTTCAACCATACATTTGATTTATACCCATCTCCCATTTGACGAGAAAACTTGAGAAAATCGAAAAATGACCCCGTCAAAGTACCTCACCGGTCGGAATTTTTTCTAGAAAAATTACTATCATTATAAATTGGAACGAAATCGCTAATACAAAAGTTGTTCACAGAAAAAATAAGGCCGTAATATATTTAAACTAGTAATTACATTTCTTACATTTTCCCGTTTTTCCAACGTTTTTCTTTGGTTTTTCGCATTTGATGAGAAAACTAAAAAATGGCCTTCCTAAGGTACTTCCTTACGTCGATAAGCTTCTTCGCTCCATTCAGAATCTAAAATTTACCTCCGTCTATTTAATCGCATATTAGAACGACGAAAGGACGAGACTTTAATGTGCATTTTTTTTTTTCGGAAGCTTGAAACGCGCACAAACATCGATTTTAATAATACTTGCATCTTTTCATCCTCCAACGCCCCCGTCCACCGATGACGATAATCATTGGCATCAATCATTCCGAAAAGAAATACGTCCCCGTTTTTATTCTGTATACTTATCTATACATATATATAGATATAAATGTGTTATGTTTGTATATATCTGCGTTTCGTCGAGAAACGATTGTACGTCGCGTATATAATCGTTTGCATTTCAGTTAATTTGTAACGTGTTTAAAATCTTAACTCCGCTCGCGCTGACAGACGCACGGACATTTGTCATCTAGCGTTAGTGCGCAGTATCGCGGCAGTGGCCGATGTCGACGCTGCATATAACAGTATCCCGAACGCCAAAATTTCTCGACAGGTTGAATCGTGTCGGACGATTAGCCCCCTCTCCCCCCGCGGAGACGTTGAAAAATGAGACTGGAAACCCCCGTCATTATATATATATAAAATGATTTCGGTATATTTCTTTAGGAAGGTGCTAAATAGTGTTTCTCCGTGAACATAGTTTTATAATTTCATTAGTCCACCGTGCGATTTTACATTATGTGCTGGTTTAACCTTAACTGTAAACAAAAAAAAAACGGAATTCAAAGTCAATTACGCATGTTTTAATTTAACGACAATTATTATTTACAATTTCAATTGTCCAATAAATTTAACTAACATAACGTTAATATTTGAATCTAACAGAAAGCAACGTTAACCTAACCTCACTTTTCTTATCATACACCTAAGCGTGTGTGACTTATAATAGAGTTCGTATCTTAAATTATACTTTAAAGAAATAATAATTTTCTTTACATATCCCTCCCCCGCGAGAGAAGACTCGCAGTATTTTCCGAAAATCGCGAAAAATCTTAGCTGGCACAATTTTTGCGAAGTGGTAAATAATTGACTATAATCCTAATTGACACTTATCTATTTTGTTAATTGATTGTGCTACTTCTCCAAAACTGTATACGATTCAATTTGTACATGTATTCAATACATCCAAAATTATACTGTTTAACCGATTCCCATTTTCTACGTACACGAGGTTGCCTGTGTTGAATTCATAATTTCTTCTCTATTTATCAGATTGTTCTTTACTATTATTTTGTGATCTTATACCAATTTATAATATAAGCTTTCTATCCTGTAATAGATCACTGTGCGCCTTTTTTTGTTTCATTTCACTTGGTAAAATTATAATGACTCAGCTCCCTAATAAATTTATATGATATCTAATTTTGTTTACCAATATCTGATTTAGTCTCTCATTCAGATCATTTAGGAACGGTGCGTTCACCTGTGTAAAATGCATCGGTAAATGCCTTTTTTTTATTAACTGTTTTAAGTGCTTTTTTGACGATTTTAAGTTCAGATAAATCTATTATAGCCTTATACTTATAATGTTGTAATAACGTTTACGGGCACTGCAGTGAATAGATCATATTCTAATATATTTTGTCACTCACAGAAAACCGAGTGTTAAATTATATACGGGGTATAATAAGAAGATCCGACACCTGAAATAAGTTTTTAGAGGTGAGTCGATACATAAACTAATACACGATTTCGGGAATATCGGTTTTCTTTTCTAAACCGATATTTGACCTGATATTTTCGGAGAAAAATATCTATATTATGTTTAGAATATGCAAATAATTTTAAAATATCGGGTTTTCAACCAATATGTCTGTCAATTTCAATATTAAGAGAAGTGTTCTATTTAAACGTGCCAATTGATCTAGTAAAGTGATAGGAATTATGAAAGTAGATTTGAATTCTTTGTTAAGACTACTTGATATCAACTAGTCTAATTTTTATTTTAAATTTTGAGTGGAGTGAGAAATGTATTGGTTTTACAATGATGTTTATTTTTTTTAGATTCTGAGTTCGGAGAAGAATGTATTGGTTTTATAAATATGTTTATTTTTTTTAGATTCTGAGTTCGGAGAAGAATGTATTGGTTTTATAAATATGTTAATTTTTATACTATTTTTATTTTTGTGAACATTATTTTTTACCAAAAAGCTTACTTCGATTATCAAGTATAGCACTTTTTGTGAAAGTAAAATTTCTCTGAGTAGTAATTTAAAGAGGTCATTTTTTTAAAGTCTCATTAGTATAAACCTGGTTCTTTAAGATGAAAAAGATTAAAAGATTAAAAATAAGGTTGTCATTGGTAACCGTTTTTATATATTTTTTGTTATTATTAAGTTTTAATTATTTTAATCTTGTTAAATAAACATTGTTGTCATGAAAATGTACATTGTTGTAATCATTTTACCATAATATGGCATATATATATTGTTAACAAAGTAACACTATCAACTGAACTCCGCTCAGAATCGTATTTTCGTTAGCAATGGTTTATCGTTGATTACAAATATACATTGAATTACCATATATACCCTATCTTTCCAAATTCTCATCTGCAACAGTAGCTGCACCCATGTAAGAAGTATGTCTATCTTTTTTAATTTAAATTTCGCCTATAATTAAAAATATTTCATTTTTTAATTACTTCTTTTTATTGTTTTTTTTTTAGCGGGGGGGTATACAAGGAATTAAAAAATATACAAAAAATGTATTTTATTTTTTAAATCTTTTAAAATAACTGAAAACGTGATTACAATAATATAGTAATATTGAATCAGTTATCAGAGAACACTAAATGAAAGGGACAAAACATTTTTTACATAGGTTATTGAGTACGTAAAAATGTAATCTAGCGGAGTTATAAACTCATTTACGGTTCAAGAATTTTTTAATTAAAAATTACTGAATTCGATTTTTTTCTTTTGAATCCAAGCATAGTAAATTGTGTTTATTAGATTTACTAAAATGTGTTTTTTCTCTCTGAAAACACTTTCTCAGTTAATTAATAAAAAATGTCGAACTTTTTTACGTTATACCTTAAAAGAAATTTTGACTATATTGCATACGACAGAAAAAGTTTATGAGTGTCTGAATTGTATGTTGACAACGTTAAATTCACAATCAACTATCGGATTATTTGCTCACATTTAAAGCAACGAATTATGTTTAAATTTCATAGATCTGATAAAATCCGATAGCCTGGATATATCATAGAATTACTCCTAAGTATATAATGTGGATTTTACCCACTCAGTACACAGTACCATAGTTCACTGTTCATGACTAATAAAAAAACTATATCGAAAAATGAATTTAAAAAACAAATCTAAAATCCTGATTTAGAATTTGATCGCACCGTAGCGGTTAATTTCTCGCGTTGTTTGTCAAATATCCGTAGCTGCGATAATCAAACCGAGTTTAATTTGGAGTAATCATTTTTCGACCCGTCTAACTCGATTTATCACCGCCAACGCTCATAAATTGTTTAGAAAACAAATTATTTTGATCGAAATCGCCTGTGCGTATATATATGTACGGCGTTCGCACAATGATTGTGGACTCGGAATCGAATTTTTGGTAGGCACCTACCTTGAATGCACGCGGTCTTTTTGTTGCCAAGATAAAAAAAAAAACACTATCACTCAAGACGAATATTCTCGGGGGGAATGCGTAAAATAACTTTAAATCAAATGGACACAATTCATTTTATTGTGCCATAGCCCCGTGGTTCCGTCACGCGTTACCGCTAGGTCAGGTTTTACCGGGTTTCTTTTTTTCTTTTAATTTTTCACCGGAGCGAAAATTAAGCTATTTGGTTTTATTACAACGATGGTGATGTAATTGTTTTTATTATTATTATCCATCACATGCACAATGACTAGATATTTTGTTCAAAGTTTATCGATTCGAACACTTAATTCTATCATTTTTGTAGTTAAGCTTTTTACGGTAATACCAATAATTATTATAACATGTTAAATTTTTAAATTTTCAATGATGTGCAAGAACGTAACTCTCAATTGGAATTTAATTATATTAGAAAAAAAAATAAGAATCCCAATTATATATTTCAGTCTTACTTATTATAACTTTAGTTTTTATTTGGTGTTATGTAAATAAATGTATTTAAATTCTCTAAATGGCTAGCAACATTTATTCCAAATTCGTTTTATAAGTTGTTATTAAAAATAAGACTTTTTAAGTGCAATTAGTCGGACTACAAATTTATCGAAAATCTATAACTATAGTGATAATTTGTTTTTGTTGAGGTTTAAAAAAAACATTTTTTGACACTGACAAAATTATGATTTATTTTGTAGCCTGTTGTTATATATGAATGAAATGCTCAATTAAAGTTTATTTTATCGAGAACGAATTTCGCTCAGAATTATTATTCGTTTGAATGATTTATCGTCGTATATAAAGATATAAACCAAATGATCCTATGTTATCTATAGATGCCTATATTTTATCTTCTTAACTTCTCACCTGCAATAGTGGCATACTCATAATACGAAATATGATGGGTTTTTTTTTTCAGATAATCAGATAATTAATTTGTACAATCGTTATAAATAATAATTTATCGGTGATTTTTTTTTTTTTTTTTTTTAAACCAGCCGTGAACCCATGACCTACTTCACGGGCAAACTATACAAAAATATATATATAAAAAAATAAACATCCGCAAAAACAATAGCCGGTTGTCCCACGCAAACTATATAGATTTGTTTCAAAGTTTCCTATATAATATTATATACGTATAATATAACCTCTCGTCTTAACCCTAACGGGTTTTTGCTCGGAACTTCCATCAGTCACCGCCGTTACACCGCTGTAAGGCCACGGCACTTCAATATTATAGTAAGTAATCAGATATTATGGCTTTTGTAACTTTACCGCCATAGCAAACGGCACACGATGTCATTGTCTTGATTGTTTCTCGCGCGCATATAACTTTAATCCACACGCACTAACTCCAAACCATGCATACAGATTGCCATTTCCAAAACAGTACCTTGTGACTCAAAAAAAAAAAAAATGCCAAAAAATTAATAATTATAATATACACATCAAATATTATAGAAAATATTTAGTGTAAAGACCACGGAAAATACACGAAATCCAAAGACAATATAAACGATGAAACATTGTACTACATAAACATCGGATATTACGTGTATCCGATATTGCAATAAATTGCAATAATTGCAGTCAAAATAGCTATATTGTTTACCAGTATTATCATTTTGTATATTAACTGATAATCTTATGAAAAATTGTTTTTGGACCATAGATAAATATTTGATTAAATTATTATCAAAATTTAGTTTTATAGATCCCGTCGACCACAGCATCCTTATAGATGTTTTATATAAGTCCTGCTTTGATGATCTATTGTTATCCTGGATAAGATCCTAACTGTCGGGTAGAGTTCAATGAGTTAAGGTATTTGGGCAATAGCCAGCTGTCACCAATCTGGTATCCCTCAAGAGGGCCACTTGTCTCCTTTACTGTTTACGGTTTTCATTAATGGTGCTTAAGGAAGTTTTACCCAACTTCTTTCTTATTTTTGCCGACGATCTGAAATTGTTAAGTAAAATATTCTCAATCAGTGATTGCACTCTTCAAAACGATTTAAATAACTTTTTTTGTTGTTGCCTGATATTGAATATTGACAAATACAAATCTATATAATTTAGTAGAAGACTGTTTAAAAATGAGTATTAGTATTGAATTACCGGATCTTCCTTATTATCGGTTTTTTCTATTAAGATTTAGGTATTATCCTGACGCCTATCCTGAACTTTTCCTCATACATTGAGTCCACGTGCTCTAAGAGTTACAAAGTTTTAGGCAACAGAAAACGTATTTAGAGTGAGTTTAAACTTGTCACTTCTATAAAAACTATTAACTGCTTCCTTGTTCGCTCTATTTAGAGTTCTCTTCAGTGCTTCTGGATCCGTACACTGCTTCTGAGTCTTGTGACATTGATAGAGTGCAGCGTCGTTTTCTTGCCTCTGTGACTTATGTTTTTAAAATCAAGCATCCCCAACATAATTAGACTAGCGTTCTTAGCTAACTTTCCTTTGATTCACTAGCGGATTGAAAAGTGTTTTCGAATATTCTATTCTTGAGCAAGTTACTTGATGACTCCATTCACTTCTCTTCTCTCCTTTCTCGGGTAGATTTCACAGTTAATCCTCTTTTCTTGCGTTTTTATGCTTTGCCTTTTTTGTCCTTACTTATTCTACGAACTTTGTTCATAACCATCACTTACATCATATGATGCGGTTGGATATTGAAAACCTCTCCTTTTCAAATGTATAAATCTGTGCTCCTAGTATTATGATTAGTGATAGAGTATCCAATCTAACGTTTAAGCTATTTTCTGAGTACAGTTATACATATTTCTTTTTAAAATGACCCATTGAAGCGTAAATAAGTAAATATAAATAAATATAATCGTTTTTGCATTCCAGAAAAAAAAAACATTTTTTATAGATATGTCGATTTACATTGAACACATTTTCTGCAATTAATGCTGCGGGAAATTCAATGGATTTTTTCATTGTTTTTTTTTTTTTCGTTCGAGTTTATAAAGACGTCTTTGAAGGAGAACAATAAATAAATTTCACGTCGTCAAAATTATACAAATAGAGACGTGCGATCATGCGAAAAACCGCAGAGTCCGCATACATTTTCATTAATACATAATAATAATATAATTATAATCAAATTAATATTAAAACATTAAAAATTTAAAATACAATTATATTATCTGTATACAAATTTTCCTCTTTCGTAATTATACTAATCGAATACAATGATATCCGTGTACATTTTTATATATTATAAATTATCAACTATCGACGTAAATAATATTCGTTAAAATGAATAAATAAGCCAGCAAATGTCTGCCCGTTGCGTTTCTCAATATACAAAAAACCTTGTCCTCGCCAGTAACAAATTGTTGTGTAACCGCCCAAAAATAATTCACAAACAACGAATTTCACCCCATCTATCACTTCTTTAAACGTCCTCTGTGTTAGTGGTTCTCGACTGATGTGTCACGTATTTCCGTGATTTATATTGGCAAAAAATTATTTTTGAAACTTGATTTGAATTTTTGTATTATTTATATATAAATTGCATATTATTAGTAAACATATATTCTATGTATGACATTGATATGTGACATTACTATTTAGCGTTATGCCGTTGTTATTAGCGTTAAATAAGAATACAAATATCATCAGAAAATTGAATAATTATAAAAAAAAAAATTTAAAAAAACCGACATACATTCCACAATGGGTGAGCCGCTGTTGTAGGTAAGCAGTTGGAAGAAAGAGGGGGAATTTAATAGGTATCTGTAGGTACCTAAAGATTAATAATAGCTAACGGAAAATGATTTTGTGCGGAGATTGACTATTATGTATGTATGGGAATATTTACAATTTTAAAATAATACGTTTCGTAAATTTGTCTGTCTTCCCTTACGTTTTTTCCCGGGTTTTCGCATTTATTATAAAAAAAAAAACCCGGTAAAATCAAACACATCGCAACTTTTGAAAAACTTGGCCATGGAAACGATGTTATTTATTGTTGATATTTTTGCAGTTTTACATCTACGCAGCCAAATAGTATTGATAAATGATTTTTTTTTTCACATATAAATATTAAAATCTATTATTATAACTATTCGAAATATTCAAATATCCGCTGACCCATTATTAATCGAAGTATTTAAACGTTTTCCATCATCATTGCGTGGACTGCAAAACGGACATTCCTGTGATGCTATTTCTAGAAAACGTTTATCCATACAATAATTTTGGGATTATTTCTCTACATTTCTGGCGCCTAAACTCACTATTATAATAATTCTATTAAAATTAAAAATGTAAAATTGTTTTGTGTTTTACTGGAATTTATAATACTAAACTCGCTGCCCTATTTCATTGTATGAATTTGTTACATTGGCCGAATAAAATATCATCAATGGATTTCTTTAACAATGTGTTTCAAAATAAACGTTGAATTTCGTCGTAAAAATTGCATAATACTCGTAACTCATTGTCAAACAATATTTGTATTATTACATCAGTTGCTCGGCGTGTTTTGTATTTGTTATGAACCACGCGTGGCTTTTGACTGTTTTGACCAACAATTTTCATTCTCAAATTGAAAAAAAAAAAATAATAATAAATAGGTACCTACCGTAATAAATTATAGCAGTATATATATATACGTGAAAATAAAATAAAAACAAAGCCGGTGACAAATTACTTTTTGTAACACGTGGCGTTATAGCGCGCTTACGTATAGTTTTAAAACGTGAAATAATAATATGTAATAAATTATACGGAACTATATCCTGATACAATTCTATAATCAAACGGTGGTGGTCCGTTGTTCATACTGTTGGTCGACAAAACGTATGCGTTTAAAATGAAAATAATATGTATGTACCTACTATACTCAGAAATGAGCAAGTTCAAAGTTGCAAAACTAAGGGTTTTAAATTTTAGGTTAAAACAAGTCACTTTGTTTGAAACGTCAACAATTAAATTAAAATAGCTAATATTTTCTAAAGATTAAAGTATGTGTAGTCCCTAATCATTTTGAAAATATAAATTAAAATAAACAATCCCTATAACATTTGGATAAAGAAATATTTTTCATTGGTCACTTTATTCGTAAATAATGATGATAAAATTATATTTATAATTATTAATTAGTATCCGTTATAATACAGTATTTACAAAGATAATATTTAAAATAAAAAATAAAACATTTTGTTTTTCGTTGATTAACGTTTTCGTGATCCTGGGTAAAACAGTTCAAAATGAGTATCTGAGAATTGAGATACTTATTGGATTATACAAGATTATACTTATTAGGATACGTTGATTTTCAATTTATCTATGCATTATAATTCGCACCATGAATAAGCTATTTTTATATAGGTGAAAATAAATAAAGAAATATAAGGAAAATTGAGTTATAATTTAATTTGTTTACTGAAAGAAACGATGAATATAAATCATTATGATAAAAAAAGCGATTCTGAGTGGAGATCGATAATAACTGGTATGGCCTTTATTTATTATTCATGTATTTTCTATAATTGTAACTTAATGAAAGAAACTCGAAACTTAATTTTTTTCTTCAGAAAAACTATTGAGACTCAATACAAAAAAAAAAAAAAAAAAAAAAAATCCACTTATAAATTATGATGTAAACTAAGCGGAGCATTTTTAGGATTCGAAATTAGAGATTTCCGTGGAAAAACACATCATAGAAACACGATAATATTATATTCTTTGTTATAAGAACCGAATCTAAAATATGCTTTCAATACCCGCGTATTCCTAAATCATTTCCTAATTATAATTAATATATCGTTAATTAAAATTATAATAACAATGCCAATACGGATATTCAAATTTAAAACTGAAATATTATCAATCTGCCCATCCCCTTTTTTCCTCCAAAACAAATCTTATCAACCGATCACAACGATCTTGAGAACGAATTAATTTTCATTTCAGAACGTTTTTTTTTTTTTTATCTTGAACGAAACAATAATAATATTATTTATGTATAATAATTAAAAATAATATTTAATTTAGTCTGAACGGACGGTGCAATGCAAATTTTTTGCAATTGATTATAATATTATATCTGTATATATAAATTAACGTCTATCTGACTGTAAGTCCTTTATAGACTCAAAAACTACTGGATCGATTTTAACGGGGGTTTTTGCAAAATGCTCCGCGTGGTCTGGATAAGGTTTATATAGCTATTGAAATTTCTAGAACTCAACTCCTAAAGGATAGTTGACACAGAGATTATGGTATTTTGTGGTATAATTTTCTGTTGATTGGGTTACCTTGATAACAAAGTAAATATCATTATTATTTCTGTGGTATTTATTTTATCTACTGAATATTGTTTGTTAATTTCATTGTAATTTTAATTGTTGATCAACGCTCAATAAATTTAAATAAATTTAATAGATTTTGAAATCTAATTTCAACGCCATTTCTGTATACTTATGCATCCCAATCAATCGATCGTTCTATGTGACAATAAAATGAGTGCACCACCAAAGAATGAGAGGGATATGGATTATTTAATATTCACCTATCACATACATTACAAAATATTAAAAAATGTCGCGTAATTCGACAGCTAGTATCAAATAATAATATACATTGTAATATATATATTATACGAGGTGTCCTATAGTTTTATATAAACGTTACATTACTCTTATATTATATTTTTTTCCATTCGGGTTTTGGGTCAGTGGGACACATATATTGAGAAAAACATTTTTTTTTTTTTCATCCCTTAATCACTGAAAAAATATTATTTTTAATGTTTTCAATTTTAAAAATGTTCAAAAACGCAATTTTATAAACATTTTAATGTATCACAGAATAATATCCGATCAATAGTTTCTGATTAATAGCCATTTTAATTTCTAGACAAAATTTTTTTTTTTCACGCCAATTTTATTTTCTGAAAATTCTGCCGATGAGTGTGTTACTATTTTCTGAGGGAAGTCGCAACCAAAGCTATATAGATTAATATTTAATTTATGACTGTATACTACAATGAAACATTGCTAACGAAAAATGATTATAAGCAAAGTATTATTTATTACAGTGTTTAGAGTACAATTGTTGATTGGAGCAAACATTTTGATAGAAAATGTATTTAAAAAAACTACATTTATAAAGTTAAAAATTGCAAGATTATAATCATGATCAATATAATAAACATGTTTGGGTTCGGGAATTTTTTTCGTTTTCATACACGTCGGCAACTACTAGTTTAAAGATTAAAAAAAAAAAAAAATTAACGAAAACGAAAACTCGTCGAAAAGAATAATATCTCCACAACAACCGGCACGGAGGATTGATCGAGATAAATAATTCTGGGGGGCTGTGTATAGTGGGACCTATATATATATATATTATACCTAATATGATATTATTTCTTTATCTGTTCGCGTCTCTTTTGGCGTATTATCGTAGCCCACGGGCGGTAAGTATTGTTTTACATCGTTCTCAAAAACCGGGAAAAATATAATTTACCGGAATTTAATCATTCTCCCGCAGAATCGGTCTCCCGAGGCTATTTAAACTCTCTATCTCTCTATCTTTCGCCGTCTTTCACTATGTGTGTATGTGATCGGAAACCGTTATATGCTTTCCTATTACTTTTTTTCCCCCATTCTTTCGTACTTGTTCTTATTATATTTCTTTTGCCAACTGGCCCGGGCCGTATATATATAATACATATACCGCCCTAAAAATGAAATACGTATATAACTTTACCTCTACTCGTCATAGAGTATAGTCGGTCACCTATTCTATTATTTTATACTTTGAACCGTCGCGGTTAAAATGTTATTATATTATATATATATATCGATACCGAGGTAGTTTTTGAAAGTAAATCCGGTTAAGCCCCCAGGCTGAGCCGATACACGCGATTATGCGATATACCTAAGATGATAACCTTGGGTTTTTTTTATATCCCGTCACGTCGTCGTCGAATTCTTATTGTTTCGGTATACGAGATACATATAAGTAAAGAATACGATACACGGAATATATTATTATACGAGTAAAAAAAAAAAAAAAAATAATAATAACAATAAAAAGGATATATACGACAAATCGAAAAACGTTTTCATATTATTCAACAGTAACAATATCCTTAATTCGTCCTATCGTGGAACTTTTAACCAATTTTTAAGGTTCAGAGCGAGCGCAGCGAGTCATCTATTTTGGTTTTATTATGATGTGGGTTTGTTTTTTTTTTTCTGTCTGTGAACAACTTTTGTACCATATTTGCTTGCTTCGATATATCAAATATGAAGATTTTGGCTATTTAGTGCATTAGAGAGATCATTTTTTTTAATTTTCAAAGGGGTTTTCGCAATAATAAGGAAAAATCGGCAAAAATATTATTGGAAAAACCATAAATATTTACAGCTCAGCGCGACGTTACCGATTTTATTGTTTTTAATTTTTTTAAACTATGTATTCTACCAGACATATTTTTTTAATCAAAATATTCAAATTGGCCTTTTTTATTGAATTTTAAATCTAGATGTTTTTCATTTTCAGTTTATCGTTGCTTACAGATGTAAAATAAATAACTTTGTCTATCCTACATTCCCAACTTTCTATATACAACAGTGGTGCAACCGTCTCCGATATCAGTTCTTTTTTCTCTTTTTTTTTATGGTTTTAAAATAGTCAACACGCGTACAAAGTGCGTTTAGAAATCCAATACATAAATATTTTAGTAATTCGGTTTACTTATGTACGCGTCAAATAAATCAAAAATAGTAAGTTATTGTTGTTTTGTTATATGATGGAAATGCAGTATGTGACTTTATGGAATCTCCATATTTGTTTTATTTTTATTTTATTTTGAGTAATGTCGTTTTTTTTAGCCTTTATTTTGGTTTTCGTCGATAAATTCACGACCGAATTTCTCATGTCATCTATTATATATTTTGTTATATGAATAAGTTACGCCAGAAATACATATATATTTATATGTGTGTGTGTGTGTATTTTTTTTATTTCGCATGTACCTATAGTAGACAAATTGATCGTCTCAGCGCATATATAGAAAATACGGTCATGTCGATACTCACCACAACAAAATATTGCGTATTAAAAAAAAAGGATGACGCTAAGCGGTTAATTTTAGGGGTGTGCTATAGTGGGTTTTTTCGGATTTTAAGCAAAGCAAAGAATGTATGGATTTTTGTATGATCTGTTTTTTTTTTTTTGTTTGTGTCTGTAAACACTCGTCTTTGTTGAAACAAGAACTTTACACGAAATTCCGTTTAGTATTTTTCGTCTAATTGGTGCATTGGGGAGGTCACTTTTTAATTTTTCTGGCAGTTTAATCTCAATAAATGAGGAAAACTGAAAATTTTGTATAAAATTTTTGTTGATTTTTGGATTATAAGGGGAAACATATGACTTGTACTCTGCTTAAAATTGGTTATTGTCTGTAATAATTACGTGCAGATGAAATCTGTTAATTGAAATTACTTTACATCCTCCCTTCTAACTTTTTTTTAAAAGTCAGTAGTATTTTTCCAATATCACAACTTGATAATTTATTTAGGTAAATGAAAATTACTAACAAAAAAAAAAAACTAAACGTTTCTAAACAGATAACTTTAATTTCATTTCATACGATGAAAAAAAAAAAATATACACTTTAACATATGGAAATTGTATTCTTTATAAATTGTGAAAATTAGGTAGAGTAAAAGATTTTAAGAAATTTGTTCTTCATATTTTATATGAATTTTGTGACTTTTTTTATTAGCTATTCCAATATGAAAATATTACGTATTATTTACCCCGCTTTCTTAAACTTCTACTATAAATACGGAAAAAGCGTCACGGTTTTTACAAGCGAATCACGGTCATTGTCTTGTAACAAAACTGTCTTATTACAACTGTTTCGTTAAGTAATTGTATTTCTTGGTAATTCGAATATTATTTTTTTCAGTTTTGTGACGTATTACTTGTACACGTCAAACCGTATTAACTGCAATATTATTATAAAATAACGCGATAATATTTGTTTTGCTTTTTTTTTCAGATTTTGCGGTCACGACCGGACTCGTCATCATACCTCGAACCGCCGAAAAACGTCGTAAAATGGTAACTTATATTGATATAATTTAGATAAAATTGCAATATATCCTTATATAGGTATTACATTATAAGGTATTACGTTTGTCGGAGAGAATATTATAATCGATAGTTTCAGTGATCTCGTTTTGTAAGTTGTATACAAGAAATAGGGTAATTAGAGTAAGGGAGCAATTTAAATCGTATTATCCGCTTGACCTCACAGACAAAAAATACAATATTACTTTTAACATCTCGTCGACTCTTGTCGATCAAAACTTGTCGAAGTAATAATATAAATAATACCCTAATTGATGTGTGACAGTAGTACGTTCGCTAAAGCGGTAAAGCACCGAATTTAATCACGATTACATTTGTGATAGTCTACCAATTCGCGGAGAAAATTTTTGTGATTCTGTAAAATGGTAACGGTATACCGAACACAAAAGTACCATATTTTAAGATACTTGGTGTTAATACGAGTTTTGTTCTTAGGGTCCTATTGGTACACCGTCATCTCTATTGCTATTCGCCGATTAAAAATATATCATCTAAAATTCGATCAATTGCTATAGCCGTGGAATTTTCATCCAAACATCCTCGGAAATGCTATATCATTTTCTCTATCGGTGTTTTTTTGTTATTTATTTTTCGTTTTTGTTTTATCGGATTAACGTATTATTGCCGTATTGGCTCTTATCCAGTTGTGTTCACATATAATATAAACGTTCATATTATTTTCGACCATTAGAGATCTTATTATTATTGTTTTTCCTTACGATTATATTCTTCTCGCCTTGTCCCGCTGCATGCTTCATTTAACCCGCAGCACTGTTTCAATACTCCCGTGTACTTTTCACTCGCATAATATTATCAGATACGAGGTAGCTATTATAGGTAAGCAGATACCATTAAATTCGTTCGATAACAGTCGTTTATAATTCGAATTCACGTGATAATAACAATAATAATATTATACGTACTGTTGATATTACCTTTATACGGATAGTTTATATTTACACACTGAATTGTTTAGTATATTATTATTACCTAAACTCGATTTGCATATCCTCTCGGTAGCCTCGGTTGTTCCATAAGCGGTTCCTAAATCTCCCACGTATTTATACATCTACCCTTACAATAAAAAGTGGCACTATGCGCTTTTTACGCGTTTTTATTTTTATTTTTATAACCCAGTCGTAACGGTCGTAACGATATATATTATATGACTCGGCATGTTCGCTTTTAAGTACATTCTGATATACGGTAAAATTACCAAATAACAAAAATAACGACAAATATGAATTCGTGTAAAAAATATAAATATAAAATAGATAAAAATATACAGGTAATTACTTAAACGAGTATTTGTGAATTTATTCACGTTTAAATCGATCAGTTGGAATTTTTTTTTTTTAATTTCTTCTCTTTCAGCTTTTACAGCGGAGGTTATAATTCGATTCCGTTGCAATATTCTCTTATGTCATCAGAGGTAGTCATTCACGTCATCACTTGTATCTTCTCGGTTGGTTTGTTAATGAATAAACGTAAAGTTAGACAGTGTCCGCCGTGTCGATCAGACGTGTGCCCTTATCGCTTGTCTATCGACCGTCGTAAATATAGTGCATCGTTATTCACTATCGAATTTTTATTTGTTATTTTGTTAATATAGTCGCAGTTTTATCGTCAACATTATTACCATTATTGTGCTTATCTTTGTACTAAATATTTACCTTCGTCGTGTGCTGTGTCTACGCCGTGCTCGTTATTTTATTACCTGGTTCCTTTTAACCTTCAGTCGTGTGTTTTCTACATACACCGTGCACCAAGTGAGTTAAATTTTGATAGTAATAAAATTTAATCTTTGGTATTTCAATTAATATTATGGCTCCTAACTTTAAAGCTTTAGTAGGTGAGTTATCCAAGTGGAATAAATCTATGCTTATTGATTTTATACCAAAAAAACTCTTCCCGTGGGAAGTAAACTCAACGATGATTTATTTCATGCATTAACTATCAGTCCTGCTATTGTGAATGGTGATTTAGATACTCAAGTGTCTTCAATACTTCAATCTGTTGTTGCTGAATTGCGTAATTTGTCGCAAAATAGCTTCGATATGCGTGATGTAGTCTATAAAATAGTTTTCAGTAAATCTCCTGTCACTGGCGCTGATATGCTTTCTACTTCCGATGATAATTTAGAGCTTTCTCGTGGTCGTCCAGTTTTACTTGCAGCTAAGCGTTCTATATCTTCACGTTGAGCTAACTTTATAGTCGGACCTGGAAGTGCAAATAGTAACGTGTTGTCATTCGTACCGCAGAAAAAATTTGGCGATATTTTTGTACCAACATTTCATTCTAGTGTCATTTCTGAGCAGATTAAGAGTTAGCTCTTTTCTAAATTTGATGACGTTGTAATTTCTCAGATGGTAACGAAGCATTCGTTCTATATATCCTAGCACAATTTAGAGTCTGGTCGGTTGAGCAAGTAGTGTTGGGCTCGAACTTAATACTTCAAAGTGCTACGTAATAACGTTTACTCGATGCCATAAATCTACATTTTAATGTTTATCAAACCGGTGATTGTAAACTGCATCCAATGTACAGGTAAATACAAGTTCACATATAAACCACGCACGAGTATGTATGAAGTTTAAAAAGGTGATATTTAAACTGCATCCGAGTAAAATTTTAAAAATTAATAGCTCTATACTTTTGCAAAATAATATAAATAAAAAAATTTCAAAATTTGTTTTGAAGGTTTTAATCACTTTTCATGGCTGTAGTTTACATTTTGTTCTGTTATTCTGTTTCCATGACCTACCGTGTTTGAAAATGCTTTACAAGTTTTCACTGTCCGCAGACACTTAATCTCATCCGAACTTAGAGGTCGAATAATTTCGTGAAACATAAAATTTGATTGTTTTCAAGTACTTTTCGTGGTGTGACACGATTTATTCAGCCGCCGTGACTTGACTGATTATTAAATCGATAGGACATACTGATTCTGCATAATAATATAGTGATTGCTATCAATATTCATATTCGATAACGGGTTTGTATTTTCACAAATACTATGATTTTACCAAATATGCCATTTTTCTATAGTCATATGCTAAATATATTAATATTTTTGTAAGTTAACCAATGAGGTTAATCAGGAAATCAACTTAAGTTTTATAAAATTATTGTAATAACAAACGGGGTGCAGTTTACATTATGCCTTTTAAACCCTATCGCAGTTTATTTATTCTCTATCAAACCTTCTTTCTTTGAAGAAAAAGAAATATGCATGTCAATTATTAGTATTCTAAATAATGTTAATAAAAATGTTTGATTTGTATAGTTTTTGATAGTGGTCTCCCGGAGGTTCTCACTCATATGGCAAACGGATAGTTTTTTACAGGCACATTATTACATGACTTCCAAATATTACGTATAATAATACGTAATATAACTATTTTAACTATTATATATATTATTACATATAATATCTATTTTTCTTATAATTTATCAATGTCCAAGCTGAGGCAGAAATGGAGAAAAGTCCTTACTTTCGAAAAAAATATCAAACGGTATTGAGAACTTTCAAGTTGATATCAAAACTACCCTTTTCTCGCACCCTTGACAAACCAAACAATTTTATACGCATAAAAAACTGACCACTAGACATTTTACAGAGCAACTCCTAAATCTCAAACACTATCGAGTAATGAGATTTTACCGTATTTTTCTATTTTTTTTTTTTTTCCGGTCGAAACCGAACCAAGCTGACAGTTTTCTTTTGATATTATCATAACAAATATATAGGGCTAGTGCATAACAATAATACCGATCTTATTTACATAAAATGCTACACATATTTAAAAATTTAAAAAATATAAATTTTCTCAAAACTTTTACCATTCGAACGTTATTATAATTACTGCAGTTCTTGCATTGATATGTTTATACTTATTCATATTGTTTAGATTATTTATTTTTTTTTTTTGTAAATTCCTAGAAAATTCAGTGACCCACCTGCGTATTCAGGGGTACAGGGGATATTATAATATCATTTACAATTAATTTTACTCGAGATGACACTCGACGGTGTTGGGCAAAATAGTTTTTCGTTTAGATATATAATTCCGAAACTTAGTTTCTCGGTTACTCGAAATATTATTTTACTTGATTATCTGAATAGAAATTTAATTGGATTTAACTAGTGATGATATCATAATTTATGTTCCTCGGATACGTCAAATTTACAACCATAGTTCCAAAATTGGATTTTATTATTTACCATCCGAATAACCCGGCTTCGCTCGTGTGCATTTTTTTATGTTACATACAACTTTTATTCATCAGTTTTTATATTACAATATATTATATATTATATTTAGATGTAGTGACCCAGCGTTGCGCAGAAATTATAACAATTAGACAAATATTATATTTTAGTATTTCAAAGACAAATTCTATGAGAAAATTATTATCGAAGAAATATTGTAAATTTAAGTATATACCCTATATTATTATAGTATAGCTTTTTAGTCGAAACAAATGTTATATTATTATTCATATTATTCTTATTATTACTATTGTTACTATTATGGTTATTGAGAGGCATAACTGCACAGAAATGACGTTTAAATTAAATAAAATTAATTAAAATTTGTTGAGCGTTGATCGGCAATCAAAATTACAATGAAATTAACAAACAATATTTAGTAGATATCAGAGATGCCACATAATAAACAAAAATAATACTAATATTAACTTTTTTACCCAAACAACAAAAATTATGCCACGAAATACAAAAATTCCTGTGTCAACTATCCTTTAGGGGTTGAATTTAAGAAATTTCAATAGCTATTGAACTTTTCCGAAACATGCGGACAATTTTGCAATAAATCCCGTTATAATCGGTTCAATAGCTTTGAGTCTATAAAGGACAGATAGACAGACATTTTCTTTTACATATAGAGATTATTTATAAGAAATATTATTCGAATTAGTTGAGACTCGACTGAACAAATTTTTTGTTATAAAATAGTAATTATAAAATCGAGTACTCTACACTTGTAGAGTACTCGACTGTTTTATTTAAAACGATTAATTTAACAGCTTCCTAGATAATCAAACCCTAATTTTTTCAATAAGAATATCAGGTTGATAGTTTGAATTTATAAAAACATAATATGGATATTTTAAAATCGAATAGAGTATTATAATTGTGATATTCATGTACAATTTAGAGTAGGCCGAGTGTTGGATACATTTTTTCGTTTTTACTTGTAAACTCGAGTACTTGACTTTTAAACTCTACTCGTCTCGAAAAATCTAATACTTGACACAACTCTATCAACTCTACTTGACATAACTCTACTTGATAATTTTATTTTATTTATTTATTTACACCGGACGGCAATTATATATAGACAAACAGTATGGTTATTAATTGTGTGTTAGTACAGATGATTAGATAAAGTAGTTAAGTGGCCCAAAGATTAATTATTATAAACTGCAGCTCTGAACGTGCGGTACAGATTATGGTTTTGTATATTGTTCTGAAGTAGATTCATACATTTTTAGAAATAAAAAAAAAAAAATAGGTGAGACCTATACGCGACATTAACGTGACTATATTATAATAATTGAATAAAGCCATTTAATATTATGACGTTATAAACTTAAGTTATCGAGTTAAAGTTTTACGTGAATTAAACTATACATGGGCCTATATAGTTAATTTAATTAAATATTAACCGATAAATTATATGTAACTAACCTCTGCAAGAATAGACGTAAGCCGTTTAAACGTTAAAGTCGGCCGCGGCTTTGTGTTTTCACGTTAATAAAATTAAAACTATTATTTATGCCTCGACACACGCATACACGCACCGTGACTTTATAGTAGTCTTAGTAAAACGAGTTGGTTCATATAATTAGATATCATTTTAATGATTTTGAACTTTTGCGAGTGACCTATTGTAGATATATAGTTGTTTAGTATTGTCCGATTTTCTCCCAACTGATTTTTCATCATTACAATATTTTATAATATACGATGTATTATCATAATTAAGAATTTAATAAAAATGGCTTATCAAAATAAGTACCTGGTTATCGAGATTGTTATCAACATACAAACAGATGGTGGGATCGGGGATTGGAAGTTCAAACATTCTGATGGTAAATCCTCAATTATAATTATTTTTTTATTCATACATTTTAATCATGTTACTTACTTTTGTGACTCTGTAAGGCTATTTAAAAACGTACCAGTCAATGGCCATCCTCTTTTTGGATTTTGGATTTTTCAATACCACTACGAATTAGTTTGTAATTTGTTTGTATTTGTTTGATAGTTGACAGAATTTATTTATTCTTCTTACGACCGATATAACCAAAATACTAAGAGGGTTAAAAACTATCTGAAAACCATTAAAATAAATTCAAATAGATTAAGATCTATAATATGATATCGAAAAAATACGACATTTGTAGTGTTTTAAAATTCAGAGGCTGGAGAAAAACATTTTTACAGCCTCCCTCTAGAGTAAGTGTAACGTACGTTATTTGAAATCAACTATTTTTCGGTAAAATATAATGTATGAGCGTAAAAATGGGCGAGGAGAGTTGAAACCACCAGAACATCAATCAGTACATCATTGATATTGAAATTCAACCAAAATTTCATCACTGCAATTCATCTACGAAAAATACACATGGTGATTCAAAATTTATGTTATAGCCATTTTATCTTCTAAATATTCAAAATAGAGAAAAATATATACCTACTACAACATTTTTTTTTTTTTTTTTGATTCAATTAAAATTATATTTTATTGTCTTTTCTAGACATAGTAAATCTCAAACCATTTTGGACAGAAATTTAAAAAAAAAAAAAAAAACAATTGTAATTAATTTATAAAATAGTTATCTTAGATTATAGAAAAAAATATTTTCATACAAAATCCAAATTTTTAATTTTAGTTTTCATGTAATAAAATAAAAAATTTAAATATTATAGGCAGAGCTATAGTAATTATTAGATACAATAACAAAAAACTTAAAATTATTCAATAGAAAAACAATTGTTACATTTGTTATAAATAGTGCCATTATACTGTGTATAACAGACACAATACATTGTAACAGTAGCTATTTTTCGACAAAAATAATTTGAAAATGTCTTGTCTCTGGTTCTCTTTAGTAATAGATAATTGAATGTACTTTGGAAAGTATCTACATCTTTACATTCAATAGATGATTTCTGGATCCTATGCTCTAACAATCGAAAAAATAAAAAAGTTTTAATTTTTAGAATACAATCAATTAAAACAATTTATTGTTTTTCAAGTTGGCGTTGACGTAATTTAACTTTAATAACTCCATCGAAATCGTATATTGCAGGTATCGTATTCCTATTTCAGTATTCCTATTTGATATAACTTTCTTGGTTTTTTTTAAACATATTGTATAAGTATACTTAAGTCGTTATAAAACGACCTGAAGGAACCGGTAAAAAAAGTGTTCTTGATAATATAATATGTCTGTAAATCGATTTTTTTTTATCCTTTTATAATTAATGCCGCAGGGACCACAAAATTCGATCGTTGTTCTGAGTTTCTACGGTTATTTTAGCTGGTATATTTTTTTCTTTTTTTTTTTTTTTATCACACCTTAAATAAATTACACGGATTCATAAAAAGAAATAATATTTATAATAATGATCGTTATAATATTCCGGTTGTAAAATATATAATTATTTTTTCTTAAAATGATAAAGTCTGATTTAACTTCACTATAGACTTAAAAAATAAAAAAAAAAAATTAAATTATCTAAAATTGTTCCGATAGTTAATTGATTAAATTGAATGTCATGAGTGCCTCGTCAAATTACTTGTTTTAATGTATTTCCGGTTTTTTTTTTTAAAAAAAAGAAAAAACTTATACTATATTACTATTACTATAGATACATTAGAATAAATACTCAATTTTAGATTGTAAGTGCAGGGAAATATGTATTGTATTGTTGCACCATAATGTGTGTGAATTTATCCTTTTTTTTTCCCATCAGTTAACAACTTTTCTGCCGAAAACCTTGTTTCAATGTTCCTTGTCGTTTTTTTTTTTTTTTATAGAAATTTAGATTTAGTCTATGCATTTCAAAGGCCATCATTTAATTTTATCAGTAGTTTTAATTTGAATAAAACGTAGGAAAAAAAGTTTACAACATTAACGGTTTCACTATTGTCGATTGTGTTTTTTTGTTATTTTGTGAAAATGTATCGCAGATACCTGAAGTGTTTACAAAAAAAACTATACTATATTAGCCTTATATAAATAGAATACAATCCTCTATATATTCTGCTGATTTTCGAGCTATTCAGAGCCATTTGACATTTTCGGGTTTGTTAGTTTAGGTTTTTCGGCACATGTTCGAAAATTCAACACGATGTCCATTATCGTAATTTTTATTTATAGTGGTCAAAAACAAAATTTGATTGTTATGTTATGATTTTGTATTATGGTTAGTATATTTCCGTGTAAAGAAAAAATTGCTATAAACATCGTTAAAATCGCAGCATTTCAATTGAACGCGATCAACCGTACTTTGCTAAGACTTTTTTTCGATAAAAATGATACAGACATAAATTAAATCTCTATGCATATACTACATTTTTTTTTTATAGGAAAAACTTTTATCATTAAAATATGAACTAAAATAATAATATTAAAATAAACTTTAACAATACTGTACACGATTTTTCCGTAATAAAACACACACGAACGCACACAAACATACCCACACACTAAACACACACTGTGTAAATACGAGTATAAACAAACATAATAATATTTTTGGTTTTGCGAAACTTTTTTGTGAAATCCAACAAAACAACCACAGTACAACTGCTGCAATAATGTTATGACTATAATTTTTGATTTTTCCCGCCATCGCCGTTGTGTTTATTATTATTGCCGTCACAAAGAAAACGTTATTTTCGTAAAAAAAATCCTTAAAAAAAACGAAAAAAAAAACTTGAATGTATGTATACTTACATTGGCGAATATCATAACTTTTCGTATGTTACATCACTCTGGGGAATACCATCACTGGGCTATAAAAAAATGTTGTTCAAAAGAAGTGGAATAAGATTTATAATATTATGAATTCAAACTTATATATGCACAACGTACCTTCTCGCTGCTTCAATCACTTCCACCCCATGACCCGTTTTATTTTATTTTTTGGAAATTTTTCAGACTTAATAAAATATTTTACACGTTCTGAACCGTGCGGGTATTATAATAAAGTAATAAACATATATAGTTACCTGCAGGTATCACATTTACAAAACATTATACGACTAGACAATATTCGACTCGTATCACATTTTACTCTGTGATATTTATCTTTAGATTTGCATATCTACGGTCAAGGATGTGAACAAGTTAAGAAGACACGTTAATTTTATTAGCCATATATCTTAAAAATGCACGTCATAGAACATTTGCATACCACATAACCGATTTTGTTTCTTTTAATTTTATTAATTGATTAAATTGGCTTAAAGATAAGAACATTATCGGTATTTGCAAATAGGGTTTTTTTCTGATATTATAATATAATTGTTTAGCAAGATATAAGCATTCTTAAACAGTGACATTTCACTCACTCGTATCCTGCTTAAAAGTTAAAATAATGAAACAAAAAAACACCGATTCCTAATAATAATACAAATAATATTCTTCCCTTTAATTTTGATATTAAGTCAATTCACTCCATTTTTAAAACTAAAAAGCCCACAGTTGGTTCTGCTTAGTGAAAATTAGCTAGTATGGTACGCGTTTGTTGGACGGAGACAAAATAAATAATGTATGTTTAGCGTCCTCTTTAGATCATTGAAACAAATTACGAGTTAACGCCGCTAAAAGTTAATATTGTTTTATTAATTTAACTAGTCGTGTTGAAAGGTAATTTTATAATCTAACTGATTACTTATTAACTTAAGTTGAGTTTTATTTTCCGTAAAATGACTATGGTTAGGTTTGATTAGATTCATGCATAATTAAAAGCCAAGTTAAAAATTAAGTTATACAAAAAAAAAAACGAAGGTTAAGGTTAAGAGCTATAATAAGTTAATTTAATTAATTTCAAACACTTTTAAACTCGTTCCGGTGCAACATTTCTGATATATGTTTAAGTATTCGAGTTTTTATAACTAGTATTAAACACTAATGAGTACCTACTTATATTCTACACTCGAAAAAAAAAAATTCAAAGTATATTTTAATTCGTTTTCGTTTTTAACGAAAACATATATTACAAATTTTCAGTTGTTTATTATTTGCAATGCATGTAACTATTGACCGATCAAATTGATAATTATATTATTGATATTATTTGTCGGTACCTACTAAAATTCGCGTTAATTTATTTATTATAATACGCAGTCCAGCACAATAATATGTTTTAACGCACAATCAAAAAATAAAGTCATCGGATTATTTTATTAAATTCTTCAATAATATTTTGTATAACTTATGCCTATAATGTAGTTTTGTAATTATTTCAAATTGAATATTGTTCGAAATACAAAATGTATCAAATATCAAACATACTAGGTGAATACATTTTTAACGATGATTTGACCTCAAACATTATAAAACTTGACTTGGGAAATTATAAATGATATACGAATTAGCTTTCAAGAAAGCTTATCAGTCGTTTTGAAATAAAAAAATAAAAAAATCAAATCGACCAGAATGTAGATGAAAATAATCTTTTCGATGACTATAATCATGTATGATGTTGTCAGTGACGTAATAAATGACAAATTATTATTTAATTAAATTATTTATTAATTCGTTTTTTCGTTCGTACTCAAAAAGAGAACGATACGATTCAATTACCTATATAAAATTAAATTCACGTAATAACTCCTTCAAAAGTTTTTGTTGCATTTTTCGCTGTTTTCCAATTATTATTTTTATTTTTTTTTTCAGAGAATTTACTTAATAATTTTCAAGACGTTAAATTCGAAACTCATTTTGCATCATCCCTGTTGTAGTACGAATAATTTTACTGAAGGTACTTATTAAATATTCGAGTGAACTGTATTATAATAATTATTTAATTGTTGTTATAATTGATTTATTTATTTATTTTCGTATGACTTGTAAGAAGAATATGAACAACGATGATAAAAGTTATAATTGATATATTTTACTCTATAGCAGTATAGACCATAAGAAACATGTTATACAATTTTCCTAAAGGAAATGTTTATAAAGGCACATGATACAGTAATTTATTCACATCAAAATAGGTACACCATTGCTCGCATAATAACAATATACGTATACAACTGCCAATATTTAATGCGTTCTGATTGTAAGAAAAACACGCTATACGACTGTAGCGGTGGATATTATACAGAATTAATATTTTCATCGGTTGGGGGAGGGGGAGTTTACGAAAAATAGCGTATAACCGTATAGAGTAGGTTTCTATACCTACTTTTCCGAAATGTCGTAAGATTATGGTTCTCAGTTTACTCGACGACACAGAATAATGAACCGTACCCCACATAATTATATTTTGTAGTTTATGAACGTGAATTTAGTAAAAAGGTCGCAAAATGCCGTGTACGGTAATTTTGTTTACTTTAAGGGTATAATAATTATTATTAAACAGCTAAACTAATTTTTCACCGTCCGCAAAATCGTGTCTTACGCAACGAATATTATCGTATCGCTTGTATAATTAATATTATCTGCGATTAAAAAACTTTCAACGGTCTTTTTACCAGTAATTTATATGGGACAGCGCATCGCGTATTTTGTGTGTTTTGATAATTCGAAATCCCCCTTGAAATATATTGCATTACACAGTTGAGAGTATAAAAATTATAGTGGACTGATGGACGCCTATGTGACAAAGTAAACAATTCACTTCTACGCATGGTGACGAAGAAAGAGACTCGTGGAAGGAAAGACACCTCTTTGAAAACCTCACTTGAGATGGGACAAAGTAATGAGAACAGAAGCGAAATCTCCAAATGGAAGATCAAACTGCAATTGAAGAGTAGCTAGCAGAGATGAGTGTTCCCATAATAAGAATATTTCGCGTGAAATTCCACATTCAAGTTTATTTTTTTATATTTTACTATCCGTCCGAAAAGTCGGAAACACTAGACAGCGGCTTATGTCTAATATGCAATATTATAAATCATAATTTATTCACAAACAATTCATGCCGACCGAAGGGCACTTTTAAAAATTTTATTGTATTCAACCATTGACGTTTCCAGGGGGGTTGGGATTTTTAACACCCCTCCGAAATGTCTACGCCGACCGAAGGGCACTTTTAAAAATTTTGTTGTATTCAACCATTGACGTTTCCAGGGGGGTTGGGATTTTTAACACCCCTCCGAAATGTCTTCAAAAAAAAAAAAATACTAATATATAGTTTTAAAAAGAATAAAGTGTTATTACACTTAACGTTTTACACAAATAATACAAATTAATAATATAAAAGTCCAGTCCAGTATAGTGTGTATATTATAATAATAGGTAGATTTATGGTTATTGCTCTCGGTTATTCAAAAAGAATAAGTATTTTGCGATTGTTAGTAGAAAAAGTATATCTACAGACTAATCTAAAAAATCTATGTGGAACTCGATGGTCGATCGAGATGATGCAGTTTTATTATTTCAAGAACTACAACCAGCCTTTTTACTTGCACTAGATAAAATTACACTTTAGACAGATGTTTATCTAGTAATATCTAAACTTCTTAAAATGTTCATGACACTTCCAGTGTCTACTGCCAATGGAGAGCGATCGTTTTCAACACTTCATCGTTTGAAAACATATTTGAGAAATTCTTCAGGACAAATACGTTTAAATGGTTTAGCCTTACTCAAATATATTCATCACGATATCAACATGAATATCAATGATGTTATAGATGAACTTGCTAAAACATCAAAACGAAAAATGAATATACATTTATAATTTTAAAAAAAAAAAAAATTATTTCAACTTTTATATAATTAGCGCTATAAAATAGTAATATAATTTATGATTTATGATTATAATATACACAAAATTTAAAACAAATGCATTTTTTATATTTTTATATAAAAAAAAAAATTCTGAATACGCCACTGTATTCAACTATTTTATACAAATATAATAAATTCAATTGAGATTCGAGGACACCACGCATACCAGATTTTGCTGTAACTGAAACAGTGGAATATAAAACATATACAAAATCAAAAAATGGTGATTTAAATAGGCATTACACAAATCTAGATAGACAAAATTGTAAAGATAATTTATAAGGTACTATTTTTTCTTCCTCGTGATCCCGTTCGCCTCTCCCGTCACTAGATAAGCCAGGAGGTTGTTTTCACGACCCTGTGGTACATGACCTGGTGGCTGATAATTAATACTGATCACGGATCATGAAAGTACTTGTTAAATATAATCATGGTTGCCACGGACCTGTTGCTAATTAGTAAATAAATAAATAAAATTAAATAAGACGATCATACTTCGCACATGGGTAGCAAATTGAGAAGATTATGATACAGAAGGGAATTTAATGTACAACTGTAAGTACCGACGAACTTTTGCTAACGATAAAACGATTCTGAACGGAGTTCAGTTGATAGTGAAGCTTATGTACAGAATAAAGAAATATAATATAAAGAATAATAGTTAAAACAATGTATTGAAATCGAAATGTATTTTATTTTAATGTAGCTCAGTTTATAGTATTGCTTTTTCAACAATGTGCGTTTCCATGACGACCATGATTGTTTAAAAAGATTAAAATAATAAACAATTAATAATAACAAAAAGTAAATAAAAACGTTTACCAATGACAACCTTATTTTTAATCTTTCAATCTTATTTAACCTAAAGAACCAGGTTTTCCTCATTATCTCGAATCTTAATGAGAATTTCAAAAATTGACCTCTTTAAAGTGCTACCAAAAGAACATTTCCTTTTACAAAAGGTACTATACTTAATAATCGGAGTACGCTTTCTGTTAGAAAAAGTTTTCACACAAATAAATAAATGAACATCATTGAAAAACTGATACTTTTATCGTTCCGCTCAGAATCTAAAATAAATAACTAAAATGACTAAATACAATTTATTCCTACAGAATGATACCAAGAAGACGGACACTCAGACAGAGAATCTGGAACGAAAACCAATTTTTGATTTATTGAATTTGAGATCTTTGAATTATAAACTATCACCGTACTCTTTCTTGTAGCTCTCGCAAAAATAAAGACAATTGAAGCTTTTTATTTTTAATTATTGGTACTCTAGTTCGTCATTGTTTTTTCTTCGATATTTACATTATAATCAGTAATATTATTGTTTTGAATAAATGTAAAGTGTAATATTCAGAACTTAGCTGATATGGTTGTTGGATTTATTTACATTCATTACTTGTGTATATTATAATATTATTTTTTTTTTTTTACATAATGTTTACAATTTTCGTAAAATTTGATTTTAAAATCCTTACAAAAAAAAAAAAGGTAAACTCAATTTTCTTTTACTAATCTCGTAACGTTATCACTTTACTTTTTTCCGGTTTTTCCTAGTTATTAAAAAAAAAAAACTACCTGGATAAAACAATGTCGACTTTCTTTCCTCTAACAAAATTTAAAATGCAACAAATAACCTATTTGATATTTTTTTTATTGCTGAAATAATTTTTGGTAAACTCAGTTAGTAAAAATTAAAAACAATGAAATCGTACGCTGTAAATTTGTTCGTTTTTAACTTTTTCATCTTTTTCCAATTTTTCCAATTATTATAAAAACCTGTGTACAAAGTCAAAAAACGATTTACTTTAAAAGTGACTGGATTAAAAATGGAATCAAATAAGTCACTAGGCATTTTTCGAATGAAGTAATATTTCTGATAGAAAAAATATTTCGTAAAAATCAAAAACAATGAAATCGGTAATTCTATGGTGCGCCCTAAATATTTGCGGTTTTACGCTAAATTTTTTTCCACATTTTTCTCAATTTGTATGAAACCATTTGGAAAGTAAAAAACGACCCTCGCTATGTTCCAAATCTAAAAATCGGTAAGTCCATCTATGGTATTATACAGCATCTAAAGAGTAACGGAAATTAAATACCTACATCTTTCCTCCGCGACTTTCATAATAGTATATCATATTATACTACAAGTATAAATGTCTTTAAATTATATCGTAATTTAAGGTACCTATAAATATCGTAAATTATTTTAGTATTTACCACGGTCTCGCGGGGTGCCCACGTAGGGTTTACAAAGTGAACAACAAATAAAGCCATAAAGCTACGCGCTGCTGTAGGTCCCCATCATCCCTTGGCAGTAATTCGGACATTAACCGAATTTGTCAATGTTTTATGTGTACATTATCTACGTACGTATAAAAACCGCACGAAATTTGACTCTTTTTGAGCGAGTATCTAATTTTTTATTATTTTTTTTTTTTTTTTTACACTCGTATCTGCAGAGGGTATTAGAAATTGTGTAATATTATATTATACAATTACAAGAGTTCGGCGTGTTTTTAGGTTTTTTCCTTTTTTCCTTGACACATTTTGTAATACAATACGAAACTTGGGGAAGTTTTTTTTTATTTATTTTTTTTTTTTTTAGTTTCAGTTTTTAATCGTAAAGTTTACTACATCGTATAGTATATAGTAATATAGCGACAAACGTTATTTTCGTCATGGGAGCTAAAATTGTAATTACACAACTACTACTAGATGTTGTATGGCGTGTTTGTGTGTGTGTGTGTGTTGGAAACATTGTTTGAAGATAAACCGTAAACGAGACTTAAAAAGAGGTTTAAAAATATAATGATGATAAATCCGTTTTACTAGCTACTGTGCAGGTTATTTTTACACCTGAACGGAGAAAGTCAAAAGTGATGATTTATGTTTGAAGGTCTTGATTCATTGAACTTTATATTATACCTATACACCCGCATGTATCGGTTTTATATAAAATAGAACGCGGGAGTTTTACAAAAAAAAAAAACTTATCTATACCTATATGTGATCTTTTGAAAATAGAAATTAACTTTTGATAAATGATTCCATACTCTCGAAATGATTTAACATTAAATAACAAAAATTATCGATGCACACAAAATAGGTACGATAAACATATTATTATTTTTCAATCCTTTCATCGTACATCGTCAGCGACGTCAGCTGATAAAGTGAGTCGACAAGTATTATTTAGTTAACATATTATTATTTATAAAGACGCTATATATAAATTTGTTGTCTCTATTTTACAAACGCTTAAGATAACAAATTTATAATTTGCAGAACTTATTATTTTACTTTTAGTTTTAGAGTGGATGGACCTATTCTATCAAACATAAAGCAAAAATATTATTAACAGTTGGCCGTTGCCTTTGTTTTTTACTGACTTTTAAATATTTAAGGGAGATATGAAAATTTTAAAATATTCCACATATTATAAATATGCTCAAAATAACAAAAAAAAAAAAAACCGACGTACGAGTATATATAATGTTTTTAAATTTAAATTTGGTAATAGTTTAGTTATTCATTCTAATACTAAGACCAATAGCACAAACTATTGGTTATGCTGAACACAAATTTGATATGTTGTGAATTTGTAAGACGCAGATAACAAATGCATGTGTAGCGTTCTTACAGAAACTAGTTAGGCAACTAAGTACAAAATATACAAATTAGGGTTAAGAGAATTGAGATACATTACCATTACCATTGAGAAATGGTAATGGAAATGAAATGGTAACAAATTATTCTAAAATTAATATTGAATATAATTAAAGTACTAACTTCAAAATTCTTTAATTATTTAGTTAGAAATCATCTTTAAAAACAGAATTAAAACAGTTCTGTTGTAATAACGATTTCTATGATAAAGCTTACAAGACATTGGCGTGTGACTTTAACGACGTCATTAGATACTTCAAGTTGCGAGTTTATAACTTACTTTTATTATAATTTTGTGTTCAAAACTTGTTTATTTATTAGTTGCCTTTAAAAACCTTTCCCGTTAGTAAATTGAACTTGTAATTTTTAGTGAAAGACTTTGAAAAAATTTTGACCAGACCTATTAAAAAAGTCTAATTTCACCTATATGTATAACAATATAAATATAAATACTTATCGAAAAACGAGTTACTTTTTTTTTATGTGCATATTTGACGTTTCTGAGTCAAAATATTTTGTTTTATACGATTTTAAATAGTTTCACATATATTTTTAACGGTAACATATTTGAAATAAATAATTGACGTTAACATATTTTTCGTAACAAACAATAATTGAACAAAATGACCTGACGGTGCAGAGCGAAATACCACCATCGAAGAAGTATTTTATACAAAATATTTTTCGATATTAAAAAAAAAATTAATGTGTGTATGTAGGAATAATTTATCAGTATAATGTGCTCGTATGTGAGTTATGTTAAAATATTCTGGTTTGTTCTAAATAATTTGAAAATAAAAAAATCGACTGAAAAGAAACGGTCAATTGTTAAATTCTCGCGTATTCGGTTTGAATTTGTTTACCTTTGAACGGTAAACCGACACGAGAATGTAAAACAAAAAACACACTACCGGAAACGATAAAAGAGGTTATTATACCACAGTGTTAAGAACAATACGGTAAGGAAATTCTGGTTTTTCTTACGACGGTCATTTTGAAAACTGTGATCGTGGAAAAAAAAGCTTGTATTTGACAGCATGGCAATGAAACGATGCCCGTTTTATTATTATCAGTCATAGTTTTGACCGTTTCATTATTATCCGGGGTTGAAACCTGTTAGTGAGACTTCAAGATTTTAAAATAGCTTTTTTCTCCAATGTTTTGATTAAAGTCGATGCAAGGTAGCGGTATAGGAAACTGTATACATTTATCTTATTCTGTAAGTATAAAAAAAAGATTTAACTCTAGAAAATTTAAACAATCGTTATC